CCAGGCTGGGTGTGCCAGCACCTCAGACCACTGCTTGAACCTCAACACGGAGCCTTGTCTCGTTCTTGGGGGGATTCACTGTATGCTGTTAGAGACTGATTTGCCAGGAGTGTAAGCTGTTCGTCTGCTTTTCCTGTTCGTCTGCTAGCAGCTATTTGGGAGGTTCCAGTTCGGGAGTTGGAGTGCTATTTTGTATCCAGTTCGTGAGTTTTGGTGTTCTGCAGTAGCTGTGCCTGGATCTCTGGAAAGGGGGCCGATCGCCTAAACGGTTTTTAACCCTTGTGTGCAAAACGGTCCGTTACAACCTATCCTAAGGATCCCTGATAAACACTGACACAGAGCAGAATAGGGACTGTACATAGGGTCACTTGGCAGGTATGGATTGACACCTATCCTAAGGATACCTGATACACACTGACACAGAGCAGAATAGCGAATATTCACTAAATGCCAAACATTGTTATACAGGGGAATATTCAGTAAATAAGGATAAGGGGGGACCACTGTCCTCCCCCTGGCCCCCACCCCTGCACGGTGGGTGGGGGCCATAAATCTCAATGGGGGGGGACCTACTGTCCTCCCGCCCACCCCCACCCGTGAGCGGTGGGTGGGGGCCATAAAAATAATGAGGGGGGGGACCTACTGTATGATGTTGTATCGATCAGGTAGTGTAAGGGTTACGCCCGCTTCACAGTGACAGACCAAACTCCCTGTTTAACGCACCGCAAACAACCGCGAACAGTCCATTTGCAAAACCGCAAACTCCCCATTTGCACAAGGTTGGATACCAAGCTAGCCATGTCCCGTTCCTTGTCCTCACTGATGTCATTGAAGGTCTTTTCCTCCACCCAGCCACGTACAACACCAAGGGTCCCCGAAAGGTGACAACAAGCCCCCTGGGACGCCTGCTGTGTTTGGTCTTCCACCTCCTTAAAGCCACCTTCCTCCTCTGACTCCTCTTCTTCAGACTCCTCTCTCTGCATTGCCTCTCTCTGCATTATTATAAGGTGTGTTAAGTAGTATTATTCCTATCAGTTTAATCCCTGTTACGTCCCCTATCAGGGGACGTGTATATGGCATCGATTTTAGGAACCGGGAGATGGAAAATGATGTTTGGTCGGTCCTCCTACTTCAAATTTGGGGCACTGCGCGTGCAATCTAATGTGCCACGAGATAGGAGTGATGTGTTAAGTAGTACTATTCTTATCAGTTTAATCCCTGTTACGTCCCCTATCCGTTGATGTGGAGCAAGACGCAGCAGCAGAAGAGGACTCAGCCGAGGAGGTTATGGAAGAGGATGGAGTAGGAGGAGTAGAGGAGGTGGCAGCAGGCCTGCCTGCAAGTCGTGGCGGTGTCACCAACTCCTCTGCATAGCCAAGCATTCCATGCTTGACAGCCGTCAGCAGGTTTACCCAATGCGCAGTGTAGGGGTGGCCTGCCTCTGCCTGTCATTTTTTTTTTCCGATTAGTGGTACTATGCGTGCAAGCTACTGTGACACCAGATATGAGTGGCACTGTGAACTGGCAGAGATTGGCAGAGTACACGCTGTAGGGCTGACACACCCGCTTTGAGACAACTAACTGCTATTCAATCTATAACAGTGAAAAAAGTTTTTGTTTCTAAATGCACGCTATTGTGACACCAGATATGAGTGGCACTGTGAACTGGCAGAGGTTGGCAGAGTACACGCTGTAGGGCTAACACACCCGCTTTGAGACAACTAACTGCTAATCAATCTATAACAGTGAAAAAAGTTTTTTGTTTTTAAATGCAAGCTATTGTGACACCAGATATGAGTGGCACTGTGAACTGGCAGAGGTTGGCAGAGTACACGCTGTAGGCCTGACACACCCGCTTGAAGACAAGTAACTGCTATTCAATCTATATCAGTGAAAAAAGTTTTTTGTTTTTAAATGCACGCTATTGTGACAACAGATATGAGTGGCACTGTGAACTGGCAGAGTACACACTGTAGGCCTGACACACCTGCTTGAAGACAACTAACTGCTATTCAATCTATAACAGTGAAAAAAGTTTTTGGGTTTTTAAATGCACGCTATTGTGACACCAGATATGAGCGGCACTTTGAACTGGCAAAGGTTGGCAGAGTACACGTTGTAGGCCTGACACACCCGCTTGAAGACAACTAACTGATATTCAATCTATAACAGTGAAAAAAAATTTTGTTTTTAAATGCAAGCTATTGTGACACCGGATATGAGTGGCACTGTGAACTGGCAGAGGTTGGCAGAGTACACGCTGTAGGGCTGACACACCCGCTTTGAGACAACTAACTGCTATTCAATCTATAACAGTGAAAAAAGATTTTTGGTTTTTAAATGCAAGCTATTGTGACACCAGATATGAGTGGCACTGTGAACTGGCAGAGGTTGGCAGAGTACACGCTGTAGGGCTGACACACCCACTTTGAGACAACTAACTGCTATTCAATCTATAACAGTGAAAAAAAAATTTGGTTTTTAAATGCAAGCTATTGTGACACCAGATAAGAGTGGCACTTTGTACTGGCAAAGGTTGGCAGAGTACACGTTGTAGGCCTGACACACAGACGCTTGCAGACAACTAACTGCTATTCAATCTATTATAGTGAAATTTTTTATTTTTTTTTTAAATGCAAGCTATTGTGACACCAGTGAGTGAGTGGTGGCACTGGGCAAGTGGGTACAGTATACGTTGCGAGCCTTACACACAGACGCTTGCAGACAACTAACTGCTATTCAATCTATAACAGTGAAAAAAGTTTTTTTGGTTTTTAAATGCAAGCTATTGTGACACCAGATAAGAGTGGCACTTTGAACTGGCAAAGGTTGGCAGAGTACACGTTGTAGGCCTGACACACAGACGCTTGGAGACAACTAACTGCTATTCAATCTATAACAGTGAAAAAAGTTTTTGGTTTTTAAATGCACGCTATTGTGACACCAGTGAGTGAGTGGTGGCACTGGGCAAGTGGGCACAGTATACGCTGCGAGCCTGACACACAGACGCTTGCAGACAACTAACTGCTATTCAATCTATTACAGTGAAAACAATTTCTATTTTAAATGCAAGCTTTTGTGACACCAGTGAGTGAGTGGTGGCACTGGGCAAGTGGGCACAGTATACGCTGCGAGCCTGACACACAGACGCTTGCAGACAACTAACTGCTATTCAATCTATTATAGTGAAACATTTTTTTTTTATTTTTTTTAAATGCAAGCTATTGTGACACCAGTGAGTGAGTGGTGGCACTGGGCAAGTGGGCACAGTATACGCTGCGAGCCTGACACACAGACGCTTGGAGACAACTAACTGCTATTCAATCTATAACAGTGAAAAAAGTTTTTGGGTTTTTAAATGCACGCTATTGTGACACCAGTGAGTGAGTGGTGGCACTGGGCAAGTGGGCACAGTATACGCTGCGAGCCTGACACACAGACGCTTGCAGACAACTAACTGCTATTCAATCTTTAACAGTGAAAAAAGTTTTTTGGTTTTTAAATGCATGCTATTGTGACACCAGTGAGTGAGTGGTGGCACTGGGCAAGTGGGCACAGTATACGCTGCGAGCCTGACACACAGACGCTTGCAGACAACCAACTGCTATTCAATCTATTACAGTGAAATACATTTTTTTTTTTAATGCAAGCTATTGTGACACCAGTGAGTGAGTGGTGGCACTGGGCAAGTGGGCACAGTATCCACTGTGAGCCTGACACAGAAGCTGGCAGGCAGGCAACTGCAATTACATTACACAAAAAAAAAGCAGACTGATGTTATAGCCCTAAAAAGGGCTTTTTGGGGTGCTGTCCTTACAGCAGAGATCAGATGAGTCCTTCAGGACTGTAATGGACACTCACCTAACCTAGCTATCCATTTCCCTATCAAATCAATAGCAGCTACACTTTCCCTCCTCTCACTAAGCATGCAGCTTGAGAATGAATCTAAAATGGATGCAGTCCAGTAGGTGGGAGGGTCTGCTAGGGAGGGTGTGCTGCTAATTGGCTGGAATGTGTCTGCTGACTGTGAGGTACAGGGTCAAAGTTTACTCAATGATGGCGAATAGGGGGCGGATCGAACTGCGCATATGTTCGCCCGCCGTGGTGAACGCGAACATGCTATGTTCGCCAGGAACTATTCGCCAGCGAACCATTCGGTGCATTACTATTCTGAAAGTGTCACTGAATGGCAGTTAGGAAATCTGGTCACCCTAAGTCAGGGGCAGTATTACACAATCTGTATATGTATAAAAAAATATAAAAAGTAATCTGCAAAGTACAAAATGTTTGTGTCATATGTCGTGCTAAAAATTAAGCTAGAAATGTGCATATTTTTTAAAAATAATTTTCAGAATAATGATACAGACATTTTATTTCTTACATTTGTGATGATTCTTTTTCCCCCTCTATATTCAAGGGACACTATAGTCACCAGAACCACAACAGCTATACATAGTAGTTCTGGTGTCTATAGCATATCTTTGCAGGCTTTTTAATGTAAGCACTGCCATTTCGTAAAAAGGCAGTATTTACATTACTGCTGAGGAATACCTCTAGTGGACAGTCAGATGGCCACTAGAGGTGCTTCCTAGTCGAGACATCAATGCCGCCCTATTAAGTATCTGCGCATGTGTGGCAAAGCTGCGCATGCACACCATGGAGCAATGATGCTTCTGAATAGCAGCATTTTATTGCTCCCTGCTCGCACCCTCCTATTTCGTCATTTTGACGAAATAGGGGGCGTGGCATCTGGAGGATCCCAGCGCTGTATCCGGGTAAGTAAAATCCCTTCCCTGTAGTGACCCTTTAATGTTAGTATTTTATTATTTATATAGCGCAATGAGCAAATTCCATAGCGCTGTACAATGGGATAAACAACTCCTGGTTTACGGAATAAGAATATACCCGGCGAGTAAAAATGCTACCCCCCCCAGATTTTTGGGGGTTCCTACGCCCATGGGAGTAACGAATAACAGAGTGAGCTTGTGGATCCGCAAGTGATGAAGGACTCTCCCCAATCTGGAGGACCGAGGAAGAGCATAGGCTCCTTGGAACATCCAATTCCAAAGTAAAGCGTCCACTGCCTCGTATTCCGGATCCGGTATTCAGCTGAAAAACTCTGTAATTGCCTGTTGGACGCAAATTGTTCAACTGGAGAAGACCCCACAGAGTGCAGAATATTGAGACGTTCAGTCTCCATCCATTGACGTCCCTCAGTCTGCCCATAGGTTGTCAAATCCTGGTAAGCATACTGCACATAGAGTGGTGTTGCGAGGCAGGCAGAGTCGATACATGTCCATTGTCGCCTCTGTGGATTCCGAGGTCATGCTCTGCCCAAGCGGCTTAGGTATAGGACCACCGATATGCAGCCATTCCATGCCTGCATATGAAGTAATCACCAATGGAATTCGGCCCTTCCTTCGGGCGCTACTGGTATCCAATGGCCGTAAGGGTGACCAGTCCGCAGATAACGGGCTTACAGTCAGTGCATAGTTTTGTAGTGTAGTAGACCTGGAAAATCACTTGGATGGATGAGGACAGGAGTCCCACCACACAAGTCCGGATTCGGAAAGGGATGGAGTCCTTGTGCAGAGTACACCAGATCTCAACGAATGGCTTTGATTTTATTGTGTTAGGTAAAAGGACACATTTTGTCAACTCGATCTCGCTCTCCTTTGGCGAGCAGGACCCGGATGCCTTTGTCAATGAGAGGTGCGTGGGTTGCTGCCATTCGTAACGGATGAGGATATTCTACCAGCGAGGGTGGAGGGTGGAATCCTATAACGTATTCTTGATTGGTCCATAGGATCCAACCGTGTGTTGAATGTGGTGAAGAGATTCACATGCTCAAGTTCAGCGATAAAGGTTCCCTAGATCCGAGAGCTCATTGCCAATTTCCTTGAAGATCTTGGGTGTCGTGGTGCGCATGGGTTGAATGGGGGTAAAACCAGTGTGTCAATGAAGACATTTTCATCAGTGTTTGTAATCTTGTGACAACCCTTTCTCTGTGGGGGGTACTACGTTACATATTCCTTGATGTAATGAGATGCAGTAGTTGGCATAATGTGCCCATCGTCCCATTGTGCCTGTTCGCCATTCGTCCAGTTTTGCCATAGTGCGTGAATTGGGACAAAAGTCTTCCTCCTCGGAGCATGGAACTGGAGGAGGGACTACATTGTATGATTCGACACACTCAGGTCCCTTGAGTGGAGGCCTCCCTTTAAATCTCATGGTTACGAAGCCTGAGCCTTCCTAGTGTATTTTTAGAAAGGGCCATGGGTACCCTGGATATCTCAGAGCCCTCTGCTCCCACCACATCTTGGCTGGCAGACGGGAGATTTCTCATGATTTAGGTGGGAGGTTGCACTCTCTACAAAGCGCCATCTTCACTGACGTTGCTACGGCAGCATATAACATGTTGCGAGACTCTTGGGTTGGGGTTTGTGATGGTTCAGGCATCATGCCCCTAGGTTTCTGTAATGGCGGGATGAGATACACGTGAGTAATATGTGTGCACCTCTTAACATTGCAGGGTGTCTGGTTCCCAGTGTAACTGGTGTACATCCAGAATTAAGTGCAATAATAATATTATTATGCACGGAGTGGTTGGAGTGCCAAATGAGAGGAGGTCACCCTCTAATGACCGGTGCCATAGGTCATGCATTCACACCAGGGGGTATCCCTTGGTTACATTGGAGACATTGACAGTCTCGTAAATAAATAGAGGGGTCACCCCCATATTGTCCCGTAGGATGGGACGAGTACTATGGAGGGGAACACCCTCGTAAAAACTGCCCGCCAACTGGGGCTTGTGGATGTGTGGTACATCCCAGTTAGATAGCGGAGCTGTACCTTTGCATCAATTAACTTATATTTGCACACATATAAGTAAAGGCACTCTAGTATGTGGGGGTTACCCCATTAGCAGTAAGGGGGTCACCCTTAATATAATGTGGCCACGGGTGGTTGGTAACAATATAATGTGGGTATTCCTGTCACTAGAGTACGTAAACACATAAACTTAGGCTCTCCAGTACATGGTAGGTCACCCCAGTTAGCAGTAAGGGGGTCACCCTTAATACAAAGTATTCACTGGTGGCTGGTAATGTGTCATATGGTATCCTTAAATATATATATAGAACATTGAATTCTGTTTAATGCAGTCCCAAAATTGTCATGGAATAGAGAAGGGGGGGACCCCCACACAAAATTATATATATATATATATATATATATATATATATATATATATATATATAGGGCCTTGGTAAGGTGTGGGGGTCATCCCTGCCATAAGGGGAACCCCTATAGAATGTTCGCCCTGAAGAGTCTGTACAAGTCTCACCTGGGGGTCACCCAGCGTTGGGGGGTCTCCCCTGTAGAATTCCTACCACCAAAAGGTCTGTTCAGTTCTCACTTGGGGGTCACCCATTTCCTTCTTTTAATTTTATAGATTTTTACAATTGACATATACCCAACCCACTCTTACTTTAACTCATGATCAAATACATTAGAGAGGATCTGAGGGTATGAGTACTTAAAAAGAACACTTCAAGCATCATAGCCACTGCAGTGAACTGTAGTATTTCTGGTGCCAGAAGTTGTCTGGCACCCCCTGATATAAGCAAATAGATTGCTTACCTGGGTATGGCCAGGCACCGCTCCTTGCCTCTCTAGAGAGCCAGAAGCTCCAGGTAGGAACTTCTGTTAGCTCTCCTTAATCCTGTAGTGTAGGATCTGCTCATTGTCTCACAGCCAATTATAGAACTACCAGGATGACTCATGCCAAGAGCTTTCAGCTCTCATTGAGGCAGGAAGTGGCATCCAGGAGACCTCAAATTGTTTTAAAATAAACTATTTAGATAACAAGTATCATATTATTGAATAAATTAAAATTGTGACAATTGTGTATCTTTTAAATATTATATGAAGCTACAACAAATCTAATTACCTGCTTTGTTGATATTTATCTTTTTATCATTTCTCTTTAGCTTATCAGTTAATTTTGTTCATATGATGTGAATACAATCAATGGATAGCAATTTGGTTGAAGTTTTGGTATGGTATGGCATTAAATAAACCCCACAGCAATCTTAGATGTTTGATTATTTATTATTTAGTCTTTTATCATTCTTGGGCCCAAGATAGTAGTGTGGATTTCATAAATATTTTGATATAATGAAATTCTGCAGATAATGCATGATTTTTGCTTTGAAAACTTGTGTCCGTATTCCATATATCACGGGGTTGATTAGAGGGGGGAACACTAAGAAGTTTATAGAGAGTAAAATATGAGCAGTGAGAGGAAGTTGATTACTCCCCAATCTGTAACGAATAAAAACAAATAGAACCCCAACTAAAAATATTGAAAAACTGAGTAGATGAGTCACCAGTGTGTGAAAAGCTTTCTGACGTTCGTGTCTTGACATTGCCAAGCAGATGAAGAAAATTTTCAGATAACAATAAATAATAATTACACAGGTAAAATTTAAAAATAACACCAAAGCGATAGTCCCGTAGATGTTATTGACAGAAGAGTCTACACAGGAAAGAACAAAAATGGACATGTTGTCACAAAATATATTTTTAATTTGTGTCCCACAAAGGGGCAATCTTGCTGACAGAAGAACTGTTGTCAACACTCCTGCAAAAGAAAAGATCAAAAATCCACCGATCAACTTCAAAGCTTTGTCATTTGTCATTAACATGGAATATTGGAGTGGATGGCAGACAGCCAAATACCTATCATATGCCATGATAGTTAAAGTAGATATTTCAGAAGAAGCAAAAGCTGTGACGCAGAATGATTGGATAAGGCAGGCTTCACGAGAAATTGTCTTAGATGAAGTAAGCAAATCAATAGCTAGCTTTGGAAGAAAAGATGAACTCCCAAAAAGACCACTGAGAGTCAGGATGCATATAAGAATGTACATGGGTTCCTGCAGGCTCTCTTCATTTGCAATTATGAACACGACCATGACAGTCAAGAGTACGGTAGTTATATATATGATGATAGAGGTTACACAGTAAAGATATTTTTGTTCTTCCATTTCCACCAGTCCAAGGAGCCAAAGAACAGAACTGGAATTTGACACACTTTCCATCTTGATTTTCTTTGCTGAAGTACGACAATGAAATTACTTCATCAAGTTTCATCGGTCCTAAGGGTTAATCATCCTAATTTGCTTCTATCACTAGTAGTTCAACCTGCAGAATTCTCCTAAAATGACCATAAAAGATGACCAAGTATTGGATAATGCATGACAATGACTTTTTGACATGTGACACATTGGTTGCATGATACCTGTTATTTGTTTTTTCTTGATGAGAATTAGATTTACTGTTTATATACTATGTTTGCATTTAATTACTGGCTAAAAATATTAATTCTTCTGGGAATTACCACATCTCTTGAGATATTTTTCATGTAGTAAAGCCAACAGGAAGAATAAAAACAACTTAATTTTCTAAATACACAGGTGCAACAAACTGGAATTAACTAGGACACATCAATTAATTAGATATTTCGTTTTTTTCTGTATTAACCTTTCCTACAACTACTGTCATTTAAAAACCAAAAAATAAATAAAATAAAAAAAATAACCACTAAATCTTCAGTGAATACTATTCTACCAGTTTACTTCTCTAATACTTCCCTTACCTTTTGTGTAACTTTACCACACTCCATGTAAGCTCATGTGTCAGGAGGGGGCTGTGGCCCAACACGCAGAATCAAGTCAACTAGAAAAACGTATTACCGGGCCTTAGAATGTAGAAAGAATAGTCAGAAACAAGCTGAAGTCAGGGACACAGACAGGAGCATAAATGAGAAGACAAAGCCAAAGGGTCAGGGATAACAGAAATACGGATAGTCAGAATAAGCCAAGATCAAAAAACAGGAATAATATTACCAAACGCGCTCTCGGATAACCAAAGAAGTGGAAACCATGACAGGGCAAAGAAGAAATAAAGAAATGGGCTTATATAGCCCTTCCCTATTATTCATTGGTGGACAGGGGTCACCTGACTCCAGAACGTGCACTCTTTGTGTGTTCACACCTGCACATCTGCATGACCTCTAACCCTGCTGGAGGCATGGCTATATCTTATGCTGCTTTTACAGCGGCCGGCGTCCATAGGAACACCGCGCTTACTGGGGATGGACGCGCTGGCGGATTTGGCCGTAATCCGTAAGTTTAGACTTTTTTTAAGTCACCGCACCAATCGGGTGCTGTCACGTGGTGTCGTAGGTCGGGGGCTGTGACACTCTGTTACTGTGCTTCCAACTTGTCTGGTAATAATTATATGTTTGTTAGTCCATTGTAAAGCGCTATGGAATTTGTTGGAGCTAAATAAATATAATAATAATAATAAAACAGCAATGCTTTTTTTCTGTTCTATTTGATGAAATAGAAGACAAGCAAGTAGCAATGAAAAAGGTAGCCTTCGGTTTCAAATAGCCTTTACAATGTTTATTAGGCAACTAAAGGAAGTCAATATTCCTGCTACCCAATGTGATAGGGTTGCGTATCTGTCATTGAGCCTATTTCAGCTCTCTGATTTACTGACTTCACACATGTTGAAATTACATTTCAATATGTTGATTAAAAATGTCCCCTTATCCTAATCTATTAAAATCTGGATAATCATTTTACCTTTTTTCTCTATATCTTCGTGTGTGTCTGCACATTATTGTTATCTAATCAACTTCTGCTCAGCCTAACTTGCCTGCTGCTGCAGTTTCACATAGAATGTTCTCAAAAAAAATCTAAATGCATCATTTTAAAGAACATTCCATTTCCTTAAATGTTATACATTTTTTAAAAGCGAAATGTAAAAAGCAGTTCTTCCCTAAGCAGTGTTCTGTTAGAGGGGATCTCTTTTCTATGAGTTAAAGTGATTCTGACATGTTAGGCCTACCTTAAACTAATGCATAACTATAAGCAAAAAATATTTATCATTACAGAAACACTTCAGTTCAAGCACCATAACAATTACAGCCAATTGGATGTTAATCACATATTTCTTTTTTTATATTCTTTATTTTTGTTGTGCAGAAGAATACAAAGATGCCTGTTATGCCACAACAGCAGAAGCAGGCTCAGTTATATCAACATAGTAAACAATAGCATAGCATTTGAGAATCAGCACATTTTTGTAGGTGTAGGAATAAACAGTGATATTCAGACGGTGATTGCATAGGAAAAATAAATCATGCTGGCAACTAAGGTACGTACCACTTTATAAGATGTATTACAGAGGAATGCGTGGGATACACACTACCACATAAACATTAACCGCAGGAGAGTGTCCCATTGTGTGAGCGGGTAGGAAATAATGGTAGATTTATTCACCAGTCGTCAGACTGACTTGAGCATCATGGGAGAGGACCAATGCTTCGAAGGTATGGCAGTTTCATCCAATGCCCAGCCTGTACAGGAGTGTTATAGTAGGAGAGGATGCCTGTATTTGGACACCGCACGTGCACTGGGGTATAGCGCGAGCCCGCACCTGTTTTCCACCTACCCAGTCACCTATGATGTGGAAGTCCTTCTCCACATGAGGTTTGAAGGGGAACCTAATCAGCCGAAGTTCCCAACGGTGAGCAGGCCCCTTCAGGTGTGGATGGTGTAAGTGGAGTTTCCTCCACCTGGCTTTTCTCCCAGGTGGGCCTTTTAGGAGTGTGTATCTGGGTTGTGCATAAGGTGCACCTGGTGTGGGTGTCCGATACCGCCGATTCTGCTGTCTCCCCTTCACCTGCTCCAGGTGAGTGAATTGTGTCTTAAAAGATGATCTATGTTGTATCTTGGGCCAGAATTCGGCAAACAGCCAGTCGAGCGCTTCTGAGAGATGGTCTCGGAGAGGGCCTTGTGTTGGCACATGGTACATTATTTACATAATTGTTGTCTGTATTTAAGTACACATTCATAGGTGAAATAGTCTATTTACCCAGATATTGGATCATTTTTGTATGCACCTTGGGAGTGACCCAAACTTGGATATTCTGCATGTAACTTGTTCCTACTCACCTTATCTAACACATGTCTAATTCTATGTTGAAGATACTTTGCTGCATAATCCAGTAGAGACCACTGCTGACCTTGGGTGACAAAGCTCATTGGGATTTAAGCACTTCCCCTCTATTATCCATAATATAATGAAACTCCATTTATATTCTGTGTATTTTAAAACTAATTTACTATTTTTACTACTTTATAATGTATATATGAGAGTAATTTGAATTTGTATCTGAATCTTTTTGAGATTCAATCTCCACTCTCTCATCCATATAGAATCTGCGTCCTTATTAATGTTCATCACATGACTTTTACCCTTTTTCAGTTTCTTATCACTTGTTCCCCGAAGAGAGAGGGCTCTTTTGTGTGATATAGGTGCTGCTTCTAGGACAGGATAAAGACTATCTTTCACAAGGGTTCTGACTGTTCAAGGTGATAGGTGTTTAGATACACTTGTGGCTTCCATACCCTTCACAAGTGAAGGTTCCAATTCAAAATGAGACTCTTCAGACCAAGAACAATCATTATCTGGTGTTATTACTTCACAATTGAATGTCCCACTTCAAAGTCTGGCTCTTCAGACCAAGATCAATCATTATCTGAAGTTCTTACTTCTTCCATAGGAAGAGCTTCAAGAGTAAATATGGCATGAAAAAGTGACTTTGATAAATTATTCATCATTGCCAAAAAACATAGATTTGAGCACAGAATGTGACGGAAATTAAACTAAAGGAGGGAATTTTATCAATAGGCATATATATATAATATATATAATCATATAATAATAGAAAACTATAAAGAGCCCAGTATTACAGTGTATATCATTTATATAATCAAATAATACTGGAAAATCTTTAAAAACATAATTCAGATGGGAGATATAGTTTAGTGCAGTGTCAAAATTTCCACTCGCCCCTATATAATTGAAAATTTAGCCCTGGCGAGTAGACATTTACTCCTATTGAATGTGCCATGGGCCCTCCAGGATTGCAGTGGTGAGTACCTTTCAAAGCCTGGCTAGTAACATAGGTCTAGTTTTAAAGGACCACTTTAGTGCTAGGAAAACATACTCGTTTTCCTGGCACTATAGTGCCCTGAGGGTGCCCCCACCCTCAAGGTCCCCCTCCTGCCCGGCTCTGGAAAGGGGAAAGGGGTTTAAACTTACCTTTTTCCAGCGCTGGGTGGAGAGCTCTCCTCCTTCTCTCCTCCTCCGTTCCACCCCGTCGGCTGAATGCGCACGCGGGGCAAGAGCTGCGCGCGCATTCAGCCGGTCGCATAGGAAAGCATTTACAATGCTTTCCTATGGACGCTGGCGTGCTCTCACTGTGAAAATCACAGTGAGAAGCACGCAAGCGCCTCTAGTGGCTGTCAATGAGACAGCCACTAGAGGAATAGGGGGAAGGCTTAACCCATTAATAAACATAGCAGTTTCTCTGAAACTGCTATGTTTATTAAAAAATGGGTTAACCCTAGCTGGACCTGGCACCCAGACCACTTCATTAAGCTAAAGTGGTCTGGGTGCCTAGAGTGGTCCTTTAAGCCCTGGTTTAGTGTGTTTTATTATTTGTTTTCTCCAAATATAATTAAAGGGACACTGTAGGCACTAAATTAGGTGGTCTGGATGCCATATACTTCTTGTTTTAACCCTCCAATGTAAAACATTGCCATTTTACATAAATGGAAATGTTTACATTGCTGGGTTTAAATGTCTTTGGTAGTTGACACTCTGACAGCCGTAGAGAGCATCTGATTGACAAAGTGTGGTGTTTTCCCTTGCATAGACACTAGTCTCCTAATGCTTTCTTATGGAAAAGCACTGGATTGACTGAGATCATCGATTAGATCATCTCAGTCAAGGACGTATACCAGTCACTGAGAGAACAGCGCAGTGTGGGGGGAAAGGTAAATTAACTTTCTTTTAACTTCTGTGAGAAGGAGGGGCAGTCACTGGAATGTTGACTTGGACACTATAGCATTAGGAATATACATTTGTATTTCTAATGCTATACTGGCCTTTAAATTCAAATTTAACTAATATGTCATAACTAAAATAACCACTAGATGGCATTGCACAACAGGGAAAAGAACAAGAAAGATACCTGCAAATCATTAACTTAACATTAGACTTGAGCACAGTGCAATCTGACCAATAGAAAAACTGCTGCAAGAAGCGCAAACAGTAAAACATGAGAAAAAAGCCAGCAATGGGGAGGAAAGACAATATTGTCATTCTGAGAGTATGCCACAACAAATATGGCTGCTACTATCCAAATCTCACTGGCACACATGGGCCCCCAATATGGCTGCCATGCTCAAGAGATCTTCTTAGATGAGCTTAAATGATGGCTAGGAACAAAAATAAAACGTCCTGCATATAATTAGAGCCAAAAAATAAATAAAAAAACCTGTTACAAATATGGAACATTTCTTATTAGAAACTGTAATAAATATATGCAGAAATTGGAAGAGATGTTGTCAGAATAGACTAGGAACTAAAACACACAGACCCACAACACAACAAAATAGAGAGTAGCTGTCAGGTATACTCTATCATCCATACTGCCGCCGGAACCCACTTCCGGGTTCACGGCGCTTAGCCCCGCCCCTTTTCTCTGACGCGGTCCTTCCACGATACTTAGGAAGACCGCGCCAGATTCAAGGGGCTGGATTATTCACGCAGGTACGGCATTGAGATCAGCTGCTCTATTGAATGCTACCGGCTACACTCCTCTCTCGACCTCGGCTTGTAACCAGATTTCAACCTTCCCCACTTCTCGACCTCGGCTTGGAAAACGGACTTCTACCTTCTCCACTCCCAGACCTCGGCTTGTAAAAAACGGACTTCCTTACTTTCCACTCCTAACGCTCAGCTTATTCATAGAGAGTCATAATCTCTCCTCCATTGGGTGAATTAACCCTTCCAATACCAGAACTTCCTCTAAGTTAAGTAATCCTTTTTCTCCAAGGAAACCAATTCATATTAATTATTTTCACTTCATTCCTCTCTTGTCAATAAGGGATTACTACTAAGTCTTATTTCTCCTGCAAATATCATTTATTATTAATTGCAACCTGTCCAGCTTATTTATCATTATACTAATAAATCATTCCATCTTAATTAAGTTGGATCTAGCATTGCTTTCCTTCCTGCATGTGTATTTAAAGATACAGTCAAGCTTGTTTACTTCAATATAAAGGAGGTGTAATTATTGTTTCTGCAGTTGAGTTCCAATTAAAGGGATATTACACAATCCCATCACAGTAGCCATGTACCGGACCTTAGAGTGGCCGGAATAACGGTGGACAGATTAATAGCCGAGGTCAAGGATAGAAGACAACTGGATAAACAGAGTACTAGCTAAAGTCAAAGGAGTACAGAGATCAGGATAAACATTAAACAAGCTAAGTACTGGATACCAGAAATCATGCGGTATTGGGCTAACTAGAACCAAAACAGAGCAACAACATAGAAACATAGAATGTGACGGCAGATAAGAACCATTCGGCACATTTAGTCAGCCCAATTTTCCAAATACTTTCATTAGTCCCTAGCCTTATCGTAACTCTAGAATAGCCTTATGCCTATTCAATGCTTAAACTCCCTCACTGTGTTAACATCTACCACTTCAGCTGGAAGGCAATTATTTGCGTCCACTACCCTCTCAGTAATGTAATACTTCCTGATATTTTTAAACGTGTGTCCTTCTTATTTAAGACTATGTCCTCTTGTTGTGGTACGTTTTCTTCTTTTAACAAGGTGAGTATAAATAGGCAGGGCTTATTTCCTAGTGGTCATGTCATCTCAGAGTTCCACATGATTCCTGTGGTACAAAACCATTGGGGGCTGATACAGGATGTCATTGAATCGTGCCAAATTCGGTCCGGCAAATGCATCATTGGGACCCAATTTTGGTCTGGCAAATGGAGTCTATTATTAGGTGGGGTCTATTAGGTTGGAAGGACCTAGTATTCCCCCCTTAGCCCCCAACCATGAGTGGCTTTTAGAGGCTCTAATTTTAATCATCCATGAGTACCTGAAGTGGCAGACGTCAGCAAGCTAATATAACCCCCAAAATTGTTCCAATCCTAGTTCCAATCCTAGATGACTAGGGGTCCCCAGGTCGCTAGCTACACCCCCAAACAAAATAACTCTACCTACACCCTAACTCTAATAATAGTGAGGGAGGACCAATAACCTAAAAACCAGTAAAAAAGAGAAATAAAAATACAGAATGAAGAGTATTGCAAAAAATTAATACTGAAAAAAGCTGCAATGCAATAAAAATAATCCAAGTTAGATATTAAGGGTCCCGGCCAATACTGAGCTTGAATGGAGAATAAAAAAACTTCCCCATGCTATGCAGTTTCACTCAGAGCGCTCTGATTGGTTGCATGTAAATCAACCAATCACAGCTCTGTGACAGGCAAGTCAGAAGGTTGTGAGAAGGTTCTGATCTCCCCATCCTGCATCCATCTGTGTTCCTATGTTGACACAAATATGACTCTACAAACTCAGAGGGAATAATGGCGAATCAAGTGCTTGCATCCATTAAAGATGCTTCAGACCTTATATGTGTCATATTAAAGGACCACTCTAGGCACCCAGACCACTTCAGCTTAATGAAGTGGTCTGGGTGCCAGGTCCAGCTAGGGTTAACCCAATTTTTCATAAACATAGCAGTTTCAGAGAAACTGCTATGTTTATGAATGGGTTAAGCCTTCCCCTATTTCCTCTAGCTGCTGTCTCATTGACAGCCGCTAGAGGCGCTTGCGTGCTTCTCACTGTGATTTTCACAGTGAGAGCACGCCAGCGTCCATAGGAAAGCATTATGAATGTTTTCCTATGTGACCGGCTGAATGCGCGCGCAGCTCTTGCCGCGCGTGCGCATTCAGCCGACGGGGAGGAGAAGAGGAGGATCGGAGGAGGAGAGCTCTCCGCCCAGCGCTGGAAAAAGGTAAGTTTTTACCCCTTTCCCCCTTCCAGAGCCGGGCGGGATGGGGACCCTGAGGGTGGGGGCACCCTCAGGGTACTATAGTGCCAGGAAAACGAGTATGTTTTCCTGGCACCATAGTGGTCCTTTAACCCCATTGGAATTGATCTTATTTCCTTTTTATGAGTAACTGTCTTTTTAAAAGGCTGAAGATTAGCATGCTCGTTTGTCACATATACATATTAGGAAATGTACCATTGCAATGGAAGGTTTCTGCTCACACTCAATATTCTAAACTAGGAAGGCCCTGGAGGAAAAAAAGGGGGAAAAAAAGAAAACTGAATAAGATGTGATTTGGTCTGGGGTATTGACCGGATATATGTATGGACATGGTATGAGTACCAATGTGTCTTCCTCATCTGCTTAGTTTATCTGATAATAATTATAATCCTTATAACAGTGAAATTGCTCTTCACAGAGTTTTGAGGCATATTTGCACAATTTCTTAATTTTCAGTTCATCTGTGTTCAAGACATACCAGTTATATTTGTTTGCATTTTTATATTAGCTGGCTTCTTTGGTCATTATTAGACACTTTATTGTCAATTACTATGTACAGCTATGGGAAGTAGCAGATGACTTTAAAAATTTTGTTTAAAATAATCAAGCTGGAAAAAAGAGTCCTGAAGTACCCAGGCACCATCCCCCTATTCAGGATTTAACCAATTTTAATATTTTACCCAGAAGCTCATCCCCACCATGCTTTTTGGTCTAATGAGGAAGTATTAGCCTGAGCACCAATGGACAGCTTTCAGCTTATCACAATGCTTTCAGCCTATCACGAGGCCCATTCAGATAGAAGAAAGTGACTAATCTCTATGCCTTGGCCATACCTCCGATGACCCTCATTCAAGGTTAAACTGTTTTAAAATGGTTTAATTCTGAATGAAAGGAGAGATGAAATGGTTATATTGGCTAAAGAGTACCTTTAATTTAACAAATTGGCTCCCACTTCACTTCACTTTCTGTTTTAATTTTTCTTAGCAAACATAAACCATAAAACTATTTTGTTCTAATTACACTATGATGCAACACAAATTAAACACTGACTTCTTTCTGGAGAAGAAAAAAATGTCTTAATGTCTTAATTAGCTAAATTGATATGTTGGGAATACCAAGCGTTCTAATGATCTAATGTCACTGTTTGCGCGAACAATCTCTAACAAGTTCTGTCTTATTGGACCCCCGAGAAAATACCTGTTCTTTTTTTTATTCCAAGTGAGAATTCTACAGAGACTATTTAACTCAGCCTTTTGTAAGCCTCTGATGATATCCTCATTAATGAGTCTCTACAGCTTTACAACAAAATATCTTTCTGCTGATTACTGTATTTCAGAAAGTAAATTATTCATTACATAATTAACAGTAGTAATATGGAGTGTTTATGACATTATTACAACTTTTTGCTGTTCTTTCATTTACATCCAAATATTTTAGTAATTATATTTCAGTGATTTGTATAAAAGGAGTTTATCACGTAGAAAATAAAAATCCCATGGCAGTAGTTTTTATGCAATCTTCAGAGTAAATTGTCCTTTGAGCTCCCCTATTTGCTCCATAGTCAATAATGCTGAGAAGCACTGGTCAGTAACAGACCATTATCGTCATAATAATCTGATACTGACCAGTTTTCGGACCATGTACAGTTGCTTGTGCCCACTCTTTTTCTAACATATGTTCTGGGTTGCTTTGCTATCGTATTTACCTATACATTACAAAGATGGTCAGCCATAGCAAATCTACGTGAATTGCCCTAAAAGTATTCAGGGTGTGGATTAAAATTGGTGCTTTTGCAAATCCCATACAAAAAATCCTATTGTTAGTTTTAATGAAAACAAGTGAACAGTAAATAGCGAATGTATTCGGTTCGGAACTTTATTAAAACCAGTGCTTTGTGAATTAATTCGCTATTTATCGTTCACTTGCTTCCATGTAAATGAACAATAATTTGTGGAAGATTCACAGAGCACTGGTTTTAATTAAGTTTGGAACTGAATGCTATCACTATTACATAGTTACATAATTACAGAGCTGAAAACAGACTTGCGGCCAATCGAGTTCAACCTTCCTCACATATGTTTTTGCTGTTGATCCAAAAGAAGGTAAAAAAAAAACCTAGTCTGAAGCGCTTCGAATTTTGCAACAAACTAGGAAATTATTTATGGACCCCAAAATGACAGATGTCTCATTGAATCAAGCAGCTATTACACCACTAATTATAAATTATATCCTTGTATGTTATGTTTTTGCAAGTATTTATCCAATTGCTGTATGGACTATGATAAAACCACCTCTTCAGGCAGAGAATTCCATATCCCTATAGTTCTTACTGTAAAAAAAATAAAAATATTTGCCTTAGATGAAATCTCCTTTCTTCCAGCCTATTAATTGTTCACTTGCTTTCACGAAAATGAACAATACTTTTAAATACTCTTTGCCCACTGGCAGCACAAGCAGCCAGCAGGAAAATAGTTAAATAAACCATTGGCAATATGAGCGTTAATTATGTGGTGGCTGGCAAGCATTTGCTAGTCAGCTACCTGTCAGACTTGGCTAGAGGATCCTCAGCAAGGTGAGAGGTAGTGACCTAGCGAAGGTAAAGACAGAGGGATAGGAAGAGGAGTATCACCAGACATTAGAGAGCTTAACATAGAGCAGGAACTACGAAGTAACAGGACTAAACTAAGAAAAAGACTTCAGGCCAGAAGAGGAACAAAAAATAAACACAATATTAGACTTAGGCAAGGGACAAGAGTACGAGAAAAAAATTTCAGGAGCAAACCAGGGACTGGTATACAGAATGGGAAGTCAGACCAGGAACTGGTACACAAATTAAGGCAGTTGACACACAGTCCAGGTCAAGTACACAAGGGCAGGAGAGCAGAAGGTAGTCAGGAAAGACACGTCAAAATAACAGAAAAACAGAGTCCGAGCAAAATATCACAATGGATACCGGAAGGACAGTGGCACAACACGCAGTGTGCTGCATCAGTTTTCTCATACCACCAACATTAAAAAAAAACGTAAAAACAAAACACAAACAAATTAATAAATGAAAAGCTATGGTCAATGAGACTCCCATATCACTATCATTGAGGTTTCACACCTCTCTGTACCCCTAGGTGTGGGTGGGACATGTCTACTAAATATATGAAACTAGAAACTGGGCAGTGAATCCTCTAGGCCTGAATTTGAAGCATTCAGTCTGGATTTCAGCCATCTGACTGAGTGTTTTTTTACCTATTCAGTACAGGGCCATTCATCCATTGTTTAGCGAAGAAGCCTGCACACTGTGCACTAAAAAAAATACAAAATAAAGAGTATTCAATTAAAAGTGCCCAAATGAGTGCTGGGCCCTTGTGATAAAACAAAGTGAATGGGGATTCTTACATATCTTCCATAAACAAAATGAATAAGGGCCATAGGCCGCTGATAACCAAGGGTCTACTAATAGGTCCCCTTTCCCTCTTTCTTGACTGCTGACTGCTTGACTGAGGCCCTATTGTAGGCTGTGATTTATGGTGCATATTGGAAGGTTGGGGTGAATGGCCAGGTCAAGTCTAGGATCATTTTAAGAAGTCTGTATACAAGATTTGGTACTGCTCCTCCTTTTTTCCTCTCTATAGTTATTATTATTATTATTATGATATTTATAGAGCGCTGTCAAATTCTGCAGCGCTTTACAATGGGTGGACGAACAGACACGTATTTGTAACCAGACAAGTAGGACACACAGGAACAGAGGGGTTGAGGGCCCTGCTCAATGAGCTTACATGCTAGAGGGAGTGGGGTAAAATGACACAAAAGGTAAGGATAGTATTAGACTAGTTACAGTTGCAGAAGAGGAATCAGTCGGGAGCTATTAACAGTTTAATTGATACGCTTTTATGAAGAAGTGGGTTTTTAACGATTTTTTTGAAGGAGAGGAGACTGGGTGAGCATCTAACGGAGGAGGGAAGTGAGTTCCACAGTAATGGTGCAGCCCTCGAGAAATCTTGAAGGCGAGCATCAGAGGTGGGAGTACGGACAGAAGATAGACGTAAGTCTTCAGCAGATCATAAGGGCCTAGATGGGACATACTTGTGTATAAGGGAGGTTAGATAGGTGGGAGCAGCATTATGTAGAGATTTGAAAGCAAGAACCAGAATTTTAAATTGAGCTCTATATTTTATAGGAAGCCAATGCATGGGAGATGCGGGCGGACAGGAAGATGAGCCTCGCCGCCGCATTCATTATGGACTGTAACGGCGCAAGTTGGGAGCACGTAACACCACTGAGAAGCGGATTACAGTAGTCAAGGCGAGAAAGGACAGTAGAATGGACCAACACCTTAGTCGCATCTGGCGTTAAGTAGGGGCAGATGTGCGCAATGTTTTTTAGATGGATTGTTGAATAGCTAGTGAAATGATCGAGTCACGTCAAACAACTAAACTAATTTTACACAGCATTTACTTAATGAGTTTCTCTTACGTTTTGTGAAAACATACCATGTATCTTTAATTGTCAATACCTGTATGTTTATGTAGGAAAGTGTGCAGGTAATGAGAAATGGTAGCTTTTATATCTTAATATTCTCTTTGCTTGCGAAGATAACTAATTAAGTGTTATCTACTGGGATGTTAACAGATGGAACACTCAAGGGAACACACCATCGAAAGACTATTTAAACGTGTTTCATGAAGCCTTTTGAAATTAGATCCTTGATCAGAGGTAAAGTCTCATTGGCTGAAATAGAGTGAAAAACTATCTTTATTTGTATACTTATGCCTATTGTCTCTTTCTCTCTCTCTCTCTCTCTCTCATATTTATTGTCTCTTTCCACCTCTCATTTCTCTCGTGTTAAGAATTGATACACTGTGTTATTTACTAAACTCCAAATTATAGCAAATTAACACCTGAATAGAAAAACTGAGGCAAACATAGCTTATCTTGAAAAAATCTCCAACTATACTTTAATCACAGCTTGGGCATTTTAGTCTCAATTTGCACATGTTTATTTTAATTCAATATAATTCTGAGCTTCTGAGTAACCCTGTATAATTACCATTGTTATAAAAAGAATAATAATCAAAATTAATTATATATTTTCACTAAAGCTAAATAGAATAATCCATTGCCTGTTTTGTGCACACTATATAAGCTTGGAATGTTATGAACAAAAAGTGTTGATGACATGATTGTTAATGAATTATTGATCTGTAGACGATTATGTGTGCTAGACCAGTATGAATAGATTTCACATTTCACATTTCACAATAAATTACTTTTATTAAACAGGATCTTAATATCAGTTTTCAATAGAAAAGACAAGGATGGAAAATAACTCCAATAATGAGAAACTTGTGCTTCTCGGGATGGAAGAAATGGAAGGATCTAAATATATATACAGTACCGTCTTTATTGTTGCATTTATGTTTATTGTCCTACTGAGTATTATGATTATTTCAGTGATTTTGACTGAGGAAAGCCTCCATGAGCCCATGTACATTCTCATATGTAACTTGACTTTTAATGGACTTTTTGGAAGCTCATCTTTTTTCCCAAAATTAATTGTTGATCTTTTAGCTTCTTCTAAAACAGTCTCACGCATTAACTGCCACGTCCAAGTTCTTTGTCTCATGACTTTCACTTTCTTTGAAATATCAACGTTTACAATCATGGCTTACGACCAATATTTAGCTGTATCGCACCCTCTCCAGTATGTTATGATGATGACCACTGAAAAAACAGTGAAACTCATTGTTGGAGCTTTTATCTTTTCTTTCACATCCGTGCTGATATCTGTTCTTCTGTCTTCCAGACTCCCTCTTTGTGGAAATGAAATCAAAAATATATTTTGTGACAATATGTCTTTTTTAATTTTGTCATGTGTTGATTCTTCCAAAGATAATCTATATGCAGTCATTGTTACAGTCATTTTCTTAACAGTCACAACATCAATAATTATCTATTCTTATCTGCAGATATTTTATGTTTGCATAAAATTGACCAAATCTTCATGTAAAAAAGCTTTGCACACACTGGTGACCCATTTACTCAGCTTTTCCATATTTATGGTGGGCGCTCTTTTCATATTTGTTCGACTTCGGCTCCAGCATAGCAGCAATCTTCCAGTTTTTGTTCACATTTTGCTGTCTGTTAATTTTGTAATATTTCCCCCCCTTCTCAACCCCCTGATTTATGGGATAAGGACAAAGGCATTAAGGATTAAATTGATTTGTCTCCTAAAGAAAATATGGACACCTGTATAAAAGGTGAAAGTGTCAATTTCATAAAATTGAAAATGTTAATAAAAACAAAAAAACAACAATTTGCAACTTCCTGATACATTTTACATATATTTTGAACAAGTCCTGGGAGTGTTATCTATATCTATCTATCTATCTATCTATCTATCTATCTATCTATCTATCAGTCTGTCTGTCTGCCTCTCTCTCTCTCTCTCTCTCTCTCTCTCTATATATATATATAAATTTAATATTTTCCATAATAGTGTTTTTTTTTAAAGTAAATATAACTTGGTAGGTCAACCTGACAACCCAGGCAGTTCCCCTGCAGACAGTGATGCAAACTGCTGATCCAAGTACTGTGATTGTGATGTCAATGCGATCACATGGAATGAATGGTCAGGAATTGCTGCAGAGGGACTGCCTGGATTGTCAGGCAGTCCCTCTATCATGACAGATGTAAAATATCAGGGCTGGGGGGTAACCCTAACAGCAATAAAGCTATCCTTTTGTAGAGTGGCATAGCACCGGAGTTAAGGGGTTAATGAGACTACTGCAGCATCAGCACTGGGGCCCACACACTTTGGGCCACTTGATGGGTATCATTTCTTTATTCCTGAACAGGGGCCTGGCCAGGTGCAGCGGCCCTTTCAGACTGTGATCGGGGCCCCTGTAATATAGGCAAGCAGGGAGGAAGTAAAAACCTGTCACTTCCTCCCAGCTTCTTACTGAATGCACCAAGTGGGAGAGCGGTAAGGAGGATGTGGCGGCACAACAGTCAGCAGTGGAGAGAGAAGCAACCAGAAAGCAGCAACCCCATCCAGCAGCAGGGCCACAAGCAAGACACCCTCCTGAGGACTAAAGGTAAGCTAATATCAGGGTGGCTGCACATATAAAACTTATAATGTGTCTGTCAAGGCATATGTGTATCTATGTGTCAGTGTGTGCATGTAACAGTATATGTGTCTGTGTATTTGTGTGTCAGTGTGTGCATGTATCAGTATGTGTGTGTCTGTGTTTGTCTGTATCTGTGTCCTTGTGTGCATGTGTCAGTATCCCCGTTTTGTGTATCTGTGTCAGTGTGTGCATGTATTATTATTAATATTTATAAAGTGCCAACAAGTTCCGTAGCGCTGTACAGTGGGTGGACTAACAGACATGTTTTTGTATCCAGACGAGTTGGACACACAGGAACAGAGGGGTTGAGGGCCCTGCTAAAAGAGCTTACATGCTAGAGGGAGTGGGGTAAAATGACACAAAATGTAAGGATAGGGTAGACAAGAAGGTTGCTATGATAGTATTCATTGAGGGCTTAGTGTTGTTTTGATGACAGTTGCAGGAGAGAAATCAGGGTGTGGGGAGAGAAAGCTGTTCTCAGTTCAATTGATATGCTTTCCTAAAGAAGTACCTTTTCAATAATTTTTTGAAGGTGTTGAGACTGGGTTAAAGTCTAACAGAGAAGAGAAGGGTGTGAAGGTGAGCATCAGAGGGTGGTGGCTTAGACAGGACATATTTGTGTATTAGTGAGGATAAATAGGTTGTAGCAGCATTGTGTAGAGATTTACATCGCTACACAATGTTTATAAGCTCTTCCCATAGCTCCTGAGTAAATTAAAGATATTGGCTAAAGCTCCTGAAAAACACCTTCATGGGTGTTCTATGCTGAAACCAGCCCAGGCTAAATAGATAGGGGGTTAGCCCATGATGAAGGTGCAGCTGTTTGCACCGAAACGCGTGTCAAGTAATCTGTTCTAATGTCAATCTTTAATTTCACGTTTGCCGAGCACCCAGAGAACTATGCACGTATTTGGAGAAGCCTTTTCTTTTTCTGTTACTTTAGGTAGACCTTTATAGAGGGCATCTATTTAGCTTGGGCTGGGTTCAGCATAGAACACCCATGAAGATGTTTTTCAGGAGATTTAGCCAATATCTTTAATTTACTCAGGAGCTATGGGAAATAGCTTATAAACTTTGATGCAACTCTAGCATAGAACACCCACGAAGGTGTTGCTCTAGGAGACATAGTACATTTCCTTAAGCTTTCTTATGTGAGAAAGAGCCTACAATTTTATAAATCTCTCTAGCTCTATGATACAACCTATGATTGCTGGCCATCTGTAAAGGAGACATGTTGATTTATGTCCCTCTAGTGATCACAAGTGTTGATAGATCTCATCAAGTCTTGCTCTGCCTTACCCCATATATCACTCCATTTTTGAATTTTTCCCTGATAGCACAATCATTGCCCTCTATTTTTATTGAAGTGGTTCTATGATACAACTACCAGTTCACTGTTTATTGAACCTTCCCCTCACCAGCCTTTATATATACCCAGCTGCTTTCTAAGATTGAATATATGGCTAGGAACTGGTGTATTTATACATAGCAACTATCTTTGTTCCCCAGTCTCGTTCATTTGTATCCATTTGTTTCCCCTTTCTTTCTAACCCAATAAAGTTTTTAAATTTATTGGATACATCTCAATTTGATACGGACTGTGTGAATTAGCTTTTATGGTCTACCAGAGCTGCAGAGACAATTCACTTAGCTGTAAATAATTTATTTATTCATTTGCTTATTTCATGTTTCGATTTCTTTAAAATACCAGTATATCTAGCACTCTCTGGGGTGTATTTTACTTACCTCTCATTTGTGTAAAGATTTGTAAGCAAGTATCAGGATCTTAAATTGAGTCCTATATCTTACTGGAAGCCAATGTAGGGACTGACAGAGGGTGGAGGTGTGGGAGGCGTGGGAGGTGCAGGTGGACAGGAAGATGACACTCACCGCCGCATTCATTATAAATTGTAATGGGACAAGTTGGGAACATGCAAGACCACTGAGAAGCAGATTACAGTAGTCAAGACGAGAGAGGCAGCGGAAGTGTATAAGCATGTGTGTTTCTGTGTGTCAGTGTGTACACATGTCAGTATGTGTGTCTGTGTTTACCTGTGTCAGCGTATACATGTGTCAGCATGTGTGTGTGTGTGTGTCAGTGTGGGCATATTTCAGGGTGTGTGTATCTGTGTGTGTCACTATGTGTGTTTGTCTGTGTGTATCTGTGTGTCAGTATATGTGTCTTTGTGTGTGTGTGTGTGTGTGTGTGTCTGTGTCAGTGTGTGCATATATCAGCATGCGTGTGTATCTATGTGTCAGTGTGCCTGTGTCTGTGTATCTGTGTGTCAGTGTGTGAGTTTATCAGTATGTTCATCTGTGTATGTGTGTTTATCTGTGTTTAAGTGTGTGCATGTGTCAGTATGTGTGTCTGTGTGTGTATATCTGTATGTTAGAGTGTTCATCTGTATGTGCATATGTCAGTGAATGTGTCAGGGTGTGAGTGTATCTGTGTTAGGTTCCAGGAACCAGCCAGAGACAGAACGTAGATGCAAAACACCTTTATATAAATAGCAAATAAAGAAATAACCAAAAGCAAAGTCCAGGAGGAAAGCAGGGATCAGGTACCAGAGCAGGTAGTCAGGCGAGCCAGTATCAGGAGAACGGAGAGCAGTGAAGTCAGGAACAAGGCCAGAGTCAGGAACCAGGAACACACAGGAACAAGGAGTCTTCTGGGAAACAGGAAACCACAAAAGGGCAAGGAGGTACTGGGACCTGCTGCTTAGATATGCTGCACTGATTAGCAGCAGGGCTGGTTGCTACAATCAGGTGAGTAACTGAGGCAACATTAATGAAGGAGCTGATCGTTAAAATCAGCTGAAAACTCAGACTCAGAAAAAGGAAGGGTTGCGGTTTAAAACAGCAAAGAAACATTGACAGTCTGTGGATCTGTATGTGTCAGTGTGTGCATTTGTCAGTATGTGCACATAATTATGTGTGTCAGTGTGTGCATGTGTCAGTTTATGTGTCTCTGTGGGTGTATCTATATGTTAGGGTGTGCATCTGTGTTTGTATATGTCAGTGTGTGTGTCAGGGTGTTTGCATGTGTCTTTGTATATTTGTGTCAGGGTGTGCACATGTCAATGTGTGTATGTGTCAGTATATTTATGAAGTAGTATATATGGGTCAGTGTGTTTATATGTGTGTATTGATGTGTTAATATGTATGTATCTATCTATGTATGTGGCAGTGTATATGGGTCAGTGTGTTTATATGTGTGAATTGATGAATTGATGTGTTAATATGTATGTATATCTGTGTAAGTATGTTTGTATCTATGTATGTATGTGGCAGTGTATATGTGTATATGCATACATCCAAGAAATCAAACACCAACACACCATGCAAGCACACTGGAAGTCCGAAAACTAACACAACGTTTACATGCAAACACACCCATGCATTTAACTCCAACATTATATACAAACACACTTCTTCACTCAAACACCAATACTACACACACATGTACATTTGCATTTAAAAGCCAACATTGCATCCAAACACATCCCTGCAATCAAACACAAACATTACATACAAACACACCCCTGCAATCAAACACAAACATTACATACAAACACACCCCTGCAATCAAACACAAACAAAACGAGCACTCCGATCATATTTTCAACTAACACTTCTGCATTAGTCACGTGCTCCGCTTGGGTTCCACTCTGTGCACCTCCAATATGGCCGTGCGTTCCACACGGCGAAGACAAACAAAATCTCCTAGTCTCCCCCTCTGGTTGCCGAGGGAAATTGACTGCAAGTATGGGCAAATGGTAGAACCCAAGCTGGCATAGCATTGTGGGAGTTATACAACATATTTATTTATTTATTATTGCTATTTATAAAGCGCACACAGATTCCACAGCGCTGTACAATTAGTTGAGAAACGTTCAATATACACAAACAAATACAAGAGGTAAGAGAGCCCTGCCCATAAGCTGATATCTAGCCATTGGAGCTCTTTTATACAAAGTGCTTAGCTAGATGGCCCGTGAGCTTACAATCTAACATATGGGGCCATTCTGCGCTTGGCGACTGCCCAAAAAACGTTATGTAGAGAGGGCCCTGCTTCAATAAGTTCCACTGGGTTTATAAATGAGATTGATGTAACATAGCAAAAAAGGAAACATTTTCAGATGTCAGTACAATTGCCATTCTTCTGATATCATTCATTTCCAATGGTAGCTGAATTTCCACTTTTCTTCTTTGATTTCTCTCTCGGTTTTCAAATGCTCTTGTAACAATCATTTCTTTAAAGACACTTACAAATCTTTCAACAAAGCCCAAGTTTTGTCATACATTATCTAGAATTATTTGACATATTTTTCCTCTTGTCATCTGTAGTACAGGGCTGCTATATCCCCTTATCTGCACCTTGTGTCTCCATCCATATATCTTCTAGGATAGAAGATGCCAGGTAAACAAAAAGCTTTGGACTAAATTATCATAGTTTTGTTTTATGTATTATGTTCCATACTAGTCTGATTTTTGTTTGTTGCTTTCTGTTTTTTTATACACTAGATCAGATAATCAGCACTATATTTGCATTTTTTCCTGCTTATGTTTTATAATTTCTGGTTTATTCTGCTCCATACCCACCATCAATTAAGAATATCTTTCTGATGGAGAGACCCAAGAGGGAGCCTGTCATGGTGGATACCTAATAATTATAAAGAAATGAGCAGAGTCACAAGCAATGTTGAAAACCAGTTGAAATATATATATTTATTTATCAGTTTGGTACTATTGGTTGTCCAGAGAAAATTCCATGCATACAGCTATTATTGTCAGGCATGTTTCTCCCCAAGTATTTAAAGCCAAAAGCAGTGGCAATCTAATTACCAAAATTAAGCAACAAATTAGTATTCTCTTGAAAAATACGAGAGTGTGCTACCTGGTGATATTTAATGGATGATCAGGGGTATAACAAACCAAAAACTCAAGTGACTAAATAAGTATGTGTGAATACACTTCAAATCATATCTTTAATTAAAAAAGGAAATGGTCAAAGCCTCCACATTCCCTTGCACTGCAATTGATATGAGGGTGACTGTGTACTATTTAAGTTTAGGTGCAAATATTTCAAATAAAATTATTAGAGTTAATGCGGCAGAGTAACCAAACATTATAAAGTGTGTAACCACACATTATAAACCACATTATTGGATAAAACACTCGTACAGTGCCAGTATTGATACTGGACTTCATACACCTTCCTGCCTATATATTTTGTAAATAAAAACGAATACATGATTGCTATTCCGTTCTACGCATGTCACGGATCACCAGGGACCATAGGGAATCGGTATACTAAGCATTGGCACTTATCCTTTAATATGTGACAAGACTGTGAGAACAAGTCCAAATCTTCTTCAATGGACTGACGTTATGCCATAGAGCCAGGCACCATGACCACGTCAAGTTAATTGGATCTAGTGTCTGGTTTAAAATCAAGCCTTTTGCATCCAAATCCTTTACAAAGCAATAATATTAAACAAATATTTGAGGAAAGGGATCTAGGGGTGATTATTTCTGATGACTTAAAGGTAGGCAGACAATGTAATAGTCAAAAATACAAGAACAGAGTTCCAACGTGTGACCCAAATATATGCCAAATCACTCTAAAAACACCCGTGTGGTAACCTCTCTATCCACACAACAAATAACATAAAATCATATACATACAAATGGGTGGAATGATGCAATTCAGGGTAAAAGATGGTATCATGTAGGCAAATGGAGTAACTGTGGAGATAAAATCATATACAAGCACCTAGTGCAATAATGTACAGTACAATATATGCAAACAGTAAATATGTGATTTAGTACTCACAAAGGAGGAGCCAATAAGTAATGGATCAATAAGAGTGCCTGTGGGATGATTGGAAGGGATCCCACTCCCTTTCTGGATATCTTTCTGGATATAAATGATCTTCCAGTGGTGCTAAAAGAAATGTCCACTCCAATAGAATATTGGGGACTAAATTCTTTTAATAGTAAGTAATAAAAAAGTAAAATACAATTATTTAAAAGTAAGTAAGAACTTAACACAGCACTATGATAAGTGCATATAGAGTCCAAACAAATTGCAAAACGCGTTTCGCCCAGATCATGGGCTTCCTCAGTTGCTAGTAATGTCCATAGAACAGTATGGATTTATACCTGTCCAGGAGAATCATTGTTTCCGGGTTCGCGCCGTTTTTTCACTTCCGGTCGCGTCCTGATGATGTATTTCCGGTCCGCAGGTTGTTAGCTGGGTCGTTGTTGGAACGCATATGCGTTCCACACATTCAACGAACTTTACTCTCTAATCAAATAACAAAAGTCGCATCCTGATGATGTATTTCCGGTCCGCGGGTCGTTGTTGGAACGCATATGCGTTCCACACATTCAACAAACTTTACTCTTTAATCAAATAACGAAAGTCCATATCTGTACAGGCTCTGTTTTTTCCTTGAGCCATAGACAATATAAATGCTGATAGATACATTTGGTATAGGGTAAAAGAAGTAAAGGAACCTCCATATTTAATAAAAGGGAATCTTATAAGTCTTATAAAAAATCATATCATATAAAAATGGTATATAGAATTATGTATAAAATTAACACATAGATAGATAAAAAATAAAAAATACCATAATACAAACAAGACGAAAATGACACATATAAAAACATATATGTACATTCAGTCATCTATTATAATTAAGTTAAAAAAAAAATAAAAAAAAATAATGTTTTTTATAAAAAGTGGCAGATTTCAAAATCAGAGTTAAGACCATTGGGTATAAGAGTATTAAAATTAAAAATAAATTTCATTTCTTCTTTACCCAGCTTATTAATATAGTTTCCTCCTCTCCAATCCCTCTGAACTAATTTTATTGCACAAAAAAATAGACCCGTAGGGTCTTGATGGTGTTGGGTTTTAAAGTGTTGGGAGACAGAATGTGTGTCAAGACCCTTTTTAATATTACGGATATGTTCCGCAATCCTTACATTTAAAGGTCGTATAGTTCTCCCTATGTAGAGGAGATTGCATGGACATTTCAGGACATAAATAATTCCCTTAGAGTGACAGGTAAGGTGATCTCTTATTTTGTATGACCGTCCTATTATGTCACTTATGTCCACGAAATGTCTTTTTTTATTATTCGTACCTCTGCAGGGTAGGCATTCCCCACAACCATAAAAACCTATCAAATTCTCAATGAAATGCTTAGGTTTAGTTGTTTCTAGGTTACTTTTAACTAACATATTTCTAAGGTTATTTGTGCCTCTATAGATCATTCTTGGCTTGGGAGGTAAAATGTCTTTCAATACAGGGTGCCTACCCTGCAGAGGTACGAATAATAAAAAAAGACATTTCGTGGACATAAGTGACATAATAGGACGGTCATACAAAATAAGAGATCACCTTACCTGTCACTCTAAGGGAATTATTTATGTCCTGAAATGTCCATGCAATCTCCTCTACATAGGGAGAACTATACGACCTTTAAATGTAAGGATTGCGGAACATGTCCGTAATATTAAAAAGGGTCTTGACACACATTCTGTCTCCCAACACTTTAAAACCCAACACCATCAAGACCCTACGGGTCTATTTTTTTGTGCAATAAAATTAGTTCAGAGGGATTGGAGAGGAGGAAACTATATTAACAAGCTGGGTAAAGAAGAAATTAAATTTATTTTTAATTTTAATACTCTTATACCCAATGGTCTTAACTCTGATTTTGAAATCTGCCACTTTTTATAAAAAACATTATTTTTTATTTTATTTTTTTTTTAACTTAATTATAATAGATGACTGAATGTACATATATGTTTTTATATGTGTCATTTTCGTCTTGTTTGTATTATGGTATTTTTTATTTTTTATCTATCTATGTGTTAATTTTATACATAATTCTATATACCATTTTTATATGATATGATTTTTTATAAGACTTATAAGATTCCCTTTTATTAAATATGGAGGTTCCTTTACTTCTTTTACCCTATACCAAATGTATCTATCAGCATTTATATTGTCTATGGCTCAAGGAAAAAACAGAGCCTGTACAGATATGGACTTTCGTTATTTGATTAAAGAGTAAAGTTTGTTGAATGTGTGGAACGCATATGCGTTCCAACAACGACCCGCGGACCGGAAATACATCATCAGGACGCGACTTTTGTTATTTGATTAGAGAGTAAAGTTCGTTGAATTTGTGGAACGCATATGCGTTCCAACAACCACCCAGCTAACAACCTGCGGACCGGAAATACATCATCAGGACGCGACCGGAAGTGAAAAAACGGCGCGAACCCAGAAACAATGATTCTCCTGGACAGGTATAAATCCATACTGTTTTATGGACATTACTAGCAACTGAGGAAGCCCATGATCTGGGCGAAACGCGTTTTGCAATTTGTTTGGACTCTATATGCACTTATCATAGTGCTGTGTTAAGTTCTTACTTACTTTTAAATAATTGTATTTTACTTTTTTATTACTTACTATTAAAAGAATTTAGTCCCCAATATTCTATTGGAGTGGACATTTCTTTTAGCACCACTGGAAGATCATTTATATCCAGAAAGATATCCAGAAAGGGAGTGGGATCCCTTCCAATCATCCCACAGGCACTCTTATTGATCCATTACTTATTGGCTCCTCCTTTGTGAGTACTAAATCACATATTTACTGTTTGCATATATTGTACTGTACATTATTGCACTAGGTGCTTGTATATGATTTTATCTCCACAGTTACTCCATTTACCTACATGATACCATCTTTTACCCTGAATTGCATCATTCCACCCATTTGTATGTAGACAATGTAATAGAGCAGCAGGAAATGCTAGCAGAATGCTTGGTTGTATAGGGAGAGGTATTAGCAGTAGAAAGAGGGAAGTGCTCATGCCATTGTACAGAACACTGGTGAGACCTCACTTGGAGTATTGTACACAGTACTGGAGACCGTATCTTCAGAAGGATATTGATACCTTAGAGAGGGTTCAGAGAAGGGCTACTAAACTGGTTCATGGATTGCGGGATAAAACTTACCAGGAAAGGTTAAAGGATCTTAACATGTATAGCTTGGAGGAAAGACGAGACGGGGGCATATGATAGAAACATTTAAATATATAAAGGGAATCAGCACAGTAAAGGATGAGACTATATTTAAAAGAAGAAAAACTACCACAACAAGAGGACATAGTCTTAAATTAGAAGGACAATGTTTAAAAATAATATCAGGAAGTATTAATTTACTGAAAGGGTAGTGGATGCATGGAATAGCCTTCCAGCTGAAGTAGTAGAGGTTAACACAGTAAAGGAGTTTAAGCATGCGTGGGATAGGCATAAGGCTATCCTAACTATAAGATAAGGCCAGGGACTAATGAAAGTATTTAGAAAATTGGGCAGACTAGATGGTCTGAATGGTTCTTATTCTATGTTTCTATATTTATTTATATAATTATAAAAAAACATTAGAACCAACCAGGTAGAGGATAAAGAAGACCTCTACCATGGTCTGCAATCCTGTTCTACAACAAGAGTTAAGCAGGCAAGACACACACACACACATACACAAAGGGATTGGGAGTAGAAAGAGACAACCTATGTGGAAGAAAAAAAAACACATAAAGGAACAGCTATGATGAAAGAAACACAACGGGACTGAGGGAGTACACATAAAGGGGCTGGTATGAGAAAGTGATACAGAAGGGGGCTGGGGAAAGAAAAAGACACGCAATCAGCATGGGATGTAAGAGGTACACAGGAGCTGGATGAGTAAGAGATACACAAGAGTTTTGTAGGAGACACACAAGGTAGGTGTAAGACACACAAAATGGCTAAAACAGTGATATGATACACTAAAGGAGTAAAAGTGGGTTATAAATTCAAAAAAATAGTTTGAGACACCTTTAGCTCTGTACCATTAACTTGGCAAAACCACGTCAAAGTGCTGACCACTCTAACAAAGAGGAGCTTTTGCATGCCAAAACCTGCAAGCACCAAGACAAGTTGGACAAACTCAATTTCATTGCACAAAAACGGTCCAAAGCATTGCGAATCGCAGACTAGGGCCTACAAGATGGCGTTGATAATGGCGGGAGCAGCTCGCGCTTAGACACAGAGGTATCCTCGGAAGCAGAGCCCCTCATAGCCTCCTTCCAACAAAAAGCACTGGATCAACAGTCTAACAAGCTCATTCCTATATGGCAATCAAGTGTGACATAAATTAAGAGAGACCTGCAAGACTTGGGTTCTCATACAACGCATGTGGAATCCAAGATGGAGGAGATAGTGGATGCTCAAAATCATCCTGCAGATAAGATCCAACAACTGGAAAATCAGCTTCCAGTGATGTTGCAGCTCTGAAATATGGGCAAACTGGTGGCAAGTGGCATCGTGGCAGCTGCACGCTTGACTTTTCTCAGTTCATGGGCAGTTATTTTGCGCCTTGGTTTTTCCACACGCATCTTGCGACCCTGTTGACTATTTTGAATGAAACGCTTGATTGTTCGATGATCACGCTTCAGAAGCTTTGCAATTTTAAGAGTGCTGCATCCCTCTGCAAGATATCTCACTATTTTTGACTTTTCTGAGCCTGTCAAGTCCTTCTTTTGACCCATTTTGCCGAAGGAAAGGAAGTTGCCTAATAATTATGCACACCTGATATAGGGTGTTGATGTCATTAGACCACACCACTTCTCATTACAGAGATGCACATCACCTAATATGCTTAATTGGTAGTAGGCTTTCGAGCCTATACAGCTTGGAGTAAGACAACATGCATAAAGAGGATGATGTGGTCAAAATACTCATTTGCCTAATAATTCTGCACTCCCTGTATACTGCTTTTCCTAAAAATTGTGCGCTTACCTGCACATTTGGTAATTTAGCTGAGAAAATGTCTAGCACTAGTTTCTGTTTAACATATGTTTAATATATGCACAGTTGTACACGTGAAGTGTTACCTTAGAGTTCATCCCCTATTAATTTGATATATATATATATAAATAAAACAAAAATAAATGTTTGGCACCAACCACCATTAGCCAGTTCAGGCCATCTGACTTAACATCATCTCCGATGATACACAACTCATGTACAATGTCCTAAATTCGGGCTCAGATGTATATACTTTCTTTTATGCTTTTGTTCAAACTCACCTCTCCACCTTTCCCTTTCATAAACCCCAGCCACATCCCTATATATTTTACTAGGATATGGCTGTAACTCTATGAAACCCCCAGGGGTCTCACTACTCTGGTGAAACACGACATGCCTACTCTGACGATCCCCAGACTTGTTTGGGACACTGTCCCTTTAAGCCTGTGTCCCCAGTGTCCCCAGCCTTGGTTAAAACCCTTTGTTCCTGGCTATTTCCCACTTGGTTCAGTAAATGGGGCTTACTGAACCAAGTACCACACAGGCGGACCACCCAGAAGTGGAAGTGTGCAGGCAATTTACCTCCTAGGCTGGGAGTGTGCTGTAGGTAAATTGCCGAACCCTGGGTGGCCGCCGTTCGCGCAAAACACACGTGGCGGTGCCATCTTTACTCATTCAAATACGGTCAGTGGTGTGTGCAGCCAAATTCATGGAACTAAAATCGGCTGCACTTTTCCGCGAACACCGCTGAGCCTTACCTTCTCCCATACTGAACTTTCAGCCGCAGAGACTAAGTCCCATACGGCGATGGGACTTAGTCATTTTTTCAGCCTGAAATAAAGGACTTTTTATCCACTGGAGGGATTTGTGTGATTTTTGGTTATGTTTATATTTAAAGTGTGCTGATTCTGAAAATGTAATTTATGAAGATTGGATGTATGGTTTTAAAGTTATAGTACATGTATAAAAACTGTATTTTTCCTGCCTGTGATAATTATGTTAACCATTGTGTACCATAATTATATTACAGGCAGAGAGGGAGGATTTTTGTGTGTAATTGTGTAAGTGTTTTCTGTAATGTACGTGTGTTATTGGTTGTTCTGTAAAACCCTGTGGGTGGTCCTATGTAAGGAAAACATGCATAAAAGAAGGCCCTTTGGTGCCAATTAAAAAAAAAAGACTTGTCCCTCTAACTTGCAGCCTTGACTCATGTTTGTAGGGGACAGCTACAGGGATTGCTATGCTCTTCATACTCCCTTAGCTACTGAGCTCTTGTAAGAGCTTGTGTTCCGGATCCTGCTTCGCCCTGCAAAAGGAAGAGAGATCACCCACTGGACCCTGGAGCCTGGTCGTAGGTCCAGGGTGGACAGCAGACGGCAAAATACCAGCCCAGCAGCAGTGGTTCGTGGAGTCTGCAGTACTTATGGTGTCTATGCAGTAGTTATGGTGTCTTTGGTGCTGATGGTCCTTTGGTGAGCGCTAGGAGCATCCTTTCTATGGTCCAACTTCCAGCCAGCCTGGAGTCAACCGTAACATTTGGTGGCAGCGGTGAGATGGTGTCCTAGTGTGAGGAGCAGCACCCACACGACACTGGTATCATATGAGAGAGTATTGAGGGCAATGCTAGCCTCTGCGCAGTGTCCCTACCTACAGCAGCATGGAGCTAGCAAATCCTTGCACAGCAGCCAAAATGGAGAAGAGGTTCCTCGACAGAATGAATGGCTTCCTAGCCCAGAGGGAATTGGCAGTCTCAGAAGAGGAGGTGTGTGGGTACAGAAATGAGGCCAGAGCTGAGCTGTGGGATGAAGCCCTGGAGGAAGTCCAGTATCAGTGAAGTGATCGTCCACTCAGCAGAAGGCAGCGGATACCCCTCCTGGGAAAACAACCCCTTCCAGCGTGGGTGGCTAAACTAGAGGCTTTAGTAAATAACGAACTGTGGCTCGACGATGCATACCAGGCACTACAATGGTACGCGGCCCAGCTGGTTCCCGAGGAAGCTGGGTATGAGTTCCCTGAGAGTGGGGATTACAAGGGCCATGGTCTATTCTGGGATAACATAGATGATGACGACTTCAGGAAGACTACCGACTCACACCTTTGGGACTTGTATGACGACCGGGAAGACATGCTGGGTCTCCCTAGAGCCATTGACCTCGAGGCAGATCTGCAGTACCTAGTCACCAACGAATGCGACCTGGAGTACAAGTACCTGCACCTCATCAATGGAGTCCGGGAAGAGACAACCGGTCCCCTTCCCCAACGGCAACCAGAGGTACCCCATGAGAGCCCAACAACAGAGCTAGGTCAAGACCCCTTCAGCTGGAAGGATATCGTAGAGATTTACTGGGAGGAACCTCTGATGGCAGGTAGAGATGGGACCGAGGTCTCTCTACAGGCCCAACAGGGATGCTGGGCAGTCAGCCCAGATCCCCAACCCCAGGGTGAGTTACAGGGAGTGGAGAGCATCGACCTCCCTCCCCAGCGGCAGCCCGAGTTACAGGGAGAGGAGAGCAGCGACCTCCCTCCCCAGCGGCAGGCACCGGTCAGAGGGAAGAGACAACCGGTCTTCTTCCCCAACCACAACCCGAGGTACCCGAGGCAGCAGACCTCATAGACTGGTCCTGGGAGGATCCCCAGCAGGCAGGTGGAGATGGGACCGCAGTCTCTCTATCAGCCCTACAGGGATGCTGGGCAGGCGGCCCAGATAACCAGCGGCAGACCCAGCAACAGGGAGAGGAGAGCATCGACCTCCCTCCCCAGCAGCAGCAGGAGTATCAGGAAGAGGAGGTAAGCCAATTCTCCCCTCCCCAGCTAACTCCTAACTTGGGCCAAGGTTTAAAAGCGGGCATGTTAACCCCCACTGATCACCATGTTCTCCTTTCTATGGGGCAAGAGTATGTCCCAATTCCCCCAGCAGAAAAGCTGGCAGCTGGGCAGAGTGCAGTTGGCCTCTGCCCTCCCTATGTCCCTTGTCTAGAGCCTGACATCCTACAGGCTATCCCAGCGGAAGAGATCGTGTCTATGCAGTAGTTATGGTGTCTACAGTGCTGATGGTACTTTGGTGAGCGCTAGGAGCATCCTTTCTATGGTCCAACTTCCAGCCAGCCTGGAGGCAACCATAACAGACTGAATATGCCCTCAGAAAAGGCACGTGGTGTTACATGAAGCAAGGAAATGAGCAGCAGGTACCTTATGTCTCCAGAAGACTTATTTTTCCAAGGCCACGATCCCACAATTTGACATGAAACATTTCCCAGTGCAAATTCACGATGCTCATGTCTCAAAGTCCCGAGGTATCTCGATTTATGTACATAAAACAGTGACATTTGAGTTACTTCAGAAAATTTCAGATACACAGGGCAGGTATTTCATTTTAATATGTCTGTTGAACAATGTTATGTACACCTTGGTAAATGTTTATGCTCCTAATGAGAATCAGAGGAATTTCCTACTGTGATGTTTTGTACAAACCAGCCAATAATTCCTGTTTAACGAAGTACTCACTTTATTAATACATATATATATATACAGGATCTTCATATTGCTGCCTTGTTACACAGGGTTTCTGCAGCCGCCATTTCAAATCCCTGGAACATTCCACCCAACTGCCAACAGGAACAGGAAGTAAAGAACCAAAAGAAAGTGCATCATTCACAGCCAACAACAGCCCAACTGCCCAATGCCCATACATCACAATACAAACACTCACACACTTATACACAGCCCAGCTGCCCATACATCACACTACATACACTCATACACTCACACACTCATACACAGCCCAACTGCCCATACATCACACTACATACACTTATACACTCACACACTCATACACAGCCCAACTGCCCATACATCACATCTCTTTCCTTTCTCAACAAAAGAAAAAAAACAAAATAGCAAAAAGTCAACAATAATAAAAGAACAATTTAAAAATGTGTCCTTAATCTGCATCATTCTGTCCATCATCTTTATGATCTTCAATCTTTTTTTCAGGACAGCCTATTCTACTCCTACTAGGATACCATTTCCGCCTTCTCACTGTGGAGTTTCTCCGACTATAGTCCCTTAATGGATCTTCTGGTTGCCAGCGGTGTGTGGCACTTCTCTCTCTTGTTGAATGGCCAGTATTTTCATGACCACAGCCTTCATGGTTACTTGAACTGTGGCTTGGCAGTTCTTGTTCCTTAGTTTCATGGGGTATTTCCTCCAAATCATCCCCTATTACATCATGAGCCTCTGTACCAGGTGTATTGCAGACTTCAGAATGTCATCATGCCAAACTCCATGCCAGATATCAGTGTCTGGTTGCATGAGTGGCCCTACTCACTTTGATAGGTTGTCTGTTATACGTGGTCGAAGTTGATTTTTATGTCTCCGTGTGTAGCATCCATCAGAGGTTAAAACTTTATAGTGCGCAGGCCCCAGAACTTCCTTTATCACTGCTTCTTTCCAACGATTCTCCTGATGATATACACGCATCCAAACAGAATCCCCTGTCTGGTAACAACGGCCTGCTTTTCCGACTTGCACCTTAGATTGTTGCTGGATGACCCTTGGTTGAATCTCTGGTTTTAGCAGTTCCAACTTTGTCCTGAGTTCACGGCCTAACATAAAGCATGCTGGAGGTTGTCCAGTGATTGGATGAGGTGTATTTCGATACTGTAGAAGGAACTCAGACAAATGATGTTCAGGTCTCTTTCCTTCTGCTTTCAGACTTCTCAGAAAACCCTTTAACGTTTCAACAAAACGTTCTGTTTGACCATTAGTAGCAGGATAATACGGAGCTGTATGATGATGCCGAATACCATTTTTCTTGAGAAATGCCTGAAATTGTCCAGAAACAAACTGCGGTCCATTATCTGAAACAAGCACTCTGGGCAAGCCAGAGTTTCTGTAATGCTTTAACAGTGGCTTCTGCAGTGCATGAATAGAACTTCTGGCCATTTAGAATGAGCATCTACCACAATCAGATACATTTTGTTTTCTACTGGTCCAGCAAAGTATATGTGAATTCTCTGCCACTGTGATAGAGGCCAGGTCCAAAGTTGTATGGCACCATGTGGCAAGTCACGCTGTGCTTGTGCACAACCAGTGCAACCTGAAACATAACGGGCAATATCATCATCAATGATTGTCCACATACATGACCTCTTGTCTTCTGCTTCATGCAGACTATGCCAGGATGACCTGCATGCAAAATTTCAAGAATCTGTTGTTGTAACACAAAAGGAATAACCACCCTTTCTCCCCAGACTAAGCAGCCACCTTGAATTGATAACTCCTGAGCTCTTGTTTGGAATGACTTGAGATGTATTGGAGTCTTTAGTGGCCAACCCTTGCATACAAAAACAAGTATTTCCCTCAGCAAAGAGTCCTTGGCTGTCTCTATGCAATTTCTCTGGCTGTTATCACCTCACTGAAATATATTGTAGATCTTTCTGTGGTAGTTACCGTATTTATCCGCGTATAACACGCACTTTTTCTCCCTGAAAATAGGGGAGAAATTGTGGGTGCGTGTTATACGCCGGCCCTTTAAATACTGCAGCCGCCTGAGCGCTCTGTCAAGAGCACTCAGGCGGCTGCAGTTGGTACTCACAGTCTGACCGGGTACAGGAAACAGAAACTCCTGTTCCGCGCGGAACAGGAGTTTCTGTTTCCTGTACCCGGTCGGACTGACAGGAAGGTGCACACTGAGCATGCACCTTCCTATCACTCCGGCCGGCCACTGCGGACGGCAGAGCGGCTCGGCCACGCTACAGGGGAGGGGGTAAGAAGGGGGTGAATAGAGGAGGGGGCAAGAAGAGGGAGAGGGAGTGGGGAATAAGAGAGGGGAGGGGGAAATAAGAGAGTGGGGAGAAGAAAGGGGGGAGGGAGGTAAGAAGAGGGGAGGGGGGGCAGAAGAGAAGAGGGGGGGAGTAAGAAAGGGGAGGGGGGCAAGAAAGGGGGAGCGGCAAGAAGAGGGAGTAAGAAAGGGGAGGGGGTAAGAAGAGGGGGGGGAGGGGGGGAGTAAGAAGAGGGGAGTAGGGGGTAAGAGGGGGAGGGGGAAGTAAGAATAGGGGGAGGGGGGAGTAAGAAAGGGGGGTAAGAAGAGGGGGAGGGGGAGTAAGAAGGGGGTAAGAGGGGGAAGGGGAAAAGAAGTAAGTCTTTATTTGAAATTTAAAGGACCACTCTAGGCACCCAGACCACTTCAGCTTTATGTGGTGTGGGTGCCAGGTCCCTCTAGGATTAACCCTTTTTTTTATAAACATAGCAGTTTCAGAGAAACTGCTATGTTTATACTGAGGGTTAATCCAGCCTCCAGAGCCTCTAGTGGCTGTCTCATTGACAGTCGCTAGAGGCGCTTGCGTGCTTCTCACTGTGAAAATCACAGTGAGAGCACGCAAGCGTCCATAGGAAAGCATTGTAAATGCTTTCCTATGCGACCGGCTGAATGCGCACGCGGCTCCTGCCGATGACGTCGCAAGCAAGGAGGAGAGGAGGAGTACAGCTCCCCGCCCGGCGCTGGAGAAAGGTAAGTGTTTAACCTTTCCCTCTCTCCAGAGCCCGGCGGGAGGGGGTCCCTGAGGGTGGGGGCACCCTCAGGGCACTATAGTGCCAGGAAAACGAGTATGTTTTCCTGGCACTATAGTGGTCCTTTAAGTTTTTTTTCCCTGAAATTTCCCTCTTAAAATGAGGTGCGTGTTATACGCCTGGTGCGTGTTATACGCCGATAAATACGGTAATTGTGAATCCATTTTCAATGGAAGTCTAGAGAATGCATCCACATTAGAATGCAGAGTGTTTGGACAATATTGTATCTGATACTGATAAGCCCCCAGAGTTAAGGCATACCTCTGAAGTCTTGCTGCTGTCATGATTGAAATACCTTTCTGTGGGTTAAAAATTGTCAACAAAGGTTTATGGTCCGTAAGCAGTGTGAAGGGTCAACCATATATATAAAGATGGGATTTCTTTACTGCCCATACTATTGCCAGAACCTCTTTATCTATTTGAGAATAGTTTTTTTCTGCAGCTGTGAGCAATCTAGAGGCAAAAGCCACTGGCCTGTCTGTCCCATCAGCCATGGAATAAGACAGGACTGCTGCCAGTTCATAAGGTGATGCATCACAAGCAATGGAAACAGGCTTTTCTAAGTCGTAGTGTACTAAAAGACGTGAACTATGAACTAGTTCTTTTGACTTATGGAAAGCTGAAGCACATTCTACTGTCCAGCGCCATTGTCGTTTACTCTCTATAAGACAATGTAAAGGATACAGGACATGAGCTAAATTTGGCAAAAAAAGGTTGTAATCATTTAACAGACCAAGATAGGACACATTTTGTGGAGTTGGAGCATCCTGTAATGCCTTGACCTTCTCATCTGCTGTACGCTGCCCATGTTTGTCAATTACATGAGCACAAAATTCAAGACGATCCTGCATGAATTGGCATTTATCCAAATTTACCTTTAATCCATATTCCATAAGTCTTTGCAAAACTGCCTCTACATTCTGTTTATGTTCCTCCTCTGATTTACCCGTCACCAGCATGTCATCTAACAGGCACTGTGTCCCAGGAATTCCATCTAACAGCTTGTCCATTTGTAGCAAACTCAACCCTTTAAGAGAGTTTGCCATGAGCTTTTAGAGGGGCTTGCTTGCCCGCCTCCTGCCATGTGACTATGGCCCTGGGGGTATTGTCCTTTAAAGACAGTATTTGGGCATGATGGATTTTTATTATGCGGCTACTGGCCCTTTAAGCATGGACTTCTATTAGTCTGTGTATAGATTGTGTATAGGAAGTTGTACCCCTCCCCCGTTTCCTGTCCCATTGTTCTCCAGCAGGGCGTTGTCCCAGGCACACTGCCAGACTAGTTGGAACTGGTTTGGGCCTAAAGGGACCTCCACAAAACTTTAAGCCCCCATAACTCCTGAACCCCTGATCTGATCTGGGTGATTTTTGGATATGTGTCTCACCCAGATCAGGGCTACCAGGGGATGTAATATTTAAAGGGGTACTCCTAAGTTATGGGGTACATCCAGAAAACAAGGGGAACTGTGTCCTACATAATGGGATTATGTGTCACACTAAGGGGAGGGGATGTGTGGGTGGCAACTCGTGTATGATTGGTGTATTGTGTAATTACTGTAAATCCCTCCCTGGAATGGGATAATGCTTTAAAAGAAGGTTGTGTGATTAAAAGTTCAGTTCTACTCCTGATACTGTGTGTCGTCCAGTGATTGGGGAAAGTGATGGGATATTATTGGATTGTAATGCTGATTGTGCTGGATATTCTCTTGGATTTATTACTTGTTCCTGCATCCTCTTAAAGTACTTGGTGGAGTTTAGCTGTGAGAAATCAGCTCTCCGCTACACCATTGTTCGCTGCCAGACAGCTGGTGCAGGTGAAATGCCAAAAACCATACGGTTATACCTGAATAGCCCCCGATGGGTATTAATCGTAAGTAGTGGTAGAGAATCTGTATGTACAGATAACTGTAGATATGCATTTTTCAAGTCAATTTTGCTTAACTGCTGGCCACCTGCCAATGATGCAAACATATCATGTACCCTAGGAAGGGGATACTTATCTATTTTAAGCTGTGTGTTAAGAGCCATGCGGAAATCCCCACAAATCCGTATATCTCCCTATTTTGTTTTCTCACAGGAACAATGGGCGGAGCCCACTTACTATTGTGAACCCGGGAGATGATTTTCAACTCCTCTAATCTCCTCAATTTTGCCTCCACTCCAGCCCTTAGAGCAAAAGGCACACTTCTTGCTTTAAAAAATGTCGGTGTTGCTCTTCCTTTAATTCTAAGGAAACGTTTGGCCATCAAACACTGGTGCATACTTTTCCTGTAATTCCCTAATCCAGTCAAGTCTGATCTGATTTTCATTCAACACATGACATGGATACTTATGCACTTGAGGCATCCCGAGAGCCCTTATCCACTCCCTACCAAAAAGTGGAGCTCCTCCATTCTCTAAGTTATAGAGAGGTAGTTTATTTTTATACTTGTTGAATGTAACTGTGACTGTCACACAACCTACTGGTATTAACAGCTCTTTAGAATACGTCTGCAGACTCGCTGTTATCTGAATTATTGGCCTGTGTATTTTAAGGCGTTTCCAGTCTGTCAAAGAAATCACTGATACAGCTGCACCTGTGTCCAAATCCATAGTAAGTTTATTTCCATTGACAACAACCTGAACTGTGAATGCAGCCAGATTAGAACCTATTTTATATATTTTTAAATTTCGGACAGGAAATTGTTCATCCGAATCCTCAGAATACTCCTGCATTTGTACTCTATAGGCATTCTTGGCTCTGTCTCTCAAGCGATTACTGCCTCTCTCTGCTGTGGATTTACACATTCTTTGCAGGTGGCCCATTTTACCACAAGCATGACACTTGGCATCCTTGAATCTGCATGTAGTACAACATGTGTAGCAGCTCCACAACGATAACATTTGTAATGTGAATGTTCCTGTTTTGAAAGTTTCTTTCCTTGTGGTACACTCTGTGCTCTAGCATCTAATTTTAAAAACCTCTGCCTCCTGTGTGTTGTCCAGTCTGCTGTGTAATAGATTAGCATCCTATTGTTCTATAACGCTTGCCATGTTCATTGCCTTTTTAAATGTTGAATCTTCTTCTGTAAGCAGTCTTTTTAGCACTGTATCACTTGCAATGCCCATTACAAACTGGTCTCACAGAGCAGTGGGAAGGTAGTCCCCAAAACAACAGGTGCTGGTGAGTTTCCGTAACGCAATGGCATATGCTGAAACTGATTCACCAGGCTCTTGTCTTCTTTTATAGAATTTAAATCTCTCTTCTATCTCTAGTGGTTTTGGTTGGACATAGCTAGTTAACAGAGTAATCAGGCTTGCCAATGGCTTGCTGGCAGGTTTCTCTGGGTGTAAGAGGCTCCTTAGCGTATCATACGTTTTGGCTCCTATAACTGTTAGGAAAACAGCGACCTGTTTATTGTCAGGAATGTCATTAGCTGGGAAATATTGTTCAAGCCTTTCAACCCAAGAGGCCCATAAATCCGAGTCAGGATCAAAGTCCTTTATAGTGCCAATGGCTGCCATGTCAATTATGGTTCTACAGCCTCGTCGCCACTGTGATGTTTTGTACAAATCAGCCAATAATTCCTGTATAACGAAGTACTCACTTTATTAATACATATATAACAGGATCTTCATATTGCAGCCTTGTTACACAGGGTTTCTGCAGCCGCCATTTCAAACCCCTCGAACATTCCACCAACTGCCAACAGGAACAGGAAGTAAAGAACCAAAAGGAAGGAAGTGCATCATTCACAGCCGACAACAGCCCAACTGCCCAATGCCCATACATCACAATACATACACTCACACACTAATACACAGCCCAACTGCCCATACATCACAATACATACACTCATACACTCACACACTCATACACGGCCCAACTGCCCATACATCACACTACATACACTCATACACTCACACATTCATACACAGCCCAACTGCCCATACATCACACCTACACAGCATTCTTACCAAGGTGATGGGTGCACAACAATCTGGTGATATAATCCACATTTTAGATCCTTGATAGGTCTACACCAAAACACTCTCCCAGGTACAGATCACTCAAAACTCAATGCAAAACGATGACAAAATTATTGCTTCACTTTTACCTATACGACTGCTGGAGAACACTGAACCCTAATAAAAGATGTTACACCTGTTACTCGCAAACTCATAAGACCCCCAATCATAGAGATGATTTTAAATTTTGTGATTGTAACCCATGGAAACTCAACACAACATTATTGCATAATGACCAATTCTGTGCTGAAGTAGAGACAGACCTCTCTGCCTCCTTCTCATTAAATGATACACAGGGAGTGCCTGTTTCCTCGATTTGGCATGCCCATAAGGCTGTCATACGTGGGGTGTTTTTCTGAAGCTCCTCATTTCTTAAGAAACAAACTCAGGCAAGGTCACTCAACCTATTATGGACACTAAGGGATCTCACTACAGCCCATTATTTACACTCCCGTGACACAGTTGCAGAACAAATAGCAAAAGTCCAAAGAGACATTAACAACATAAACATAGCTCATACACTTTACACAAATTAAAGGCTAAGGAATATGACCTGGGGAGCAAAGCAGGCTCAATGCTAACTAGTAGACTTTGGGACATGCACGCCCAATCTAAAATAGCCTACTTAGTATCAGAAGATGGTAAGAAAATAATAAAGCCCCAAGCTATTTGCAACAAATTTGCTGAGTTATATAGCAAGCTGTCAGTCATGCCCTAGGCATGACAAAACTCAGACACCCACCCCTTCTAAATTTCTCCTCCTGTTAAAAAAACAACACGCTGTTTGCCTGACAGACACACACCTTCACGGATGCATACACAGTCATTGTCACACACACTGTTTAACCAACACACACTTTCACTTAAACATACACACTCACTGACAGACAGACACTCATACTTACATTCACCGACAGACACCCACCGACAGACTCACTGACAGATGCACACTCAGTGTCAGACACACACACATACCCATTGACAAACACTCAGTGTCAGACACACACTTTCGCTAACAGACATACACATTGACTGACACACACTCTCATGTATGTATACACATACATTCACTAGCAGACATACACACTCTCACTGATATACACTCTTTGACAGACACACACACACACACACACTCACTAACAGACACAAACACACTCACCAACAGACACACACACTAACACACTCACTAACAGACACACACTCTCACCAACAGACACAGACACACTAGCACATTCACCAACAGACACACACACTAACACACTCTCATTAACATACAGACACACTAACCCACTCACTAACAGACATACACACTATCACTGTCACACACTCTTTGACAGACACATGAACACACTCTCACTAACAGACACACTCTCACTATCAGATTCACACACACTAACAATTTTTTTTATTTTGTTGCTTACATTTAGGTGGATTCCTCCCTGGAGTCCAGTGGGGCTGGCAGGGCAATGCAGGTGGTCTGGTGGGTGGTCGGACAGGCAGACGTTCAGGCAGATGTCAAGGGAGAGCTCATCCTAGTGCTCACTTCCTCGCGCGCCTCTTAGAGTGATGTCATATTCCGGCTCTGGCATCACTGCAGTGCAAGCGAGGGAGCTGAGCAGGAGCCCTCGCTGCCCACAGCCCACATTAGTGCATGACAGCCTCTGGGGAGCCCTGAGGTGGCCAGTCGCCCAGCTCCTGGGCCCTCCAGGGCAAGAGGCTAACATGGCATCTGCTGGGGTATTTGGGGGTGGCTTTTTTGCCTCCCCCCTAAAAGTGCCACCCAAGGCAAATGCCTTGCCAGCCTCATGGTAAATACACCGCTGCAAGCTGTATAACCTAAAAGAGGACCCCCATGCCCACTAACCTACAAACTACGAAATCTCAAAATTTCTATCCACAAAACACCTACCGTCCTTATCCTCAGTCCAGAGTAAGAAAATGGCTGAGCCAATAACTCTAGAAGAGGTAGAGAAAGTAATAGGGGATCTGCCCTCCAATAAATCTCCTGGCCCCTCCAACAAATCTCTCCTGGTGTCATGACAACTATATGATCCAACATGCAGAACCATGTAACATCTACAGAACAGAAAAACCAACAGAATGTAAACCGGTCCTTAGAATGGCCGGGCTAATACATTGAAAAATAGAGAATATTCAAGGGAAAGCTGAGGTCAAGGGAGCCGGAAATACACAAGATCCATAAGAAAGACAAGTCAGGGAAACCAGAAATTAGAATAGTCAGGAACAGCCGAAGTCAAATATGAGTAATATCAATAACAAGATCAGGAAAACGCACTCTTGGATACCAGGAACGGAAACCACAACAGAGCAATGAGCTAAGGTATTCTGGGGTTTAAATACCTGTCCTTGGGCTATGATTGGTCAGAGCTTCACCTCTGACCCTAGAAAGTGCATGTGTGTTGACGTTGTGACATCACACGCATGGTCGCGTAACTTTTGGAAGCGTGGCTACAAATTGACACGACCTCGCTGTCGGCACCATTTTAGATCCCGCGTGTGAAGGGGATGGACACCCCAACGGTTGGAGAAATTACTATCTCACTTTTCTAGGTGTCATTCTCCCCTTCAATTTGTCCACGTTGTATCATTTAAACTATGTAAAGTTGAGCAAATAAATAACTAACACCCTACATAATTGGAATAACAAATTAATCTCCTAGTCGGGATGTATAGCTGCTGTCAAGATGATAATCTTGCCAACGCTGCAATATATGCTCCGAACAGTCCCAATGTCCCGACAGCATTTTTTAGAACTCTCCAAAAACAAATTCATTTGTTCATCTGGAATGGAAAATGACTTAAAGTAGCTCTTTCAACACTGTATAAACATGTTTATAAAAGTGGAATGAGCCTCAACCAATATCCATACAAAGCAGCCATCCTAAATATCCTTGTGTCAGCTTGGTACTTCATCCTGCACAGACCCACAGGCCAGGTGAATTCTTACCTGACCACCTTGGCCTGTGGCTATCTGCAAGGGTGAGCAACATATCTGTGCTACAGACTCCCAACCCAGGTAAGACCCTGACACGATTCGCGTCTCAGCTCCGATACGCATGCGCGGCAAGAGCCGCGTGCGCATTCACTCCGCCCATAGGAAAGCATTACTCAGTGCTTTCCTATGGATGTTCAACGTCTTCTCACATATTTTCACAGTGAGAATCGCGGAAGCTCAATGAGACAGCCACTAGAGGCTGGATTAACCTTCAGTGAAACATAGCATTTTCTCTGAAACTGCTATGTTTTCAGCTGCATGGTTAAAACTAGAGGGACCTGGTACCCAGACCACTTCATTGAGCCGATGTGATCTGGGTGTCTGTAGTGGTCCTTTAAGTATATGTGTATCTGCATGCACTGGTGTACATACCACGGTCGCAGGGGTCGCAGCTCTGTGCCCGCCGTCATGTGTTGCAGACCCGGCCCGCACAGAGTAAGCGCGGGGGGCCCACAGAACAGTTTTTGCACCGGGGCACCATGAGTTGTGTGTATGCCACTGATTAGCAGTATGGGACCGATCACAAAGGCTTTTGTGCAGAAGCCACCCTACCTCTCTAGCCACACCCCTATCGGTTTTGTCTGTTTTAATTCTTGGATTTAACTTTAGGAATTGGAATAGATGTGGTGTTAAGTACATTTACGAATTGCAACTAAATGGGAATCTGCAAACGTTTGAACAACTGAAAGATAGATACACACTGTCTAACACAGCAAGCTTCTCACATGTACAATTACAATCTTGGTGGCACGGTCATGTGGAGATACCCTCTTTGTCTCCATGCAAGACGCTGACAAACTTTGAAAAATTCTACATGGCCCTATCACCAGTAAAAAAAAAAAAATGATATCTACCATTTATACTCTACTAAAGCCAGTCAGAGAAATAAAATACAAACCCTGCACTGTATGCAGACTTGGGAAAAAGACCAAGGTCACAAGTTGGCAGAGACCGCATAGCCCTTAGATGGCTGTGATTGATTTTGTTTACATCCCACATGTAACTTTCAAGAAAAATATTCAATCACTGGTATATGGTCCCGACCCATATGGCAAACATGAATCCATCTAAGCCAAACAAGTGTTGGAGATTCCAAAAATAACCAGGCACTTTTATTCACACTTGGTGGAGCCGCTCCCAAATACAACCTTATAACCCTCATGCACAACCACACAAAGGTGACTATACCCAACTCCCCTTCCTCTATGTTGTTGTTCATTTTTGAGACACATATCTTAAACTGATCAAGTATATGATCTTTCATATTCCCATAGCAGCCTTGTCATAGCCAAAATTGTCTTTCCCCAACAAACGCCTCTATGCATGAAGATCTAAAGACCTTAAGACACATATCACTAGTAGGACGATAAGAGTTAAACATACTCCAAATTCCACCAATGAGCAAATGGAGGCATGAAGTATGGGAAAATTGGGCCTTGAAACACCCTACTTAGCCAACTATACATACACTCAACACTTTGCCTACTTAATGGCCAAGGGAAGTTGAGAGTGGTCAGCAATCCACTTGGGCCCATTACTAGTATATAGTATTCCTTCCTATCACACGAGGAATGGCTGGTTTCACCCTACCCTCTTTATTTTCCTCTTTCTGACCGCTATCCACCAACTACAGTAACAAACAGGCAAGGGGAAACATTAAGGCAAGGAATAAGGTCCACGATAGATGGCACACAGGTCAGCTCCACAGTAGAAAGTGGAAAATGCACATACCTACACCTCAGAGTTCAAGTCGAATACGGTATCGGTCTCAATATGGCTTACTAATATATATACATCCACCAGAGTACTAGACATACCACCTTTTGTGACAGACAAGTTCACTCAGTTTGAAAGTACGAACACAATGTTTCAATATGTTACCCGGAAATATTCTGTATACCAGTGCTGTTACAAGTATTGCTTTCTTCTACGAGTCATATATGACCTATGTTTACCTATTACAATGTGACGGAAATGTGGCGACCTATTTTGTAACTATGTCATTGCTTAGATGACAGCCTCTCCCCCCCAAAAAATATAAACTATTACTTATCTTTTTCTTTTTGAACATAAATGGATTGTGCTGTCTTTTGCTAAAAATGTAACATTTCTTTTTTTTTTTTTTAAATGAAGCACCAAATGAAAAAAAAGGTTTTTAGAAACATTATGAGTGATTGTTAATGTTTTAGTGAATGATGACTGTGCCGGAGAAGCAACAGTTCATCTTTAATCTGCTGGGATTTCAGTAAAGTAAATATTTTGTTAAGACTCAGGGGAAAAACATGCTACTAAAATATTATAAATAGTGGGTTTGCAGACTGATAATGAGTCCATTTGTAACGAAGGCTGGAGGTGAGGTGACTCTTAATGGGTGGGATTTTCTGAAAAAAAATGCATCTATTTTAAACATGTTTTACCTCTTCATTATTTTTACATTTATTTATCTTTTAAATAGCATTAGACTTTGATTTTCTCTCTCACTTTCCCCCTCTCTCCTCTTACGTCAGAATCCCATAGTTTCTACAGATATTTAAAAGATTTATAAATTACTAACATCATCTAATTAACTCTAATAAAAGCTCTTCTATATTTGTGTACCGTCTAGACAAAGCAAATATGTTTCAGTGTTTCTTTTCAATAAATTATTGGGATATGTGTAAACAATAGCATGAATAGATCATATCTTTCATAATACTTTCTTTAAACAGGACACTGGGGAAAAATAAAAAAGCAAGGATGGTAAATATCTCCAGTAATGACAAACTTATTCTTCTGGGACTGGAAGAGTTGCAAAGTTTAAAATATATGTTCTGTGTGCTCTCTATTGTCACATATCTATTTATTGTTTTTCTGAGCATTTTAATTGTGCTTGTGATTTTGAGTGAAGAAAGCCTCCATGAGCCCATGTACATTCTTATTTGCAACTTGACTCTTAATGGGATTTTCGGAAGCTCATCTTTTTATCCAAAGTTAATTAGTGATCTGTTAACTTCATCTAAAACAGTTTCACGGACGAACTGCCACATCCAAGTTCTTTGTCTTATGACTTTCATTTTGTTTGAAGTATTAACTTTTACAATCATGGCTTATGACCAATATTTAGCCGTATCGCACCCTCTCCAGTATATTATGATGATGACCACTGGAAAGACGGTGAAACTCATTGTTGGATCTTTTATATTTTCTTTCACGTCCGTGCTGATATCTGTTCTTCTGTCTGCCAGATCACCTCTTTGTGGAAATGAAATCAAAAATATATTTTGTGACAATCTGTCTTTAATAATTTTGTCTTGTCTTGATTCTTCTGTGAATAATCTCTATGCATTCATTGCAACAATAATTTTTTTAATGTTTACAATATCAGTAATTACTTATTCTTATCTGCAGATTTTCAATATTTGCATAAAATTGACCAAAACGTCCTATAGGAAAGCTTTACATACACTGGTGACCCACTTACTCAACTTTTCGATATTTCTGGTGGGCGCTCTTTTTTTGTTTGTTCGTTTTAGACTCAATAGCAGCATAGTCCCACTTTTTGCTCACGTTCTGCTTTCTGTTAGTTTTGTAGTATTTCCTCCACTTCTCAACCCTCTCATATATGGTATCAGAACAAAGGCAGTAAAAATGAAAATTATAAGTTTCTTAAAGACAATTTGGACACCTGTATGAATGCACAAACTAGATTTTCTCGAATAGATAAAAAACAAACAAAAATATACTGGGATAACCTAAAAAAGAATGAAAAAACAAATTGTAAATTGCATTGTGTAATACGAATAAAAGTGATAACATTTCTGGTTTCCCTACCTGCAAACTGACTGACTGGGATGTCGAGCGTGATATTGGGTGTTTTGTGTCTTTAAACCTATCTGACCCAGAGTGCTGATGATAGTACATGACTTTTAGAAGACACTGCGCTCTATGGTAATTAGACTTTTTGGGACATACATTCCTGTTCATTTTATATATGTTTTCCTTTTGTACCTACAGCAAACTGTTGCACTTAAAACGTGGCAATTTTTGCTTTTTGAATTGTTTTATACATATGCAATGAAACAATAAAATAAAAAAATAGAAAAATATCTGCTTTCATTTGCAATTTGAGTAGCAAAGCTTAAGCTATTTGACTTAACTCTATGATAAAAAATAAAAATATATATTCTAAACCCTGGTACTAACTCATATTCTACTATCGTTCATGCCGAGATGGAGTAAGGGTGCAGAGGCACAGCATTATTATTATTACTGACCGAGCTAGGACCCAGCCATTACAAGTTGATGGGGGCTTAGGTTATGTATTACTTTACATTACAATGTGATAGCATTTGTATGTGTCTGAGTTTGTCTAAATGTGTATGTGAGCGCTTGTTATTGAATTTAATACTATCTTAGAGTGTTTGAATGTATATGTGAGTGCTTGTTATAAACTATAATAGAGTGTCATAATATACATGTGAATGCTTGTGATAGGGTATAATACTACCTTAATGTGTCTGAGTGTGTGTCTGTCTGTCTGTTTTTTTGTGTCAGCAAATATTTATGAGAATCGATCAGTGCTGTGTGAGTCTGCAAATGTCTAGAGTATAATACTTTCTTAGAGTGTCAGAATGTGTGTAAATGCTTGTGATAGAGTATAATACTACATGAGAGTGCCTGAATGTGTATGTGAATGCTTGTCATAGAGTATAATAATACCTTAGTGTGTCAGAATGTGTAAATTAGTGCCTGTATGTCTGGTTCGGGTGTGTCTGCAAATATTTGAGAATATGGATAAGTGCTGCATGAGTCTACAAATGTCTGTGTGAGTCTGTTAATCTGTGACCGCCGCACTATCTTGAAAAAGCCCGGGTGTTTGGGCGAAACATGTTGAAGTGCTAACAGCTTCTGTCCTAGAGGGGTGAATGAGGAGTGATTACTGTTACCGGCTTGGAAACTTGGCGTCCTTCCAACACAAGAACTTAGCTGCATGGCAAAGAGATTCAGCCACGACCCATAAGATCGGAAGAACAGGCGGTAACTACATTTCACTCTCTAAAACCCATGCTTGTTTGTGGTTTCTTGAAAACAAGTACCACCATTTGTTTATGTAAGGGTTCCTTTTGGGGGAGAGGGTTTTTTAAACTTGTATGCCAACAAATACAGTTACGCTATGAGGATTTATTTTGTATCTTTTTAAGGTACAACTATTGCTGGGGTGTACATTGTATCCCCAGACTGTGGGTACTACCTGTGTGGCAAGATTAACCCTTTCTGCATCTACCCAAGAACTCTGGGACATTACAATATTTTCACAAATTTTTGGAAGAATATACACTGAATAATATATGCTGTAGATACTTTTAAGGTTTCTTATAACTAATTGAAATTTAAGAGTATAAAGTGGTTGTTTTCTTTCATAATATTATTTGTGGAGTGCCCAGTATAACATTGAGGGCTTCTCCAATATAGTGCTAACACGTTTTAATCTTTTTGTACTGTATTTTGTGAAATTTTAAGGATATTTCTAGTGTGTTTTTTTTTAGCAGCTTTCATGTATTTTATATTAATATTTTCATTCTAGTTTTTACTCATTTATTGTGCTGTCTTATTAGCTTTTGTATAAGCGTGTGTAAGTGTCTGTAAACTTAAAGTCTGAGAATATCTGTTTGACTGTGTATGTTATGTAACTTAAAACCTTTATAAAACAATCACTTCAGTTAATCTCTTAGTTAATATTTCTTGTTTTAAATTTGTAATATTTGCCGTTAGTGCTGGATGACACACACTTGAACCCAGTGTGTGTCATCCTTGGGTCTTTGATCTTCTCTTTGTTAGCAGTGCTGACAGCTGTTCTTCTATCTATGAGACTCCCTCTTTGTGGAAATGCAAGCAAAAATATATTTTGTGATAATATGTCCTTTTTAATGTTGTCATGTGTGGATTCGTCTGCAAATTACATCTATGGGATAACGATCACTGTATTATTCTTAATAGTCACCACAGGAATAATAATTTATTCTTATCTGCAGATTTTTAATATATGCATTAAATTGACCGAAAGTTCATATAGAAAAGCTTTAAGTACATTGGTGAGCCACCTACTTAATTTTTCAATATTTATGGTTGGCACACTTTTTATTTTTGTTCGACTTAGACTTGATAGCAGCAAACTCCCACTTTTTTCGCACATTCTTCTGTCTGTTAATATTGTCCTGTTGCCACCACTTCTCAAACCTCTTATATATGGAATAAGGACAGAAGCATTAAGAAATAAGATGACTTGTCACCTACAGAAAATATTCACACCTGTTAAATTTCAAGTTACATTTTCTTAAATGTAAGCACAACCAATGTATTAATTTACCATATGAAACAAAATATACAAAGACCATACATGCATTGTGGAAATAAATATGTGATAAAACATTTGATGTGATCTGTTACTAATTGTTTTCTCACAGCCGGAAGCACTCTTCATTAAGTTAAGCATGGTGGTGCAGGGCCCAACTCATGAGAGATTAGTGGCATTTGGAGATGTAGTGTTGGAAGTGAAAGCAGAAAAAACAGAAATGATGGAACAGCAGAAGGATTGGGGGCCAGAATATGGATCTGTTATGAGTTGTTGGATTCTAAGCAGGAAAACAGTTGTAAGGAGAGCAGTTACTGACCCTAAGAGTCCAAGATTAAATAAGGGAAAAGGATGAATGGAGTATGTGGGTGAGACAAATACCTGCAAAGCCAGGAACAGGACAGGTAGGACTGCACACTCAACAATTGCTGAGGTGGAAACCATAAGGTGGCCTAATTTGACCCATTATTAAAAAAAACTACCCTGTTTAAACCATCTTGTAAAATGAAAGTGACCTGTTTCAGAAAAATAAATTAATAAGTCCAGTAAGCTAAAAGTGATTAGCCAGGTTTCGAACCCGTCAGTGGCTCAGAACCTCGGATGCCGTCAACCATACTTGGATCAGTAATAGGATCTGTTGAATGTCTTAAGATATTGTGCAATGTCAGCAAGAGAAATGTTAAAATCAGGATGGGACTAGAGAGCTTATGTATAAAAACCATAGGAAGAGCAGGACTATAATGAGAGGTAACACTTGGAAGTAGATGATTAACAGAATGATACGCATTAAGATGTAGAAGGTATACTTGTTTCGAAAGACTCCAAAGATCCCAGTACAGCCACTGGAACCAGTAGGTAAATTTCAGAACACAACACTTCTGCTGTATATTAAGCTAGATATAAATATATTTTTGCTATATCTCTACATTTGCTTTCATACTTAAAAATGCAATAATCAGCTTAGAGAAACGTCTGGGTTAGGAATATATGTATGGTCTCTTGCATAATGCTATTCAGGGTGTCTTTATATGTAATATTATTATTATTATTATTATGTTATTTATATAGCACCATCAAATTCCGCAGCGCTTTCCAATGGGTGGACGAACAGACGTAGTTGTAACCAGACAAGTTGGACACACAGGAACAGAGGGGTTGAGGGCCCTGCTCAATGAGCTTACATGTTAGAGGGAGTGGGGTAAAGTGACACAGTAACAGAGGGATTGAGGGCCCTGCTCAGTGAGCTTACATGCTAGAGGGAGTGGGGTAAAATGACACAAAAGCTAACTATAGTATTAGAATAGTGACAGTTGCAGAAGAGGAATCAGTCGGGAGCTATTAACAGTTTAATTGATATGATTTTATGAAGAAGTGGGTTTTTAACAATTTTTTGAAGGAGTGGAGACTGGGTGAGCATCTAACAGAGGAGGGAAGTGAGTTCCACAGAAACGGTGCAGCCCTCAAGAAATCTTGAAGGCAAGCATGGACAGAAGATAGACGTAAGTCTGCAGCAGATCATAAGGGCCTAGACGAGACATACTTGTGTATAAGGGAGGATAGATATGTGGGAGCAGCATTATGTAGAGATTTGAAAGCAAGAAACAGAATTTTAAATTGAGCTCTATATCTTATAGGAAGCCAATGTAGGGACTGACAGAAGGGTGAGGCATGGGAGGTGCGGGTGATGCGGGTGGACAGGAAGATGGGCCTCGCCCCACATTCATTATGGACTGTAACGGCGCAAGTTGGGAGCATGTAAGACCACTGAGAAGTGGATTACATTAATTAAGGTGAGAAAGGACAGTGGAATGGACCAGCACCTTAGTCGCATCTGGCGTTAAGTACGGGCGGATGCGCGCAATGTTTTTGAAATGGAAATGACAGGATTTGACGATAGACTGAACATGAGGCTTGAAGGAGAGGTCGGAGTCAAAGAGAACACCTAGGCAGCGAGCCTGTGTGGTGGAGCTGATGGTAGCACCATTGACTTGGAGACAGACAGACACAGGAGTAAACATAGAAACATAGAATGTGATGGCAGATAAGAACCATTCGGCCCATCTAGTCTGCTCAATTTTCTAAATACTTTCATTAGTCCCTTGCCTTATCTTATAGTTAGAATAGCCTTATGCCTATCCCACGCATGCTTAAACTCCTTTACTGTGTTAACCTCTACCACTTCAACTTGAAGGCTATTCCATGCATCCACTACCCTCTCAGTAAAGTAATACTTCCTGATATTATTTTTAAACCTTTGTCCCTCTAATTTAAGACTATGTCCTCTTGTTGTGGTAGTTTTTCTCCTTTAAATATAGTCTCCTCCTTTACTGTGTTGATTCCCTTTATATATTTAAATGTTTCTATCATATCCCCCCTGTCTCGACTGTCCTCCAAACTATACATATTAAGATCCTTTAACCTTTCCTTGTAAGTTTTATCCCTGAACCAGTTTAGTAGCCCTTCTCTGAACCCTCTCTAAGGTATCAATATCCTTCTGAAGATACGGTCTCCCGTACTATGTACAATACTCCAAGTGAGGTCTCACCAGTGTTCTGTACAATGGCATGAGCACTTCCCTCTTTCTACTGCTAATACCTCTCCCTATACAACCAAGCATTCTGCTATCATTTCCTGCTGCTCTATTACATTGTCTGCCTACCTTTAGGTCTTCAGAAAGATTCACCCTTAAATCCCTTTCCTCATATGTTGAGGTTAGAACTCTATCAAATATTCTGTACTCTGCCCTTGGGTTTTTACGTCCAAGATGCATTATCTTGCACTTATTCACATTAAATGTCAGTTGCCACAATTCTGACCATTTTTCTAGTTTACCTAAACAATTTGCCATTTGGCTTATCCCTCCTGGAACATCAACCCTGTTACATATCTTAGTATCATCAGCAAAAAGACATACCTTACCATCAAGACCTTCTGCAGTATCACTAATAAAAATATTAAAGAGAATGGGTCCAAGTACAGATCCCTGAGGTACCCCACTGGTGACAAGTCCAAGCTTCGAATATATTCCATTAACTACAACCCTCTGTTGCCTGTCACTCAGCCACCTTACCCATTCAACAATATTGGAATCCAAACTTAAAGATTGCAGTTTATTGATAAGCCTTCTATGTGCAACAGTGTCAAAAGCCTTACTGAAATCTAGGTAAGCAATGTCTACTGCACCACCCTGATCTATAATTTTAGTTACCCAATCAAAAATCAATAAGATTAGTTTGGCATGATCTCCCTGAAGTAAACCCATGTTGTCTCTGATCTTGAAATCCATGTGTTTTTAGATGTTCAACAATCCTATCCTTTAACATGGTTTCCATCACTTTCCCCACTACTGAAGTAAGGCTTACTGGCCTATAGTTGCCCGACCAATCCAATCTTCTGGGAGTAACAACACTTGAGAGAGGAAAGACCAGAATTTCAGTTTTGGTCAAGTTCAGTTTAAGGAAGTAGGCAGCCATCCAGTTAGAAATAGCAGAGAGACAGTCAGAGACACTGGTCAAGAGGGACGGGGAGAGATCAGGACAGGACAAGTAGATTTGCGTGTCATCTGCATAGAAATTATATTGGAAGCCAAAGGAGCTAATGAGTTTACCAAAGGAGGCAGTATAGATGGGGAACAGTAGGCGACCAAGGGTAAAGTGACACAGTAACAGAGGGATTGAGGGCCCTGCTCAGTGAGCTTACATGCTAGAGGGAGTGGGGTAAAATGACACAAAAGCTAACTATAGTATTAGAATAGTGACAGTTGCAGAAGAGGAATCAGTCGGGAGCTATTAACAGTTTAATTGATATGATTTTATGAAGAAGTGGGTTTTTAACAATTTTTTGAAGGAGTGGAGACTGGGTGAGCATCTAACAGAGGAGGGAAGTGAGTTCCACAGAAACGGTGCAGCCCTCAAGAAATCTTGAAGGCAAGCATGGACAGAAGATAGACGTAAGTCTGCAGCAGATCATAAGGGCCTAGACGAGACATACTTGTGTATAAGGGAGGATAGATATGTGGGAGCAGCATTATGTAGAGATTTGAAAGCAAGAAACAGAATTTTAAATTGAGCTCTATATCTTATAGGAAGCCAATGTAGGGACTGACAGAAGGGTGAGGCATGGGAGGTGCGGGTGATGCGGGTGGACAGGAAGATGGGCCTCGCCCCACATTCATTATGGACTGTAACGGCGCAAGTTGGGAGCATGTAAGACCACTGAGAAGTGGATTACATTAATTAAGGTGAGAAAGGACAGTGGAATGGACCAGCACCTTAGTCGCATCTGGCGTTAAGTACGGGCGGATGCGCGCAATGTTTTTGAAATGGAAATGACAGGATTTGACGATAGACTGAACATGAGGCTTGAAGGAGAGGTCGGAGTCAAAGAGAACACCTAGGCAGCGAGCCTGTGTGGTGGAGCTGATGGTAGCACCATTGACTTGGAGACAGACAGACACAGGAGTAAACATAGAAACATAGAATGTGATGGCAGATAAGAACCATTCGGCCCATCTAGTCTGCTCAATTTTCTAAATACTTTCATTAGTCCCTTGCCTTATCTTATAGTTAGAATAGCCTTATGCCTATCCCACGCATGCTTAAACTCCTTTACTGTGTTAACCTCTACCACTTCAACTTGAAGGCTATTCCATGCATCCACTACCCTCTCAGTAAAGTAATACTTCCTGATATTATTTTTAAACCTTTGTCCCTCTAATTTAAGACTATGTCCTCTTGTTGTGGTAGTTTTTCTCCTTTAAATATAGTCTCCTCCTTTACTGTGTTGATTCCCTTTATATATTTAAATGTTTCTATCATATCCCCCCTGTCTCGACTGTCCTCCAAACTATACATATTAAGATCCTTTAACCTTTCCTTGTAAGTTTTATCCCTGAACCAGTTTAGTAGCCCTTCTCTGAACCCTCTCTAAGGTATCAATATCCTTCTGAAGATACGGTCTCCCGTACTATGTACAATACTCCAAGTGAGGTCTCACCAGTGTTCTGTACAATGGCATGAGCACTTCCCTCTTTCTACTGCTAATACCTCTCCCTATACAACCAAGCATTCTGCTATCATTTCCTGCTGCTCTATTACATTGTCTGCCTACCTTTAGGTCTTCAGAAAGATTCACCCTTAAATCCCTTTCCTCATATGTTGAGGTTAGAACTCTATCAAATATTCTGTACTCTGCCCTTGGGTTTTTACGTCCAAGATGCATTATCTTGCACTTATTCACATTAAATGTCAGTTGCCACAATTCTGACCATTTTTCTAGTTTACCTAAATCATTTGCCATTTGGCTTATCCCTCCTGGAACATCAACCCTGTTACATATCTTAGTATCATCAGCAAAAAGACATACCTTACCATCAAGACCTTCTGCAATATCACTAATAAAAATATTAAAGAGAATGGGTCCAAGTACAGATCCCTGAGGTACCCCACTGGTGACAAGTCCAAGCTTCGAATATATTCCATTAACTACAACCCTCTGTTGCCTGTCACTCAGCCACTGCCTTACCCATTCAACAATATTGGAATCCAAACTTAAAGATTGCAGTTTATTGATAAGCCTTCTATGTGCAACAGTGTCAAAAGCCTTACTGAAATCTAGGTAAGCAATGTCTACTGCACCACCCTGATCTATAATTTTAGTTACCCAATCAAAAAAATCAATAAGATTAGTTTGGCACGATCTCCCTGAAGTAAACCCATGTTGTTTCTGATCTTGAAATCCATGTGTTTTTAGATGTTCAACAATCCTATCCTTTAACATGGTTTCCATCACTTTCCCCACTACTGAAGTAAGGCTTACTGGCCTATAGTTGCCCGACCAATCCAATCTTCTGGGAGTAACAACACTTGAGAGAGGAAAGACCAGAATTTCAGTTTTGGTCAAGTTCAGTTTAAGGAAGTAGGCAGCCATCCAGTTAGAAATAGCAGAGAGACAGTCAGAGACACTGGTCAAGAGGGACGGGGAGAGATCAGGACAGGACAAGTAGATTTGCGTGTCATCTGCATAGAAATTATATTGGAAGCCAAAGGAGCTAATGAGTTTACCAAAGGAGGCAGTATAGATGGGGAACAGTAGGCGACCAAGGACTGAACCTTGGGAATTGGCTGCAGGCATTCTGTATCCTCGCCAGTGTTATCGGTGAGAAGACGTTGGGAATTTGCGCTTCCTTATTTTGCCACCATGGTATGGTGAAAATATGACCAGCAATTCCGTCAGCGACTATCGGCTAATCCTGGTGTGTAGGGGCATCAGATGGATGAAACTCATGATGTCTCAAAAAGCATCGCTCTTTCAGCATGTGGCCGACGTGTACAGGCAGTCCCCTAAGTTGGCTTCCCGCAGGAAGGGTTTCTGCTGGCTCTTTTAATGAGGGCCAATGCAAGTGGGGAGCCACTTGCAAATACAAGCACGAGTGCTCCGACTGCGCATGGACTCCACCAGTGTTTTAAAAATGAAAGGGGGGGGGGGTGCAAGGCTAAGCCTTTACAGTCATAGGGCAGATGCTGCGTTATTGAGTGCAAGTCTCCAGGAGGATTTCATCATCCCTTTTCAGGATAGGGTTTACTTCGTAATCTGAAGTCGGTAGAAGGCCGGATCTGCTGGTCTTGCATGCAGGAGGTAATGACCTTGGGCTTATCCCTTAGCGTCTCCTGGTGAAATGAATTAAGCACGATATTAATCGGATTAGAGCACGGCTTCCGGAAGTGCAATTGGTTTGGTCAGAAATAGTTCCCAGGCTCTGTTGGCGGCACACACAGGATCTGGTAGTGCTTGAGCGCTGCTGGACTAAAGTGAATAGATTGATGGCTAGCTTTGTCAGAAAAGTGGGTGGAGTGGTGGTCAGGCACACGGAGATGGAGGATGTGTTAGCAGGCTATTTCTGCCCTGATTGGGTCCAACTCTCGGACGTGGGGTGGGACCTGTTTAATTTTCATTTGCAGGAAGTTTTGGCCAAGGCGTTGTTTCTGTGAGGTGGTGGAGCTCATGCGGCTTAAGGGTTCAAGGTCTGAGCTTGTGGTGGGGTGGGATAAGGAAGTTTAAGTAAAAACAAGCCTTAGTTAGTATATGAGTTGGGGCAGTTAGTTGATTGGTTAAAAGGGTACACTGTTTGTACAAGTTTTGCTAGGTTTCGAACCCGTCAGTGGCTCAGAACCTCGGTGGTGTAGGAATATATGGGTATACCCCTACCAGGATTAAACAAAAAAATGTTGGCACTTTACATATTCATATTTATGTGGTTGTAATATATTGTTATGTTGTGTTGGGGGTCATTGCCTTTGATTTAAAGATGGGGGAGATGGCATAATATGGGGTGGGGGGGGTAGCGGGTAATGACCTTTATATATTTGTACATAATAATTTATTATCTTTATTATTATTAAAGCTGTGGAAATTTGACCCATACATAAGAGTGTCAGTGTCTTATTGGGTGGGTTTGGGATCAGGTATTTTCAAAACTTGCATTTAATGTGTGCACATCCACCTCCATTGATGCCAACCAATATTTACCAGTTTGCAAATTGGTATCTTACAATTCCACCAGGACACAATAACAGGTTCCCTCAACGTATGTTCACTTTACTTGCTATCATCTCAGCAAGTTGCCCTTTAGTTTGCATTACTTCTGACTTGCCAAACTTCACATGTATTTATTGAAATTGACATACACCATGCTTATAGATACATGCAGGATGCATACTGCCAACACTTGGAACCCTATCTACCTCTCCCTTTAATTATTCTTTCAGTAGGTGGGTCCACTTTATTCTGACCTACTTGACCATCCGTTTCGGCACACCACAACCGATTTGCCTTACTTGTACTGCCTCTAACCTTATTAAAAAAATAATAATAATAATAATAATAATATATATATATATATATATATATATATATATAAAAATATATATATTATTTTTTTTCTAATGCTTAACAATGCGTGACATTATTATACATCAAATAATTGGTAACGCAGCCATTATATTTAAAGACATCCTGAATAGCATTATTTAAAAGACCATACATATATTCCTAACTCAGACATTATTCTAAGCTGATTGTTGCATTTCTATATTTATTTTATTTATTCAGGTTATAACATTCATCAAGCGAAAACGCCAATATATCTTTTTTATACAAAGACATAATAATATTATATAACATTAAATAGCTAGAGTTTCCATATGAAATATAGTATTCAGTGAAAACCATCAATTATGTATAAATAATATACAGTTGCAAGAAAAAGTATGTGAACCCTTTGGAATGATATGGATTTCTGCACAAATTGGTCATAAAATGTGATCTGATCATCATCTAAGTCACAACAATAGACAATCACAGTCTGCTTAAACTAATAACACACAAAGAATGAAATGTTGCCATGTTTTTATTGAACACACCATGCAAACATTCACTAGACAAAGCATTTGGGTTTTAACATTATTAAGCCCCTGACATTCCCACCATATATGATATACAGTGCCCTCCTCATTTCCTCATCTCCAGCAAATCCTAGAATAAGCAGATGATATTTTGTGGAGTCAAGCCGGTACCATATAACATCTATTTATTACTTTAAATGAGTTTCGTAAAGGGAGACACTATGTAGACAACGCTTTACTAGGAGTGTAGCTTTGGTCCATTCCAAAAGTGGAAAGGATTCCCCAATATCTCGTTCCCATTTAATAAAGGAGGTAACATTCCATTGATTCTAATCATTTAGTAAATCTAGAAATCCCTCCCTTCTTTTTTTATAGCACTATAAGAGGATTGACATTATGGTCCTTGAGTACAATTCTAGATAATAGAAAAATTTTAATCCTTAAATATTGAAAAAGATCTCAGGGGGGAAGGTTATATTTTGCTTGCATTTGTATGATGGTTTAGACCCATCCAATAAGTCAGAAATCTTCAGTATGCCTAGGTGTATCCAGGGTTGAACATTTATGTCGTCCATTACGTGTTGTAGGACTGCTAATGGAACACCATATAGTAATTTGTCCTCCAGATTTAATTTTTTATTTAGTATTTCCGAGGTGTTAATCGTATCTATTAATATTTTATTGGAAAAGTACTTGGTATCCAAATCCCCTAGTTTCAAGATACCTAACCAAAAGAGAACGGAGTCCTGCACAAGTTAATTCACTGGTCTTGAGTAGGCTCCTCCACAATCTTAATGCTTATCATTTTGTGAATCTTCTACTTTCTAGTGTTGCCTCTTATTATGGTCCTCCTCTTCCTATGGCTTTGATACATAGGCTCACTAGACCCATCTTGATTTTAACATTTATCTCGCTGCCACTCAATAGTATATTTAGACATTCATCAGATCTTCTTCATGTTTTACATACTGTTGGCTGTATCCTCGACCTCCTAATTGACTCATCACTTGTAGCTTGCTGGCCTTTTTAATTTCTGTTTCTAAAACAGGTCATTTTTATTTTTCAATACAACAGCTCATTTCTTTATAATGGGTAAAATTAGGTCACCTTATTTTCAGGTTTCCACCTCAAAAAATGTTGACTGTGCAGCCATACCTGTAATGCTACTTGCTACTTTGCTACTTGCTACTTTGTAGGTTTATTATTTCACCTTGAACTAGTAACTATTCTCCTTCCAACTGCTTTCCTGCCTACAATCCAAGACCTCTTAATATATCCATCTTGTAATCCCCAGTCCTACTACAGTCTTCTTCATGTTAATGCGTTTTAATTTATCTGCCAACACATCCTCTGCACATTACACACACCACTCAGACATCATTACACACCCCCTCTTACACTCTCCTTTTCCCCTCCCCTGTCGTAAATACCTTCATTAACTGTTCTATCTCTATTCCTCAGGCCTCACTTCACAATCAACTCAGTGAAGACTGCATTTTTTCACCCCACTAGATAGATAGTTCAATGAGGCACAGTGATAAGGCAGGTGTTCATCTAGTGGATTATAGTATGGCCCTTACTAGAGGAAGCCAATGAGTTGGACCCTGCACTATCACCATTGTTCAATGAAGAGAGCTTCCAGCTGTGAGGAAACAGTTAGTAACTTATCACATTAAATATTTTATCACATATTTATTTTCACAGTGCATTGATGGCCTCTGTATTTTTTGTTTCTTAGGCAGCAGTAATACATTGGATGCTATTATTTTAAATGTGATTTTCTTTTTTTAGAAAATGTAACTTGAAATTTAACAAGTGTGAATATTTTCTGTAGATGACAAATCATTTTATTTTTTTAAATTTTTATATTTGACAATTTTTATTGTTTTCACATATTGTTCAAGGAGGGCCGGGTGATGGGGAGGGGTACAGAAGAAAAGGAGGGGAAAGGGGGAAGGGGTAAGCATCACACAAGCATTTCCATATAGAGTTACATCAAGCCGTTACATAGTTACCCTTATTTCCGACTATGCCTTATTCTGGGCGAGTAAGTCTATGCGGTACATATGTTCTTGGTTTTGGATTTATGATTGTAGATGTTAGATTTTGATGTTTGTGACCTCGTTGAGTCTGGTCCAGTATCCTCTATCTATCTATATACCCAGCCTTCCTTCTTTTCTTTCCCAATTATTTTGTGTTTCAGGAGGGGTGTGGTAGGTATTCTTTATGTTGGGTGCTCCCGTCGCCACGTCTCCCACCTCTCCCAGGTAGCCAGTGTCATTTCATTTGGGGGGCATACTGTATTGAATCGTTTCTCATAAATGTTTTGGTTGTCTATTTCTGCTAGCACTAATTCTATAGGCGGAGTAACGTGAGTTTTCCATGCCCTTGCGATTGCGCGTTGGGCAGTGAGTAGGAGATGGTATATGAGTTTTTTTATATAGGGAGGTGTCTTGGGGGGAGCACAAGCAAGAGGTACGTGCTTGGTTCGTATTGTGGTTCGTCGAGTGAGAGTTCCTTAAGTACCTTCTGGACGGCTTTCCAGAAAGGCTGTATCAGTGGGCAGTGCCACCAGACGTGTACCGTGGTACCAATATGTTTGGTGCATCTCCAGCATTCTGGTGAGCTGGATGGGTAGAGTTTGTGTAGCTTTTCGGGGACCAAGTACCACCTATATACCATGTGCTGCTCTATGAGTGTGGCTGATTTTATCAGTTTTCTAGGGGAGGTCATTAGATCTTCCCATTGTTGGTTGGTTAGGTCTGTGCCCAGCTCCCTCCCCCATTGTATTGCCGGTGAGGCTTCTGCTAGTGGAGTGTATTGTAGAATCTGCTTGTAACAGGATGATAGTGGTCGGTATATCTTTGGGAGTCTACGCTTGATGCATATGTCTTCCCAAAGGGTGTGTATATGTGGGCCTGGGTCCTGCTGTGTGCTATCTGGGTTGTGGTTATGGAGGAATGATGCTAGTTGTCTGTATGAAAAGTGCGAGGTATTCGGTATGTTATATGTTTGTTGTAGTGTATTGAAGTCTGTGAGCCTTTTCCCTGTGTGGGCCTTTGCTAAGGTCGTGACACCTCTATCGTGCCATGGTGTTGCATGAAATGTAGGTATGCAGTATGTTAGTGCCTGTATTGGTGTGGCTTGTGAGACTTGGGAGTTCGAGCTAAGTTTGTTCCTGTGTGTGTCCCAAACCTGTAGGAGTAAGTTGATCTGCTCAGGGGGGTCTACCATTGGTGGTCTAAGTGGTTTGGGGAGCCATATTACATGTGATAGTTCGTATGGTTCCGTCAGGTGTCATTCCAATGTCACCCACTGTGGGGGTGGTTGATCTATCAGGTGTGGTAATGTCGCTGCTAATATGGAAGCATGATAATAGGCTCGTATGTCTGGGACTGCCAGGCCGCCTGCCCTCTGCGGAGCTGCTAGCAGTTTCCTCGCTACTCGTGGTTTCTTGCCGTCCCATATGAATGCGTTGGCATCTCTTTGGACTGTTTTAAAGTATGTTTGGGGGATTTTTATGGGCAACGTTCTGAAGATATATTGTAGCCTGGGGAGTATGGACATTTTCAATGCTGTCACTCTTTCTGTCCACGTAAGGAACAGATGCTCCCATTTTTTGAGGGTTGACTTGCACTCCTTCCAGACTCTAATATAATTCCCCGTTATCAAATCTTTGTGCTGTCTGGTGATGTGGAGCCCTAGGTATGTTATATAGTCTTTCCTCCATTCAAAATCGTATTTAATGCGTAGCGATTCAGTTAAAGTTGAGGGAAGGTTAATCCCCATGGCTTGTGTTTTCGAAGAGTTTAGGGAGTAGTACGATAGGTGACCGTATGTTCTTATTGCCTGCATTATGTGAGGTAATGAATCCTGGGGTTGTGTTACATAGAGTAAGACGTCATCTGCAAAGGCACTGATTTTGTATTCGATGTTCTTTACTGTAATACCCTTAATCTCGGGGTGGGCCCTGATGGTGCGAAGGAGGGGTTCCAGTGCCAACACATATAGGAGAGGGGAGACTGGGCAACCTTGTCTCGTCCCATTAGAGACGGCAAAGGGGTTGGATTTGAATCCTGATTGGAGGACTTGTGCTGCTGGGGTGGAGTATAGGGCGAATATTTGATTTATCGTTGTTTGGGGGAGTCCGTACGCTCTTAGGGTTCTGTCTAGGAAGGTCCAGTTAAGGCGATCAAACGCTTTTTCTGCGTCCAGGGCTAGTAACAGTCCTTCTTTCCTATGTCTCCGTAGGCCCTCTAGTAGTAAAGTCAGTTTTCTAGTGTTATCTAATCCCTGTCTACCAGTCACGAACCCGGTCTGGTCATCCCCTATGAGGTCGGGTAGTATGTCTTTGAGTCTGTTGGCTAGTATTTTAGCGTATATTTTGGCATCAGTATTAAGCAGTGAGATCGGGCGATAGTTTTGGCATTTATCTGGTGTCTTTCCTGGTTTGGGGAGTGTGACAATTGTGGCCAGTAGCATCTCCGGTGGTAATGTTCCTGAGTTCGATGCTGCATGATACACTCGTAGTAGGTGTGGGGCGAGTTCCTTGGCAAAGAGTTTATAGTAGGCATTGGTGAGGCCGTCTGCCCCTGGGGATTTTCCATTGGGGAGGCCTGCTATTACTTTCAGGATTTCCTGAATTTCTATGGGTTTTGTCAGATTTGTTTTTTGTGTTTGAGATATTTGGGGGAGATTGGTTTGTCTCAAGTATTCGTCTATGTCCTCGGGGCTTGCCCTGTGTGTGGTGTCTAGTGTTCGTAGATTATATAGTTTGGAGTAGAATTCAGCAAATTCTTTGCTGATGTCCGCTGGCGTGTGGTGTATTTTGCCGTCTGCTCCCGTGATTCTAGTAATCTTTGTGTTGGCATATCTGGCTCTCAGTCTATTGGCTAAGTATTTACTGGCTTTGCCTCCGTTGTGGTAGACATTGGCTTTTAATCTATAGAGTAAGGTTTTAGTTTTTTCTGCGTTTAATTCGTTTAGCCTCGAGTGCAGCTTTTTTAGTTGTGCTGCCAGTGCTGGGGAGGGTTGTTGTTTGTTTTGTTTGGTTACTAGTGCTATTCGTTTGTGGCAGTCTAGGAGTGTGGTTTGGTGGTGCCGTTTCAGGAAGGATGCCCTTCTGATAAATACCCCTCTCATAACCGCCTTATGTGCTGACCATACTGTAGTATCTGAGACCCCCTGTCCTGCATTTGTTGTAAAATAGTTTTGGAGTGCTTCCCTACTCTCCCGCACAAAGGTTGGGTTCAGTAAAAGTGAGTCGTTCAGTCGCCACGTCCCCCTCCCCTTGAATTGGTAGGCGTCCAGGAGATCTAGGTACACCGGTCCATGGTCTGATCATGTTATTTCCCCTATTGTACATTTCTTCAGTTGTGCCAGGAGTGTCCTATCTAGGAAGATTGCGTCTATGCGTGTGTATGTGTTATGAGCTCTTGAGTGGAAGGTGTAGTCCCTCTCCTCTGGGTTTAGTGCCCTCCATGCATCGTATAAGTCATAATCTTCTATCAACTTAGTGGTTAGTTTGCTTGTAGCGGCTATTCTCTTTTTACTGTTACCTGTGAGAGTGGCTGTCGTATCTAATGTGGGCGACTGGATACTATTAAAATCCCCGCATAGGATTATATTGCCTTGTTTAATCCCGTCAATTTTGTTAAGCAGCATTCGCAGGTATTGTCCCTGTCGCTCGTTGGGGAAGTATGTGGCTATCAGCGTAAGTTGGATGCTGTTGAACTGGCCCACTAATATAATATATCTACCCTTCGGATCTATACTCTTTTGGTGTATGGTAATTGCTACGTCTTTGTGAATAAGGACTGTTACTCCCTTTGATTTAGTGGCGGCCTGGGAGTGGAACTGAGTGGGGTACACCTTTGTGTATATTGCCGGGGTGTGGTCGTCCCTAAAGTGTGTCTCCTGGATACATGCTATGTCGATCTGGTTTTTCTTGAGGTCATTCAGTAGTAGCCTCCTTTTACCCGGGGTGTTTAGCCCTTTTACATTGTAGGTGACTAATTTCATAATGGTGTTCTAGGTGGTCTCTAAATCTAATCGTGGGCATATCTGTAATGGCACTTAGTTTGCTTGTCCTCGAATCGGCATGTTTATGGGGTGGTGGTTGGCGTCTTTTGATGCTTTGTGAGGGCTGGGGGTAGGGGACAGTAGAAGGTGAGAAACACATAGGGGGTGTGGGACAAACAGGCAGGCAATACGCCTGAAAGGGCTCCGTCTTGGGGAGCCAAGATGCGCCGGGAGAATTCCGGTCACAATCGGTGGGGGGTGGGTGCATGAGCCCGGTCGTAATCCGGGGACTCAACCGTAGTTGCAGCAGTGGGATCACAGCGTTGCAACAAAAGTATAGAGGCGCCTTCTAGGATTTCGATCCAGGGGCCTTCCAATGAGTTGGCCCTAGGGTATAGCGCCCGTGCCCCAGAGGTCCTGTGAACTAACCCCTGAACCTGTAACTTTGGGCACCTGTACTTGGTAATGTGGGTGCAAAAAACTAAACCAAACCAAGGGGGGAACAGAATGAATACATTTGTTACTTTAAACTCACATGCTTGTCATCTTAAGTCTCTAGTGGTATATTCATGGGTCTGTGACCGCTTGTCGCCTTGTGGAGGCAAGAGGTGACTGCGGTGTTCAGGCGGTTGACCAGTCTCTTGGTACTCTGGGGATTTTAGGGCGGTGTTGTTTCACTTCCTCTGCGACCTGTATGCCCCAGTCCTTGAGTTTAAGGAGCCCCATTTCAGTGTTGAGTATCACGTGCATTTTCCCCTCGCGGTGGATCAGTAGTTTGGCTGGGTATCCCCACCTGTAGGCGATGTTCTTCTCTCGCAGGGTCGCTGTGATCTGGGTCAGACTTTTCCTAAACTGTAGTGTTTCTGCTGATAAGTCGGCAAAAATTTTGATGTGTCCATACGGGTCCGGCATGCCTGCCGTTCTGCTTTCTCTCATGATCTGTTCTTTCACGTGGAAAAAATGTACACGTGCGATGACATCCCTCTCTGTGGTGGGCGGCATATGTTGTGGCCGTCTTAGGCGATGTACCCTGTCTACTACCATCTGGTCTGGGTGGATGGCTGGAGCTAGCGCTTGGAACATGTCCTGGAGGTAGTCACCCAGGCCTGCCGGCAGTATCGTTTCAGGGATGCCCCTTATCCGGATGTTGTTCCTCCGGGAGCGGTCTTCCAGGTCAGCCACTTTTGTTTTAAGGTTATTTAGTTGTGTTTCATAGTCCTGCACTTTTTCAGCCAGGTAGTTATGGGCATCTGTGCAATCATCCAGTTTCTGCTCTATTTGGGCTGTACGCTGGCCTATGTCTGCAACATCTTTCCTTAACTCTGTTGCTAGGTTGTGCAGTTGTTTCTTCATAGCAGCCTGGAAGTTGTCAGCTAGTTCTGCTAGCATGAGCCTCATTGAGGTTGTGGTAAGGGGCTGCTCCTCTGCCAGGGAGGTGATAGAAGTTGTAGGTGATATGGATCCCTCGCGGGAGCAATCTCCGCCGCCATCTTGTACTCGGCCGCCGGTTTCCCGCTGTTTTTTCGCGGCGGATCTGGCCATAAAAAAGGACGCTCGTTCTTCTTTGGCAGCTTTTTGTTTCTGCCTCTGGGACATTGTGGGTCTTTGGGTACCTTTATTTTGTGCTCTGTAGTCCGTTTAGTTGTGCTCCGTCCTCAGTGCTGCGGGAGCTTTACAGACGTGCGTCCATGCTGCTCGAGCTCCAGGCCACGCCCAATCATTTTATTTTTTAATGCGTTTGTCCGTATTCCATAAAAAAGAGGATTGAGAAGTGGTGGGAATAGGACAATATTAACAGACAGAATAATGTGGGCAAAAAAGTGGGAGTTTGTACTTAAAGCTTTTCTATATGAACTTTTGCTCAATTTAATGCATGTAATAAAAATATGCAGATAAGAATTCTTCCTGTGGTGAATATTAAGAATAATACAGTGATCGAGATCCTATAGATGTTATTTGCAGCAGAATCCACACATGACAACATTAAAAAAAAGACGTATGCACAAGGCGGGATAACGAGGCAGGAAAGGACACTTGGCAGAGCCAGGATAAGACATGAGGGGGCAACAGGATGATTGCAGGAAACGCTAAAAGATTGGTTGACAAAATGCTAGGAGCGGTCAAAGTCAATAGATGTGTGTATGTAGTATAATCCTCAGCCCACTGGGGACTGGCATCATGTATGACCTTGAACTACTAATATTTGCCTGACAACTCGATTAGTATAATTCTTGCTGGGAATGGAATATGTATCTATAATGTAACTGTGTGTCGCCCCCCCAACCCCTTCTTTTCTGTACCCTACCCTCCCCCAACATTATGACATGTTGAAACTCAATAAACTTCAAATTTCAAAAAAAAAAAGACGTATGATCACAACATTTATTTCTGATCACATTTCCACAAAGAAGGAGTCTCATAAATAGAAGAACAGCTGTCAGCACTGCTGCAAAACAGGCGATCAAAGTTCCTAGGATTAGATTTACAGTCGTCCCAGTGGGAAACAATGTCACATACTGGAGGGGATGCGCTACGGCCAAATATTGGTCGTAAGTCAGAATTGTAAAAGATGTTGCTTCAAATAATGTAAAAGTAATGAGAAAAAGAACTTGGATGTGGCATTTAGTGCGTGAGAATGTTTTAGATGATGTTAAGAGATCAGCAATAAACTTTGGATAAAAGGTTGAGCTTCCAAAAACCCTGTTAAGAATCAAGTTGCATATGATAATGTACATTGGCTCATGGAGGCTTTCTTCCATTAGAATCACAAACGCAATCATAACACTCACTAGGATAATAAATAGATATGCAACAGTAAAAAGGACACAGAACATATACTTCAATCCTTCCATCTCCACAATCCCGAGAAGCACAAGTTTTCAGGACTGGAGTAATTTTCCATTCTTCCCAATTCTCCAATGTCCAGAATCCTGCATAATAAAAGTAGCTCAGCATGAAATGTCATCTATTTATGCTGGTTGTGTATACAGAGTTGTCTACACATATTCCAATCATTTATTGAAAATATACACTTTGGTGGCCAAAACATAAAAGTGTTATGCTATGTTATACTAGCATATATATATATATAAGGAACACATTTAGTAAATATAACCCCAAAAAATGCATTCATGTATTTTTTATGTTTTTTGGTGGTTATTTGAAAATATAGCTTGCAAAACCTATATTCTGCAGCCTTTGCAAGCATGCCCCTCTTTGTGCTAGGGAATCAGAGGCTTCTTACTGAGAAGCCTTTGTGCTGGAGCCATGAGTGCACACCCCTTTGTGACTTCCCTATACTTTTCAATGAGCCATTCTTGAGAATGGGGGAGCCATGTGCAAGGAAACTTTAGTGGCTGTTGCCCGAGATGTTTCAGCCCCCATTTATAAAACTGCTGATTTATATTGAAATCAGCACTATTATAAATCGTCACAAACATGACCTACTATAGACACAGACTGAAGATGAAAAGTGTTATGTGTCTGAAGTGTGCCCTTAAAAGAGTGGTTACAATTACTTCTCTTATTAGCTATCAAACATATAGTTTATCTATACAGTGAAAGAGAGAAAGGAAAAAAAAATAGAGCAAGAAAAATACAACATAAAAAACGTAATAAAGATCGATCACATGGCCCCCTATAGCTGGCTGTGGATCTGCCAGCAGGGGGACTGTCTGAAATATCAGACAGTCCCCCTGCTGGTGGGAAAGTTAAAAAAAAAAAAAAGAATTAAACATGTGTAAAATTAAAATATAAATTTATATATATAATATATGTATATCTATTATATATATATATATATATATATATATGCATATATATATATATATATATATATAATATATATACATGTTATATATATGTAACGATATAAAGTGTATTTTAATATTAATATAAGTACATATATTAGTATTAAAATACACTTAGAATGACATATACATACCTATAATTACAATAATAAATAAAATAATTAAATAAATAAATAAAATATTGAAACAAAATGTAATATAAATTATATATCCATATGTAATTTCATTCTAACTGTATTTTGTTATTAATGTATATATATTGGTAACAAAATACACTTACAATGACATTCTATATATATCTATCTATATATAAAATACAAATAACCACATATATATATATATATATATAGATAAATACATATAATTACATAAAAGATTACATTAGTATACACGTAGAATTTAAATACCTAAAAATGCATATATATTAAAATTCTATGTGTATATTTAAGTAATCTTTTAACATAATTATGTGATTTGATTAATTAAAATGTGATTGACATGCCTAACAACACAGGGAAAAAGTGCAGAGAATTTAATTCGCAAGTACTATATTTGACCCTGGAACTCTCCAAGACAGCATAAAACCTGTACATAGGGGGTACTGTTTTACTCGGGTGACTTCGCTGAATTCAAATACGTTTGCTTATTGTCATCTGGCACTTGGGATCTGCAAAAGCACAAACACTGGTGCTCAACACCAGGGGGTGTGCGGTTACCCTGCACCAGGCCCTGATAATCCATTTCCAAACAGTGACTCCTACTATCAAGATCAGGTATACTGTGTCCCAGTCATCGGACTGCCACCCCTGACACATATATTCTGTACTCTGTGCTTGGGTTTTTACGTCCAAGATGCATTATCTTGCATTTATCTACATTAAATGTCAGTCGCCACAACTCTGACCATTTTTCTAGTTCACCTAAATCATTTGCCATTTGGCTTATCCCTCCTGGAACATCAACCCTCTTAGATATGTTAGTATCATCAGCAAAAAGACATACCTTACCATCAAGACCTTCTGCAATATCACTAATAAAAATATTAAAGAGAATGGGTCCAAGTAAAGATCCCTGAGGTACCCAACTGGTGACAAGTCCAAGCTTCGAATATATTCCATTAACTACAACCCTCTGTTACCTGTCACTCAGCCACTGCCTTACCCATTCAACAATATTGGAATCCAAACTTAAAGATTGCAGTTTGTTGATAAGCCTTCTATGCGCAACAGTGTCAAAAGCCTTACCACCCTGATCTATTATTTTAGTTACCCAATCAAAAAAATCAATAAGATTAGTTTGGCATGATCTTCCTTCCTTTTTTATTTTATTTGAAATGGTTAGGGTATCCGAGTACCAGAGTTTTTCTGCCATTTTTGGAGTCAGTACTCTATCTATTTAATCTTTTACACATTAGCATCATGTTCATGTTTTTTATAATAAACCTGTAACAGCAAGGAATTGTTTCCTGTATTTATTTACTGCTCCATTTAGTAAATCTATGATTTGCCAATTCGGTTGTAATTCAGCCATTTTTAGTTTAGTGAGTAACTCTGTGTTTGCATTTAGGACAATTTTTACGATATTTAAACATATTCAAGCTTTATTGTTATGTGTTTGGAATGGGAGAATTGGGGGTACTTTAGAATTATGTGCCTAAGGGTGTTCATGATGTAGATCCGGCTCTGGACAGGGCACTTGTTTGGTAATTACGGAAGTCCAACTAAAGATACATTGAAACTAGTTCTTCTCTATAAGACACACTCACTTCCACAATTGAGGTACAGTTCCAAACACTATACAGGAAGTCCTTCCTGTTCTTTGCTTAATAACTGTTCTAACTTAGTTACCCTATTTATAAAAAAACAAGAATTCTCGTTATTTCTCTGTCTTTATAAAATAGATGTTGCCAATACTGATAAAATGTCATTTAAATATTTCTAATTTTCATCCATTTGAAATTTGCATTGTAACTTGATTGAAATGTTCATGTAAAAGTTAAAGAAAATTATTGGAATAACAAAGTTTGGAAGGTATACAAATTGAAAATGACATAATTTTCCAATTCATGAAAAATTGCATAAATTATTCATTGATAATAATGTTTTCTTTAACTAAGTGTATTTAAAAATGTATTTTCATGGGACATGGTCTAATTAATAAGAAATGTCAGGTTTCATTATTGTATGTTCAGTGAACTTGTTTGTAAAAGGAATTTAATGGAGTCATCTCTGCTGGGAATAACTCAGAGGAATAAGGAATCAAGCAAAGACTCAGAGGAATAAGGAATCAATGGAAGAATATTTATACTGAGCTTACAGACAATTCTTCAATCCATTTGTAACAGAGACTGGATCATAGGTACAGTGTTTCCAAGTATCTGAAAAAAAAGTAAGTGATTTTAATATGCTTGTTCTAGTATTTGAACTGATACATAATTCATTCTATAATGTTTATTCTCAAAGCTTTAATTTGTCTCTATTCTTTTCTGAGATTCATTTTACTCACTATCAACACAATTTAAGCTACATTGAGGTGAACGGATCACTGCTATTTTCCAATGGATATCAGGGACAGCAGTTACAATAATCAGAAAATAGCCTAGCTGAATTGCAAATAAATTGTAACTAAATAATTTACCTGTTATAAGAGAAAGAAAGCATTCTAATATGAGGGTAGGTCTTGAAGAAAATGTATTGTTGTGGTATATTTGCTAGGGGAAGAGGCGACGCTTGCTGGAGCAGTGAATTGATTTAATAGCTTAACATGCTGTTTCTTTTGATTTTGTCAGTGGAAGTGGGACAAAACAAATAGAAGGGAGTTTTCATGGTTGTTTGTGAGCAGATGGATTAGCAAGCGTATAGAGAGTTTTGGCTGATTTTAGAAGTGGAAATACATCTGAATAACCAAATTTGCCTTTTGTGAGTGGCCAAGTGGGTATCGCATAGCAGATGCAGTTGAAACAGTTAAATTATAACAACCAAATAGCATTGAACTGTTTTGTCATTTAGGGAATGACCCTACTGTCTTTCTCTCTTTCTTTGTTACACTGACCTAAACGACTTAGGACTGATGGCAACTAGACCTTTTAACTAATTCCATTTAATAAACCATTTTATCTTTTTTGTATATCCACTTTAACTTTATGCTACACTCATGCAGTTTAACTCCAAGATCTTCATCCATTAAAACATTGGTCTATAAGTTTGTGCTCTTTTCTGGTTCTCCTCCTGCCTCTCCCATCACTCTTTTATTATCTCCTTTGCTCTACTCTTCTTTATAGCTCCTCTTTGTTGGTGTTCTCTAAGGTTCTGTTCTTGGTCTTTTCTTCATCTACTCTACCTCAATTGGTAAACAAATCAGGTTCTGCGGCTTCAAATATCATTGTATGATGATAACACACAATCTACTTGTCTATTATGAATATTTCTCCATAAATCCTCAATCATGTCTCATCATGATTCAAGTGTCCCCCCTCCTGGCCCCTCCAATGTGCCAAAGCCACATTTGTCTTACATTCATACTTGCACCTCTGATTCTCACCTTTAAGTCTTCTTTAGGGCTGCACCATTCCTAAAAATCTTTGTTATACTCTTGCACAGTCTCCATCCTTCAAATATCACTTTCCTTAAGAAGACATCTCAATTAAACAAATTTCCCTCTCTTTTGCTTACATCCCTCACTAGCTCATTTAGCTTCCTCGCCTCCATCTTTGTCACATAACAATTAAGATTTTACTGCAAACTTGTAATACATCTTACCCTTACTATTCGTGTTAGTTTACCCTGCCCCCTTAGATGGTATACTTACTTGAGCAGGGTCTTAAGCCCAACCTGTCTTGAAACTACTTGTTTGTTAGTCTACCTATTTCACTGATCTGCAGAATATGTTAGCACTCTATAAATAATGATAATATATGAATGCACAGTATTAAAGATTCATTAGTGGATTTTTTTGTAATAAGTCATTTAAAGTGTTTTGCTCTCATTAAACAGGATCCTCAAGATCTGGTTTGAACAGACTACTCGAAGATGGAAAATATATCTAATATTGCATCCAACCTTGAGCTTCTTGGAATCATGGAGATGGAAGGATTACAGTATCTGTACAGTGCACTTTCACTTGCGGTATATTTATTTATAACACTATTAAGTGTCATGATTGTGTATGTGATTTTGAAGGAGGAAAGCCTCCATAAACCCATGTACATTCTCATTTGCAACTTGTCTCTCAATGGGATTTTTGGAAGCAGCATATTTTTCCCAAAGCTAATTGCTGATCTATTAACTTCATCGAAAACGGTGTCGCGTGCTGGCTGTCTCGTCCAAGCTCTTTGTCTTCTTACTTTCATTTATTTTGAAATATCAACTTTTACAATCATGGCATATGACCAATACTTTGCAGTGTCCTCTCCCCTTCAATATGTTGCTTTCATGACCATCGAGAATACAGTAAAGCTTATTGTGAGTTCGTCAGCCTTCTCTTTCATGTCTGTATTGATTAGCATAATTCTGTCTGCCAGAGTTCCCCTTTGTGGAACACAAATAAAGAATATATTTTGTGATAACATGTCCATTTTTATACTGTCATGTGTAGATACTTCTGTCAATAATCTCTATGGTATCATTGTTACTACAACATTCTTAATGTTCACTATGGGAATAATCACCTATTCATATATCAAGATATTTATTACATGCGTTAAAGTGACCAACTATTCATATAAAAAAGCAATATACACATTAGTGACACATTTACTTAATTTCTCAATATTTATGATGGGTGCTCTTTTCATTTTTGTTAGGTTTAGACTCAATAGCAGCAAACTCCCACTTTTTGCCCACATTCTACTCTCTGTTAGTGTTGTCATTTTTCCTCCACTTCTCAACCCTCTGATATATGGGTTAAGGACAAAGGCATTAAAGATTAAAATGATTAGTTGTCTACAGAAAATGTGGTCTTTTGTATGAATGTAAAAAGTAAATGTTCTTAATCTTATGTGAAAAAACTTTATATTAAAGAATTATGTTAATTTTAATAAGATCTAAAATATATCTATATTTATGTAAATAGATACGTTAATAGTATCTTTCTGTATATACAGTTCTAATCAAAATTCTGCATCCCTTATTGAAAAGCATGTGCATTGTCAAACTTTTATGGACTTTCATCTGTTTGTAAAGAAAAAAATCAAACAAAAGCAATTTGAATAGCTCGACAAAGCAAATGCTTCAAGCGGTTTACCCAAATTCAACTTCTCCAGTCTCAAAATTATTCAACCCCATGAAAAGAACCCCTTCACAACAGCACAAATATGCAAAACAGGTGTTGTCTCAAGCACAAGTGATGCACCTAATCAAGGTGCTTGAGCTGGAATAATTGAAATACCTGAACTGACTAGGGGTTTGTTGAGTGTCATGTTTTACTGCATGTTAGAAATAAGTCAAACATTCCATAAAGTTACGAGAACAGATCATCGCCCTTCACAAACAAGGAACAAGATACAAAAAGACAGCAAAGCACTGAATGTTCCTATAGACACCACTGGAAGCATAGTGTGCAAGTTCAAAGTTAAAGGAACAATGGTTACACTTCCTGGATGGGGCAGAAAAAGGAAGCTATCAATGGCTGCAACCAGATTTCTGAGAAAGCAGGTTGTGAAAAACCCTTGAGTGACTGCTAAAGACCTTCATCAAGGCTTAATGGCAACAGGCACTGAGGTTTCAGTGAGCATAGTAAGGCATGTACAAAATGCAAAAGGTACATGCCAGAACTTCAAGACGTACACCAATACTGACCCTAGAGCACAAAAAAAGTTGTTTCCAGTATGCTCAGACGCATATAAATAAGTCACACAGGTTTTGGGATGCTGTTCTGTGGTGCTATGAAACAAAACTGGAACTTTTCAGCCCAATGGATCAGTGATCTGTCTGGAGAAAGAAGAATGAAGCATATGCTGAAAAGAAAACTGTGTCTACAGTTAAGCATGGTGGTGGCTAAGTGATGCTCTGGGACAGTTTAGCATCTTCTGGTACTGGAACCCTGCAGCATGTGAAAGGAAAGATGGATTCATAGAAGTATCAGTAAATCCTAGAAGAAATTGTCATGCTGTCGGTGAGGAAACTGAAGCTTGGGCATCATTGGACCTTCCAACAAGACAATGATCCAAATTGTACCTCAAATTTCCCCAAGGCTTGGTTGAAGAAAATGTCCAGTAAAATTCTACAGTAGCCATCACAGTCACCTGACTTGACCCCATAGAAATCTGTGGTGAAATTTGAAGAAGGCTGTTGCAGCACGCAGTCCAATAATATTACTGAACTGGATACTTAAGATGCTTGACATGAAGGGACTGAATATTTTTGGAACTGGAAGTCATCATAAGTTGCATGTTCAGTTGAACTTTGGGAAACCACTTGCAGAAATTGTTGTATTGAGCTATTTCACTTGCTCTTGTTTGATTTGTTCATTGCAGAGCTGAAAGTCTGTCAGTTTTGACTATTAGACTGATATTCAATGGGGGGTTGAATAATTTTGATTACAACTTTATGTCTGTCTATCTATCTATCTATCTATCATAGTTGTGTAGTGGAGTGACAGAACTAGGAACTGTCACAGCCCTGCTTTAAGTATAGGATATAAAATTCCAGGCAGCACTGAGTGGTGTCAGTGACCGACTTCTAGACAGTTTTTTTCAGATATATTTTTGCAGTTTGGAATTCCACAAATAACAGGTACACACACATACCATACACACAAGTACCTACGCATAGTGTTAACCAGACACACAAACACACACTGCTTTCCACACTGTTACACTGTTACAAAAACACATACAAACACACACGCAGCTACACGTACTACTACCCAGACTGTATAAACACATGCTGCTCCCACACTGTTACACACATGCACTCACACACACACACATATGTTTATTGCTGTCCATGCATACTGCTTCCCACACTGAATAAAATATGCTTTGTGTTTGATATGGAAGAGGTGACTGCCAGACTTCACAATATTCTATAGTTACATAATAGAGTCTTGTGCGCCTGGTAGGCTTTTATTGTTGCTCAGACCAAGTCTTAGATACTTGTGAGTGGATCATGCTATAATACGTTTTTTGTCCCTTTCTGAGCCATGTTGTTAAGAATTTAGCTCTTTTCATTCTGTTCTGGTTCCTTGGTTTTTCCCTTCTGTTCTGCTTTCTTCCTCTCTTCTTCCTTCTGTAGACTGTATTGATCACCAATCTTTGACCATTATTTTCTTTATAACACTTTAGTAAATATTCAGTTGGAAAGAGATATTACTGGCTGATAGCTATTTCAGCAGCCAGCTGACATTAAAGATTACAATGATTAGTTATCTATAGAAAACATGGGCTACTGTATTAAAGCCAAAACGCATACTATTTGTCTGTTAATCCGTCTGTCTGTAGTGTCTACGTTTCTTTCCATGTAGTATAATGTAATATAAAAATCAAAAAAACTTTAAAAGTGATTTTTGTAAATATCTTTTAATTTTTAATTTTTTTTTAAAGGTTGCAAAACATACATTTTGGGATTCTGTCAGGATTGCTTTAAAAATGATTACTTAATATAAATATAATAATTGATCTTGATTTGATCTTGACTTGAAGAAAAAACAATGACGTTTGAAGGATTTCTTTCTTGCAAAATATTGCATGGCATTTTATCAACTGTGTTATGTAGTCCTTAGTATAAAGAACATGTTAGAGTATGTGTTTGTAGCATTACCTTTTGGATCAACAGCAAAAAACAAATGTGAGGTAGGCTGAACTTGATGGACGCAAGTCTCTTTTCAGCTATGTAACTATGTAACTATGTAACCTCTTTCACTTTTCCCCATTTTATGATTGTTATTTTCCCCTCCAGCTTTATGTTTGAAATGTTGTTGTTTGTAAAAATGGTGAATGCTTTCCAGTAAAAATTATTTGAAAAGAATATGCATTTGTAATTATTGTTATCTTTAAATTAGTTTATTATATATGTGGGTAAAAAGACAACAGGAGTGAGAACTTATTCTTATAATTTTTTATTGCAATCTTTTTTTTAATTTTATTTTATTGCTATGTAGTATTGACAGAAATGGGGAGCAGGAATCATTTCCAATCCAAAGGAGATACATCCAAAAATTAAAAGACAAAGTCAGCGGGCAATTAACAACCCGCTCACCCTTCCACCCTGACAAGAATCTTGCACATCCAGTCTGTAGCATCTGTGACCAGCCTTCCATTTGGAAAAAAAAAACAGCTTCAACCAACTGTGTTGGTTAAGGTAGCAGGCAAGTTAGTGAGGCAGTGCAAAACCACTTCAATGAAAGCCATTTGTAAAAAATTAGCTACAGCACCAGCAGCTGGAGTAATTTATATATTTACTTATTTATTTATAAAGAGGTGGGTAAACAAGGCGATGACTAATCCCATACTGGCATTACTGTGGTTCAACATTTATTTCACTAATTGGAATATGGACTGCCAGTAGCTGCCCTATTGTGGTCCCATCCTTACTCCCCAGTGGAATGTCAATGCCAGCATTGTGTTGAGAAGATATACTATGGATTTCCTCTGCTGTTCCAAAATTCTTTCCAGCATGTGCTGACATCCTGTCATAGGCAGTGGGTTGGAAGCCATGTTTTCTCTCACCATCACACTACATTGGATTTGACTGCAAGTCTGGTTAGCAGTAAAGTTGTACCTTCTTTACTACCACTACAGGTAAGGTCTGACCTTCTCTACTGCCGTCAAGGAAAGGAAGCATCCTGACCAGTAGGAGCACTTCACAGATCTAGGCAACCAGGCTGGTGATTTTGTTAGCCTTCTGTTTTGAAATGGCTATGAAATGAAATACAACAAACTGTTTTAGAGTAGACTGATGTGCACTTTCTTGGGTTGATGAGGAGTCCAACCTGTCCGTGTCAATGACTGGCACTATCCTCAAGATCCCCCTAGTTCTGCCTAAAGGTGGTAGGTGGTACTGCTGCTCCTGCCATTTCTTTTTTTTATGCTTTAATTCTAGTGGTTTCTCCCTTTCTTAATTTTGTGTTGAAAAATGTGTTGCTACTTAGTGGATCTACTACTATATATATAATGTGTTTGAAAACGCTTCACACAGTGCTTTTAATTTACAGTGCCTCAACATTTGCACAGCACCAATTAAAAAAAAAAGTTTGCAAACTGATTCTTCATATTCAGTAATACTGTACCCTTCCCTCATCACTACTACTGTTTGTAATTTGTAAAACAAAAACAGTGGCACAGAAGCACACTGCAAATCAAAAAAAAAAAAAAATCACAAATCAGTAAAACAATTCTAATTCAGTGAACCAAAGTGGGAATAAATGGCACTGATAGTAGAAAATCAAGCAAGTGGGACATTATTTTAGATTCAGTAGATGATGAGGGGTCCAACTGATTCTAAAGCAGTTAGAGATGAACTTTGACGAGGTAGATAAGATGCAGGAAGCAAGTGCACACTATTTACCAGAGAAAATACTGGACTGAGGACTGTGTGCCATTCTTCATTTCTAATTATTCTGGATCATCATACTCATTAAACTTGGAGATTAATTTTGGACCAAATTACAATTCCTAAGAGATTGATCAGCAGTGATACAGTGTGTTTACCCAGGATGTGCATGCGTGGGAGTGGGAGAATGATAAAGCCAATGTTATTGATTCTAGTGTGAGACTAGGTTTAGGTTTATGTTGTATTTGGCTAGCAGTTACTGACAGGAGCACTTAAAAACAACAACTTTTAGTTGCAGATTTGAGATTAGCAGGCATGTTGTCATTGATCCTAGAGTGAGGCTAGTATTCCATTATTTCAGTGCTCTTCAACCCTCTCCTCCAGGCACACCTAACAGTCTAGGACAGGGGTTCTCAACCCAGTCCTCAAGGACCCCCTACCAGTCGAGGATTTAGGGATTGCCCGGGTGTGTTTAAGGTTTTTTTTTTTCTGAACACCTTAGACACACTCGGGTAATTCCTAAATCCTGGCCTTGAGGAGTGCTGCATTTTACAGTTCTTAAAATAATTTTTGGTCAGCTGTTTAGAGAAAAAATGTATTTTAGGCAGTGTGATGTTCAGAAAAAAAACACATTATTTTGGCTAGCCTGTGTCATTGACCCTAGTGTGAGACTAGGTTTAACAATTTCTGCTGTATCTAGCTAGCAGCTACTAACAGGTACTTGCAACAATTTTGAGTAGAAGATAGAAAATTGGTTATCATTGTGTCATTGATCCAAGTATGAGACTAGCCTAACAATATACAGTTGTTGTTTTTTCTGACTGTGTTCAGTCTACTGTGTGCTTTACAAGTGTTTGATGTTATAAAACACTGCACAGTGATCAAACACAATAATATTACAGCAGTAAATCCACAAAGCATTAACTAATTAGAAACCCACCATCATCATTGTCATATAGTACTTCCAAGCTGGATTTAAGGAAGGGAAGAATAAAGGATCCTGTTCTCCAAACCAGCAATAGTGCCATGGCTTCTGACAGTAGGAACACAGTAGCTATGAAGACTGTTGTCACTGCCTCAATCACAGTCTCCACCATTACTGCCACCACCATCACTATGATCGTTGGCAATTAGCAAGACTTTAAGTCTGATTCACCACCCAGCAGACAACTAAATGTTCTCACCCTTTTCAAGCTACAATATCTTCTGCTGCTGCATCTACTGCCACTGCAGCTTCTAGCACAGCTAGTTTAAAAATTACACTTTCTGTGTTCTACTAGGCATGATGAAAGCTTGCCATTACCTGTATTACCACTTATTTCTTGGTTCCCCCAAAGAAGAAACTCAGAGAGAGCTCATCAGCCACTCTTTATTGAATAGGAGAAGAAGAGTACCCAAGCAGTGCACACAATTTCTGATAATGATGGTGGTTGTTAGGACAACTAGTGATAATCATAACACCCTTACCTCCACCACTTAAGACATTTGTTTAAGTCTGTCCCACAAGGAAATTGACTATGTTAAAGAGTAATGATCTATGTTATATCCATGATATAGAGGGATTAGAAGAGTAGAGTTTGGAAAGCAGAGGCAGAAGTCCACTATTTTCTGCACCTACTGTGCACTTGCTACTATGTCTGAGGTCATCTCTATCTGCCTTTTGCAGATCTGTATTTAATGGAAACGATTGGAGCATCACTCAATACTAGTGACAGGAATAGCTTACTCAGTGAGATTTATTTTTAACACCACCACCTCAAAGATGAAAATCCAACCTAATCTTTATCAGCCACAAGGACAAGGTTTGAGGCTAATATATTGTCCCAAACCAAAGTTTGGCATTACTTTGAAAGCCTTCTAAATGAGCAGATTACAAAGTGCTAATTGTACAGCAAGGTACTGAGTGTGGGTCATCTGAACCAACATATCCAAAGATACCACAAGTTTGTATTACTGAAGAAGGAAGCAGAAAGAGAAAAAAGTAGTAGGCAGCAGGTTCACTGGTGCTATATCTGAAGCTGCACAACCAACTAGCACACATGCAGCATCTAGAGTGCAGGCTACACAAAGTTATAAACCATACTTGAGCTTAGTAGGAACATTACTGAGCATTTTCACTGTATTGTGAGGACTAACCAACTCTTGAGGCAGTAGCAAGAGAAAAGAAGACTTCCCACCGTCTATGACAAGATGTCAGCATATTGAGCAACTCCACTCTAAGTATGCTGGAAAGAATTTTGGAACAGCAGATGGTAATCCATAGCCTAGCTTCCCACTACTCCATTGGCATTTACTCCCCACTGGGTCATGAGGATTGGATAATAATAGGGCAGCTGGTGTAAGCTATCACTCCATTTAGGGACTTACAGAAATGCCAGTTTGGAACAGATCAGCCCTTTGCTCTCATAAATAGGATTAATGCCTTCCTGGAAAAAAGGGAATTGGATCCTGGCAGCACACTCCAGACTGATGTAGCAGCAGTGTTCAGGTAGTGAACATTTGCATGAAAAAAAACTATGAATTGTCCTTATAGTAGCTTACTTGTGGGATTCTAGGATTAAGTGGAAAGTGGCAATCTGATTATTATTATTTTATTATTTATATATAGTGCCAGCAAATTCCATAGTGCTGTACAATGGTTGGACTAACAAACACGTAATTGTAACCAGACAAGTTGGACGCACAGGAACAGGGGGGTTGTGGACTCTGCTCAATAAACTTACATGCTAGAGGGTATTGTGACACAGACGGTAAAGGGGTGGTCAGCTGCCCACTGTTTTTGTTTTTCCTTTAATTTCTGGATGTCTGCTATTTTGAACTCAAAATTTTCCCTTTTTTTTTTTTATAATACAAGGAAGCTAAATTAATACAATCAATCATTATAAAACTATAAAGCTGAAGTGTGAATAAAAAAATAACGTTTTCACCCTGCACATGTCTAATATTCATTGTCGAGGAGCATTTGAGGTAAAAATGCTATATATGCAGTAGTACAGAAAAAATGGTCATCATCGGAATTATCACTGCCACCACTATGACTGATGACTCCCATGAACCAGACACTTCTTAGTTCTCCCTCCTTTGCTTCTTGGGAGGTTATAGTTACTTAAACCATAAATTGGACAAAATAGGTGTGCAAATAATAGTGATGATTAGCAGATGTAAACAATCGGTGGATACCCACTGATAAGTCCAACGACCTTATATATCAAATGATATTGCAGCACTGCTATTTACACTTACTTCTCAAACAAAGTAGGGGAATGTATGTAAAGAAAAAAAGAAAAAAAATGCAATAGTGCAATATTGCAACAAAAATGTGCATTTTAAAAGCAACACAAGTGATTGAAACCTTAAATTTACAAGAACCTTTTTGTGGTATATCCTCTAAACATGAAGACTTTTGTGGACTTTTTAGGTGGTAGCCAGACCGTATTCCTCTGATCTTTATAGATTTCTGCCACAGATTTGATTGAGAGAGAAAGAAATCAAGCAGGAAGAATCTGGGTGCAGCTTGTTTGGCTGAAGTGTAATGAAACACAATAAATTGGCTTTAGGTGTGTGTTTACCTTGTTTGGAGCCTTTTGAAACTGTCTCCAAATCTACAGCTATTGTGTCAACACTATTGTGTGGGTTGACACTACCCTCTTGAACCAGAATGGTGAAAATATAATGCAAGGAGAAGATATAAGTTGAAGAAACAAATTTATTTATTACACAGATTTAGAAACAATACTTAGACAGCTTAATTAGAGTCCTCTTTCTTTGCCAAGAAGCGTTTCACCTTTTTAGGGCTTTCTCAATTGGTGTATTTGCACTTTCCAGGTTCCTTCATTCAAAATACACAATAGATCTGCCCCTTTTCCCCATTGGTCCAATCCAACTCCTCCTCTCGCATGTGTGTTGAGTCAAAGAGTTTGGGAGGGAGGGGGTGACAGAGCATAGGAGGGAGGAAGTGACAGGTGGCAGTATGAGGAATGAAGGGATTAATATGTGGCAGAGTGAGGGGGTGACAGGTGGCAGAGTGAGGGAGGAGGTGACTAGTGGGAGAGTAAGGGAGGGAGGAGGTGACTAGTGGCAGAGTAAGGCACTTTGACACTCCAGAAATTCTGTAATTTCTGAACTTCGGGACCTTCGGCACTTCGGCTATTCGGACATTCAGAAGTACACGAATGTCCGAATTTCACGAAATTCGTCTGAATTCATATTCGGACTGAAATGAATTGCACATGTCTAATTTTAACTTGTTTCTTGGAATAAACCCTCGGGAGCACAAGTGCACCATAGTATAAACCATATTCATGCATATCTTCATTTATTCTGGTTCTTTAGACAAAGCAATGCTGTTTTTATCTGTTGGATATCGTGTTCTTGATGCTGGAGGAGGAGTACAATTTACACAACACACATGGAAATAAAGTTGTTTTTTTTTAACCCACTGGTTTAAAATACAATGTGTTATTGTGTAGTTACATTCAAAATAACTGCCAGGCTGCAAAAGCTACAGGTTATAAACGAGTCAACACAATTGCAATTTTACATGGAAAACATAAAACTAATTTATCAAATTAAGTGTCTGAAAAAAACTTGTAGACAAAGGTAGTGAAAACAAATTGCAAACAACCTTTGAATTTGCCAAACTTCAGATTTATTTGATATAAATTGTTTTGAGTAATGTATTTTTGTCTCAATGCTCATCCACTAAGCCCATATTTAGATAATGTTCTTTATAACATAGAAGCATACAAACATAACCTATACTAAAAATGGTGGATGGCCTTTTGTAAGCAAATGTGGTTCTCTGGGGATTAATCTGACAAAACCCTAACTGTTTCTTCTCCAAAACTTCATCCAGAACTTATATTGGGTTTATTGTGCTTTATGTTAATAATCCTCTTTAAAAAACTAAAAGACCTTCCATACTAAAATGATATTATGTCAAACCATATGACATACAGTGGCAGCTTTTATACAACCATAATCTGTTTTGTGATGTCACAGCAATTTATTAATTTAATAGATTTATAGAATCATGATTTTATTTATTTTATATATATATATATATATATATATACATATATGTGTATATAATTTGCAGAATTTTTTGCATATCTAATCATTTAAGTATTTTGTGATGATCAGTAGAGAAAAGCTTGATTAAGGCCTTAATTTAATATTTTTGAATAAGCTTTTCAAATGAATTAATATATTTGGATACATTTTTAAACTTATTTTCTTCTAAATATTAAAATATAAAAAATATTGTTTTTTAAATATTTAATTATATTTTTTAAAAATATCAATATATCAAAATAATCAAAATGTTAAAGTATTCATAAACAAGATAAAAAAATACATAAAAAAAATACATAGGGGGGGCGGAGCCGACCGAGCTGGTGCATGGCCGCGTTCTAAATCAGCTCCGGCGGCACCAGACACACACCCAACCAGATCGGGCCACAAAACGAAGGATGGGTCACCCAAAACGAGCGGCATCTTCCCAGCAAGCCTCCAGCAAAACCCCATCAGGTAAATCGAGCGCTTTTACTAAGTATTTCCGCGACCGGGCGGATAGTAATGCGGGCGCACTAGGCCCCAATATGGCGGCAGACTCCTCACCTCTATGTATGTCCCCCTCCAGCCCAGCAGACTCGGAAATTTCGGGCCCCCCGACGGACGGGGACCTGAAGGACATCCTCAGAAATCTGCCCTCCAAACAGGACATTGCAGGCATGCTGACCCAGCTAGAGGCCTCAGTCCAAGCCAAAATGGATGCATTTAACTCTGAAATTCGCCAAGTTGCTGACAGAGTGAGCACCCTGGAAGATGACAGAGATACTATGCATACACAGTTCAACTCCCTGCAGGCAGCAGTGGAACACCAGAACACCTACCTGTCCACGCTCCATAGGTCCATGGATGATCTAGACAACAGGGGGCGCCGCAACAATCTAAGGATCAGAGGTCTCCCAGAAAACGAACAAGAAGATATCTACCAGACGCTGAATGAACTATTCAACTTAATTCTGGGTAAGCCAAGAGACCATCACATCCTACTAGATAGAGCACACAGGGCACTGAAGCCCAGAGGTATAGCGACTGACAAGCCTAGAGATGTCATTTGCAGGCTTCACTATCACACATGCAGGGAAGATATACTGCACACGCTGAAACAGACCTCACAACCTATGCTATTTCATGATGCCCCAATAACCATCTACCCCGACCTCTCATGGCTGACACTACAAGCGAGACGGATTTTGCGACCAATTACAGACCAATTAAGATCCAGAAACCTAAGATACAGGTGGGGATTCCCACTGGCACTGAGTGTCACGTATAAGGGCACTCAGCACACGATACACTCCCATGCGGACATACCACTCTTTACACAAGCCCTCAACCTCACAGACCCACACATCATGGACTGGTACGGACCGCTGCAAACACCACTTCCACCTCAGCTACCGCAGAGACCCCGATGGCAACAAACGCCCAAGAAGAAAAGATCAGATACCCAAGACCCGTCGCTACACTGAAAAGATTCCAACCCTGCGCACACACTACGACCTGCTACCAGCCAAGGCTATATGATCCACTAGCAGCTGCCACCTCCGGGACACCAGCTGCTAAGGGAAGCCCAACTCGAACAACCAAGGGACATGCTGAGATGACCATCTCTAACACGCTGCCAGAGACTTGTTAACGCTCCTCGGAGCCATCTCCACTTGGGGCTATCAGGACTCTCTTAAGAACCAGGTGACCGTATCCATATAATGTTAAACCCATGTTGCTAAGGGATGAACCCCCCTGGGGTATGATACAGAGCGAAAATGTCTTAAATGCCAATCCCTATAACGCCAGCCAGCTGTCGCAATTTCCGCGACCTCAACAGGAATAACACTCAACAGGGTAATCTCGCTTATTTTCCCGCGACACTTACCATCCCCGGCAGCGGCATAACAGGCAAATATACAGACCTGATATACGGCTTCCACCTCTCCCTCTCACTATGCAGACCCAATGGCTAGGCTGGCGGCAGGTAAATGCTGCACATTACCGGGATCTTTCTTAGTGGCCCACCAACAGAAATTTAGACATATCATTAACGCATCACCCACAAAAAAAAAAAAAAGTTTATCTAGAATAACGCTGTTTATACTGTTTTTATAGCCTCCTCATCTAAGATGTCTAACTAACTGATATGTTGTGAAATGTATTTACGGGTGTGTGCTCTGGCGACGACAGTTGATGACTCTTACTCCCGTTGATCTCCTACGAGAGTCATTGACTGACATCAGTCGCCCGGGACCACCTCCGTCCCTCATCTCTCTTTGCATACTATCGTATGATTACTAGACGACTTGCATTGTATTAGGTCGACACGACCTATACCACGGTGTCACAAAAGTCCCAGGTGGCAACGTCCCACTCTGGGCCCGACACCAGAGGTCTCCCCTCAGACTGCTGGCTGACGCCCGGTGTTCAACCGGTGCCTCCTAGCAATCTCGGGGGACAGTTTCTACTCCGATCTATCTATAGATTTTTCGCTTGTATATAAGTTAATTGTTCTATATTTTTCTCCTCTTGTTGTTTCTCTTTTTCTTTTGCTTTCCTTCCCCTTTTGCTCCTCCCTCCAGGTGACCAAATCCCCCCCATCCAAACATCCCCCCCCTCACCCACAGACACTCTCATTGGCACACCTACAAACGTATCCAGACCTGATGGCTACCATACAATTAGTCACACTCAATGTTAAAGGCCTTAATACGCCCGAGAAAAGATCTATAGCTCTTACAGAGATGCACAAACTACGAGCTAACGTGGTCTTCCTACAGGAGACTCACTTTAAGAAGGACAGAGCGCCCACTCTCAAGAGCAGGACATACCCAACAGGATTCTTTAGTAACTATAGTCACGCCAAGGCCAGGGGGGTAGCCATACTCTTTGCAGCACACACTCCTTTCACCTACAAGGCTCACAAAACTGATGATGGGGGCAGGCTACTCTTGGTAAAGGGACAGATAGGCCAGACCGTCCTTACATTTGCTAACCTATACCTACCCAACCGACACCAAGGCAAAGCCCTCAAGAAGTATCTTAATATAATCGAATCCTTTATGGAAGGCATGTTGATCATGGGTGGTGACCTGAATATGTCCTTGGACTCTGCCCTTGACACGACCTCCCACTCCACACAATACCAAAATGCTGCAAGGAAATAGATAACACACCTCCTTGACCAAGCTAGACTATTTGACTGCTGGAGAACCACACACCCACAAGATAGAGACTACTCCTCAGCCTCACGCTCATACTCCAGGATAGACATGATGTTCCTTCCCCAAGATCACTTGCATCTGGCCATCTCCTGCTCCTACGGTCCAATTACCTGGTCAGACCATGCACCTCTATCCCTAGTCATACAGATCCCCACGCTCCCACTGACGTCCTTTCATTGGAAACTTAACGATTTCCTCCTCAATGACCACACAATCACAACTCGTGTGACAACTGCACTTACCAACTACTTCCAAGAAAACACGCTACCAACCATCTCCCCCATGACCACTTGGGAAGCGCACAAATGCGTCATAAGGGGAGAATTCCTAGCAATAGCGGCCACTCTCAAAAAAAGGAGAACACAGAAAATAGACACACTCACACGAGAAATCAGAGTCCTTGAACATACTCATACCCGGGATAGTTCCCTATCAACCTATAACACCCTCATAACCAAGCGCACAGAACTGACACAACTACTGCACCACCAGGCCAAGAAAAAGCTCCTCCATACCAGGCACTCCTATTATACACAGGGAGGTAAATGTGGCAAACTACTAGCCAATGCCCTACGACAGTCCAGGCAAAACACGTACATCTCCAAAATCAAAACACAAACGGGCACTATATCACATACCCTCCCAGACATCATGAAAGCCTTCCAACACTTCTATACCAAACTTTACAACCTCAGGGAGTCACCTCCGGATATAAACGACATAACAAGATACCTATCAACCAGGCTAAAAAATAAAATCCCTGACGCCGTGGCACAGTCCATAGACATGCCCATTACCACTGAAGAATTAAATTGCGCGATAAAATCAACACCACTAGGCAAAAGCCCTGGCCCCGACGGCCTCACAGCCAAATACTACAAACAATTCGCTACACTCTTGGCTGAACCATATCTACGGGCATTTAATGCTCTTACCCATCCAGCCCCACTCCCGGCATCAGCGTTGGAGGCCCATATCACTTTGCTGCCAAAACCCGGTAAAGACCCCAAAGAGTGCGGCAGCTACCGCCCAATCTCGCTCATAAATGTAGACTTGAAGATTTGTACGAAAATCCTAGCCATGCGTCTACAACCTATACTACACACCTTAATCCACCCTGATCAATCCGGTTTTGTCCCTAAACGAGAGGCCAAACATAACACAACTAAAGTACTGAACCTCATCCATCTCTCCCGAACCACAAAAGGGCAAAGCCTACTACTATCTATAGATGCTGAAAAAGCATTTGATAGAGTAGACTGGACAATGCTCACTACCACTCTCCAGGCCATGGGCTTTGGTCCAAACTGGATGCAATGGATGGGAGCCATATACTCTCACCCAACGGCAAAATTGAGAATAAACGGCCAACTGTCAGGTCCGGTACACATAAAGAACGGCACGAGACAGGGTTGCCCTCTCTCCCCCTTACTCTTTATTCTCACCCTAGAACCCTTCCTACAGGGAATACGGGACCACAACACCATCCATGGCTTTAAAGTCCACCAACAAGAATTCAAGGTATCTGCGTTTGCAGATGACCTACTATTTTCCATCACCGACCCGCTCACCTCCCTGCCTCCACTGATAGCCGAACTGACGACATATGCCAAGCTCTCCAACTTTAAGGTCAATTACACAAAGAGTGAAATCCTACCCCTCCAACTGACAGACAAACACAAAACACACTTAAAACCGCGTACCCTTTTGCATGGGCTAGAAGGTCCATCACCTACCTTGGGGTCCATCTACCCAGACACTTGAAACACGCATACGATCTAAACTTCATGCCACTACTCACCGAGATATCAAAAGATCTAACAAACTGGCAGAGACCCGTCTTTAGCTGGCTATGTAGGATCAATATATTGAAGATGAATACATTGCCAAAGGTGTTATATCTCCTACAAACACTCCCCATTGCGATCCCCCCCTCCTTTTTCTCCAAGCTCAAACAAATATTCACAACCTTCATATGGGCGACTAAACGCCCGAGAATAGCGTACACGATTCTGACCAGACATAGGGGAAGGGGGGGCCTAGGCCTACCTCATATGGAACGCTACTATCAAGCGAGCATACTAACCAGAATATACGAGTGGACCGCAGAGCCCCCGCTGAAACAATGGGCATATATAGAAAGCTCAATGTTCCAATCTCCTCTATGCACAATCCCATGGCATGACAAGGGACACACACTCCTCCTGCCTCAACACTCACAACACCCAACGATCACACCCACACTGCACCAATGGTCGCGCATTAGGCCCCAGAAAGACGTCTCACCACACCCCTCACCGCTATATCCCTTGGCACACAATCCAAAGTTCCTACCGGGCACATGCCCACACTTCTTCTCCCAATTTCCATTGGTCCAAAAGACGAGATACCCGATGGTTAGCACAGTTATGACCCCAACGGGAGTGGCTCCACTGTCTACACTGGCCACAACAGACCACCCTACTACCAAACAACACTTTCGATACGCCCAACTGTCTCACTTCTTGAAGGGGGATCCACATTTCATTCGAGGAACAAGGGCACACACCACCTTTGAGACCTACTGCACCACACACAGCCTTCAAACCAAACACCTGTCCATTTTCTACAGACTCCTAAGCACTTCAAGTCACACCCTATTGCCGGCGTTCACGTCAGCATGGGAAGGTGAGCTAAATATCACTATTCCTCAGGAAACATGGCATAGGATCTTCACACACACACATAAATCATCTGTCAGCACAGCAGTAAGGAAAAACACGTACAAACGGATATCCAGGTGGCATTACTCACCTACCAAGATCCACGCACTCTTCCCAACAGTACCTGATCTATGTTGGAGATGCGGGCAAACCAAAGGAACCACGGCTCACATTTGGTGGCTATGCCCGCCTATTCAAACCTATTGGCAGAGACTAAGAAGCCTAATAACCTCTATCACGGGTTACCAAGTATCACACTCCCCCGAAACCTTCTTATTCCTCATGCACACCACCCACATGCCAAGCCACCTACGCAAACTCATAAACCATATGCTGACAGCAGCGAACATGCTGATACCACTTAAGTGGAAAAGCACTGGGGTCCCATCAGTACGTGAGTGGATACAGAAGGTGGAATTCATACGGACCATGGAAGAATTAAGCGCCTCATACTCGAACCACTACAACACATACATTCTAACCTGGCAGCCATGGTTGACCTACCTAGAGCGTTAGAGATACCTAAACGCCACCCTCACCCGACCCATATAGTACTTGCACGACCTTCATCCCACCCCCCCTCCTCTCCGTCCTCGCTCTACCACATCGAAAGGTACAACCCTACGAGCCGAACTCATACCCCCCGACCAATGTCAGTAGTATGCTCTGTACCTGGATTCACTAGAATACTACCCTGTCAAGTTACACAATGTTACAAATGGGACAAAGGGAAAAAATGCGCAAATACTAAAGCCTGTGAATTTTGCAACGATATTTGTTAAGCCGATGTGGCTACTGTTTTATTTTATCTGTCTTGTAACACCCTTTTCTCTGCGCAATAAAATAAAGATTATAAAAAAATACATAATTTCAAAAGCTTATGGAAAAATATTCAGTTGAGGCCTAAATACACAATAAAATGGAAGAAATCTGCAACAAAAAAATATAAAATTATCTAAGGGTTGAAAGCTCGAATGCGGCATTGTACATGTAAAAACATTTGTTATAATTAGAGGTTCACTATAACACACATTTCTGCTTACTGTGCATGTTTTTTTGGCATATTAGTTTCCTATTTATATGCATAAGTTTGGGCATGGAAATTAATATATGTAAATCCTTTGTGATTTCACTTTACAGAATTCTCTAGGGTGGCAACACATTTTTGCTAAGAGTATTTATAATGATCTTCCCGTACAAGTGAGAGTCACCTGTAAGCTGGGCATGACATGTTAGTGTTACCAGATATCTCTAGCCCAAACATCGTCCGTTATCCAAGTTTACTAGTTAGAAGTTTAAAGACTGTCCTCTCAATGCCTTAGGATACAAGTTTAGATATCTCTTTCGTGAAGAGCAGATGCATGTCTAAAATTTGAATAACACTTATTATATAAATTAACGTTCTGTCTAAGAAGCAAGAAAGAGAAATGGAAAATTCATCCACGGTTGTTAGCAGCTTTGAGCTTCTTTGGATCAAGGAGATGGAAATATTTCAATATCTTTACTGCGCATTATTTCTTGTGGTGTATTTATCTATCCTACTGATGAGTTCACTGATTGTTTTTGTGGTTTGTACTGAAGAAAGCCTCCAGGAGCCCATGTATATTCTTGTATGTACCCTCGCTCTCAATGGAATGTTTGGGAGCTGTTCTTTTTTCCCAAAACTCATTTTTGATTTATTGACTTCATCTAACACAATCTCATATTTGAGCTGTCTCTCTCAGATTTACTTTATGTTAAATTTTACTTATTTTGAAATTTGTACATTTACACTCATGGCTGTTGATAGATACTTGGCTGTGTGCTATCCCCTTCAATATGTCATAATTATGACTAATGAGAAAACGTTAAAAATAATCACTGGACTTCTGGTTGCCACTTTTATAGGAGTGTTGGTAGCTGTACTTTTGTCTGCAAGACTCCGTCTTTGTGGAAGACAAATCCAAAATGCATTTTGTGATAATCCATCAATTGTCCTCCTTTCCTGTACTGATTCAACAGCAAATAATCTCTATGGGACAACTGCTATTGTTGTTTTCTTAACAATCACTTCCATAATTATTGGTTATACATACCTAAGAATATTTATTGTCTGCATTAAGCTCTCCAAGATTGTTCGTAACAAAGCAATGCACACTTTGATGACTCATTTGCTAAATTTCTGTATTTTTCTAACAGGCTTCATCTTTTCTTTTATTCGGTATAAACTAAATAATATTGATTTACCACTTTCAGTACAATTTCTATTCACGATAAGTAGATTTGTCTTTCCTCCCTTTCTCAATCCACTAATCTACGGTTTAAGAACCAAAGCACTAAAAATAAAAATAGCTCATCACTTTTCAAAGACAAACGTGGAAAACAAATTTTTGGCATTTAAATAATTCATACAGAATTTACGTTATGTTGCTAAATTATGTTTCAATTTAATAAAAGCTGATATCAAATGTTATCTTCCACATGTTTTCTGTCTATTGCATTTTAGGTCAGTAACATGACTTTGTGTATGTAGGTGTGGTGTGTATTAAAATGTCTGGTTTTAAAAAGCCTAGACCAGGGGTCAGCAACCTATGGCACGTGTGCCATGCATGGCACTTGAGGTGCTTTAGCACTACACTTAAGGCTGCTAGTGACACACAGTCTCTGGCCTATCTGCTAGTGCAAATCCAAGCGCACTGCAGCAAAAAGAGGAAGTGTTCACAGATCACGTCCTCCCAGCTCTTATGAATGGGAATCCACTCTGGTGTAGGGGTCCTGCCCTTGACCTGCACCTGGTCAACATGTTTCCCACTGGGCCGTAGTGAAACCACCCACACTGTTAGATATACATAGAGCTGCAGAAGATGCCCCCACATAGCAATAGTACAAACAACATACACACAAACACACACTTAATCCCCATAAACACAACACCAATCCACATACATGCACACAACTCCACAAGCAGTCTCTCACATGCAATGCCACAAGCAGCCCCTACATACACACATCACCAAACACACTATGTAACATATCATCCACATACACAATTCCGCAAGCAGCCCTCAGACAGCCTGCATTCATATGTATCCTACACAATACCACAAACTGTATACAATATATAAAACAGCCTACATACGCACAAATATAAAGCTCTAAAGCAACTACAGCACCCATATGTAACACAAGCAAAATATGGAAACATACACACCACATTATTCTAAAAAAATAGGACTGTCACGGCAAGGGACTTCATAATTTTGTTTTGGCAAAGTACTACTAAAAGGTTGACTACCCCTAGTATAGACTATATGATGTAGAGAAACATTTAAAAATATATATATTTTTGGGACATTAAAAGTTACATCTGAAATATGTTTTGCTCCTTCAAATTTGGAAGCAGTAGGCAACTTTTGGCACTCCAGGTGTTGTGAACAACATTTCCCTTGTTACAATATGAGAGATGTACTCACAACACCTGGAGTGTTAAAGGTTGCTTAACCATGATCTAAGACTATTGTCTCTTTGCTTTACTGAAATTTGACAAAACTCTGATTTATCCTTTCTTTATGTACATGGGTAGTGGATTTATCCCTGAAGAGTTATGGTATTCAGGTCTCGCTTACATTTTACATTTCAATTCTTTTATGATGAGAGTGCAGAGGGACTCATGGAGGGGGAGGACAATGCTAAGATTTTTGGAGATTAGGGTATGTACATACAATTTTATTTTAGTCAGGAGAATCTAGAGTTGAATCTCTGTAGCAATGTATGAATTGTTATTATAACTATTTTTTCTACAGTTTAATGACCATATTGCATGTATGTTCAAAATGACCTAACTTTGTATACATATACTGTATACAGTCAAGGGAAAAAGAAAGTACACCTTCTTTGAATTCTATGGTTTTATATATCAAGATATAATGACAATCATCTTTTCCTGAGCAGGTCTTAAAATTATGAAAATGCATCCTAAACTAAACAACAATATATGACATATTACACTGCGTCATGATTTATTTAACACAAATTCTTTTACAAATCACTGTTATTGGAAACAGTTTCCATATGACTTTGTTGGCTTGATAGAACAGCTACACCTGGTGGATGTTTATAAGCACAGCTAGAGATACTTTGCCATACTAAATGAGATGTACCAAATGGATTCGTATTGCTGCAATTTGTGAACAAATGCTGCCAATGTAGCTTTTCTGCATCTTTAGTTTCTTGACTTCAATTAACAATTTGCTACTGTTCCTGTTGACTACATCGGGATTATTGAGCGAGGTTATTACCTATAAAAATTGGCAATACTCATATTATAAAAAATTGTGTTCTTAATTTACTATTTAGGCACTAAACATTTATTTATGAATTCCTGGAATGCTTGGAAACATACCTGATAGAAAACTGAGCCGATTATATTAAAAACATATATATATTGTATTTATTTTGTTTCCTTTTACAGTTCTTTTTCCATTCATTATTTTTGATTATTTATGTTTGATTGGCTTTTTGACTTATTGACTTATTGAATGTAGTTTCATGCATTTTAAGGTACCAATAGTAGATGCTACATTTAAACTTTACAATCAGGACACTGGACGTTGCTGTTTATGTTCTGATTCTTTAGTAAACCTGCTACCTTTTGTACATTGAGTTCCTGATACACATTGTTCTTTCCATTTATGTATGGGGATTACCAGCCTCAGGTCTGGTTTTACACCTGTTATTATTTAGTAAGATGTGCGTGAATTCTCTCCTTCTAGGCAACAACTAATAGCCTAATGGATAGGCGTTATCAGTAATTTTTCCCATGCCAATTCTAAATTGTCAACTGGTCAGAAAAATATTATTAGGATTCTATTAAAAAATGAAGGGAGGAATGTTATTAGGATGATTGGTTTATTTATTTATTTTTGTTGCAATTTCCTTTTAATCAAAAATGGAAGCAGCTGCATCAGTCCTTTTACGTTGAAAAATGTCAGTGGGAAATTTATGACCCACTCAAACCTCCCTCCCTTAGAACAAAGCTTTGCCGCATATTTAGTCTATGGTGTCTGTGATTGTCCTTCACATTGGTTTAAAAAAACACAGTGCCCTGGCAGTAACAGGAGTAATTTAGTTTTTAAAAAAAGTGCTTGCTAATATATATGTATATCTGTGTGAGTGTGTATGTGCAGACATCCCAGCAATCAAACACCAACACGACATGCAAACACAAACATGACATACTGACACACCTGAAATCAAACTCTTCACTCGAACACCAATAATACACACAAATGTACAGCCACATTTAAAATCCAACACTACATCTAAACACACAATTGCACATAAATCCAAGCAAATCTTACAAACACACCCTTGAATGAAAATTCTAAAATTATATACAAACTCCAGATTAACACAAAGAAGAATAACTGCTACTAAGTACTACAATCTGTTTACTATCTGTAGAAATTTGACAAAAAAGAAAACCTGACTCTGTTAATTAAGAGTTTTGTGCTAGGGAGCCAGTGTCCCTTACCTCCTTGCTCCTACGTAGGAGGCAGGTAGTGGGGAATAAACTTAATTAAAGTAAAAAAAAAAAAAAACCCTGCTCTCTCCTCACACACACTCAATACTACAATCAAACACTACATGCACGCACTCCATCCACTACACAAACACTACACCCACTATACACACAGCATCAACTACACAAACACACACTCTGCATACACTACACATCCAAATGCATTTGCTTACAGTACACAAACACACACTCTGCATCCACTATACACACACAATGCATCCAGTACACAAACTTTCAGATCACTACACACAGACACTAAATCCACTACACATTTTGCATACACACACTCATTTTTCACTACACACACTGCATTCAGTATATACACACTGGATCACCTACACAAACACAAACACTGTGTTCACTACACACACTGCATTACATAATAGATGTAGGTGTGTTTTGGTGGACATTGTTTTGGTGAGGGGACGAGGGGGAGGGATTTCATTCTTGGACTAGGTACAATGTCTAATGTAATACTACCATTTGCCATAAAAAAAACTGTAGATATGAGAGGGATATTGAGGTAGTTTCAATTTGATGTCACCTCCTATTTTTAATCAAATGGTTTCTGGATCTAAAGTGTCTAAGGAAACAATATCAGTATAAATAAAAAATTTAGATATATAAAACAATGTGAAAATAGTGAAATAAAGTATCCAGACACTTGGTGTCTCAAAATAGAGGAGAGTGCAAATGGTGGACAAACTGAGCGGGCTGTTCCCTAGTCTAATTATCTCAGAGAGATGTCAATCTTTGTCCTATGCATTTTCCAGTCCGCCAGTTTAGTCAAAAGTTGCATCAAATTGTATAAAGGAAGAAAAGAGGGAAAATGAAGTCAAGTTTCATGTCCAGTGCTCAGTGCTAGCAAGCACTTAACACGCATTTCACCCTTAAGTATCGGGAGTTTAATAGATATTACAATTGGTATAAAACACAACACTTCACTCATTTGTTTTTTTAAACTATTTTTTTATTAAAAGTAATTTTTTAAACAATACCACAATATTTATTTTTCTAATGAAAATTGACAGATCACTGTCCACCCCCATGCTCTCTCTCTAGAGCGCTGAATAAAAATAATAATAATAATAAAGCAACGGAACATAATCTCCCCATATCCAGTAAATAGGGGTATAATTAAAATGAATGGGTGGAGCTAGTGTTTCACCAGCCCCCACCCATGGTTAGTGTCCAATTAAAGATTGACATGCCGTTATCAACCCTCAAAATTTTTCTAAAGTTTTCCCCGAGTGACTAGGGATCCCCACTCCTTTAAGTCACGCCACAAGAAATTAAAAATTGGATTTCAAAAAAAGAGGTGAAGAAATGTGGCACAGTAAATGAGAGCAAGGCTCATACAGACTGAGACTGCATGATAGGAAAAGTTACCGTAAGTGCTTTCATACGCTATGCAATTTCAGTCAGAGTGTTCTTATTAGTTTTTTGACAGGCACGTGTTATCTTGCGTGACTAGTTTATTTTTTTCCCCAGTCTTTCTTCAGCTACTAAAATGGGCACAAAAAGATATTTGAGCAGTTTTTTTGTTCAGTGTGTTGGCGTTTTATGTTAAAAAAAAAATTTTTGTTTATTTTTTACATTTTGAAAGATCAAAAAAGGAGGATCTTAAATAAAGACTTTTAGGCCTTGATTTAATAGACTTTCCAAGTGATTAAACACTTTTAGAAAAAACGCTCCAAATGATTTATCTACTTTAGTTACCACTAAAGTAAATGGGAATCTTTGCAAATAAGCCATTTGGTAAGTTTTTCTAACCTGTATTGAATCATTAAATGGAAAGCTTAAATCTAGACCATAGAAAGGTAAGTATCATTTTTTTCTACAGATGTTTTAAAAAATTTATTTAGAAAATTTGGGCCTCCATACACTAATAAATAATGGTTGGTGGTATATTAGGGTTAAGGGGTGTTTGATATGGGGCCAGAAGACTGGTGCTCTCCTGACCCCATTGGGATTTTAGGGGCCAGCAGGCTGCACATTTCTTTTCTTCAGTTTCTATCATTTCCTACAGTTATTACTATTTGGGTACTGCCATTTCAGCCCCAGCACACTATTAACATTTCATTTCTGCTCACTATTTACTTTACAAAGACAGGCTAAAAAAGCCAACATTTTAATAGGGGGCGTATCTGACTGGCTTCCAAGATGGCCATTTGAGCTCTGCAGCATGAGGCAATAAGCACTTTTAAACAGACGAGATCAGTGAGGGCTATGCCCAACAAACGACAGTCAAAGCCTGTCAGACCTGCCCAACTAGCGAGGTATCGGCACAAATGAAGCGCTTCCTTGCTGAGAAATCATATGTTTTTCTGCTAAGAGGACAGGACAACTGCACCGCAGAAAAGGGATGATGGACGGGGTCATGTACCATCAGATCTTAGGGGAGAACCTCCTTCCCTCAGCCAGGGCATTGAAAATGGGTCATGGATGGGAATTCAAGCATGACAATGATGCAAAACACACAGCCAAGGCAACAAAAGAGTGGCTCAAGGAGAAGCACATTAACATCCTGGAGTGGCCTAGCCAGTCTCCAGACCTTAATCCCATAGAAAATCTGTGGAGGGAGCGGAAGGTTCAAGTTGCCAAACGTCAGCCTCGAAACTTCAATGACTTGGAGAGGATCTACAAAGAGAAGTGGGAAAAATCCCTCCCGAGTTGTGTGCAAACCTTGTCACCAACTACAAGAAATGTTTGACCTCTTTGATTGCCAACAAGGGTTTTGCCACCAAGTACTAAGTCAAAGGGGTCAAATACTTATTTTACTCATTGACATATAAATAATTTTATAACTTTTTTGACATGTGTTTTTCTGTTCTTTTTTGTTGCTATTCTGTCTCTAACTGCTAAAATACACCTACCAATTATAGACTGATAATTTCTTTGTCAGTATGCAAACATTCAAAATCAGCAGGGGATCAAATACTTTTTCCCTCACTGTACAGGTACTGGAAATAATAGCACAGTAACATCCAATTGCAATCTAGGCGTCTGAGAAAATAACGTGACAGGTGGAACACAGTGCCTCCCCGACGTAAACCAAGATGCGGAGAACCAGCCTATGTGAGATTTATGACATGTTATATTATGGACCATTGTTGAACCTGCATGATAAACTTACCGACGGCCTCCTGCCTCTTGAGCGTGGACTTGCCCCTAAAACCGCTGGACTCTTTTTGCACCCTGTGGATAATATGGTCCTGGACTTATGAGACTGAACCTGAGATCATATTCCAGTCACACTCAGGATATATACAAAGGCATGGCCACCCAAACATATGGCCAACCTTGTGGTGTTGTATCTCCTCAGGATTCCATCGAAGGGATTGTTCTATCTCACTCTGTGACAAACTAATGCACAGTCATGGACCCTATGCCTACTCAGACCATGATATTTTTCATGTGTATCTGAAACCACAGTGATTTTGACTACAATATGCTCCATCAGGTTCCTGGGGAAGGTGGGGGTTAGTGAGGATACTTTAAATTGGGTTTTGCATTATGGTTGCGTCCATTGTGGGGTCCTGGGGCGGTAGAGGCCTGCCGCTGCTGAGCCGGGGGACCGCCCTGGGTTCTCGATGTCCTGCAGCTTACCCGGGGCTGGAATTCAGAGTGGTTCTTACTGTTACAGTACATGCTTTTCTAAAAATGTATTTCATTATATTAACCGGTGTGAATCCGCAATCTAACCATAGGGCTTTAGGGAGTGAGCGCACTGAGACTTTATTGTGGGCCGAGGCTTAGTTAGGCCTCAGATGCTCTTATTCCTAATGCAGGGCCTCATGTTGCCTGATGTTCTCATGCTGCATGTTAGCTTAAGAATTTCAGTTATCCCCCTACCCCAAGCATTCTAGACTTACTGTTACCGTTTCTTCCACAAATCGACTATTGTCGCATTTTGATTTTGTAACTCAAGAAAACTTGGCATTTTTCTATCTCTGTACATAGTTGTGTATAACCCTAACAGCCTTTATATTCATATCGCATTCCCCTAAATCAGGCATTTTTACACCTTGGATTCACAAAGATCTATCTATTCTTTCACCAATATGTCTTAATTAAAAATGATCTCAATTAATGCTACGGGCCTCCTTGCCCCAGAGAGTAGAGTGCTTAAATTACAGGAATTCCACATGGCCAAAGCCTCGGTGGTGTTTATCCAGGAGACCCATTTAACAGCCCAAATGCTTCTGTTTCTTGGCTGATCCAAGAAGCCGTAGTGAAGAATTACACCTTCTTTTCCCATGCCAAGCAATCGTATTCACACATAGACCTCCTAATACATAGACACTTGCACCTACTAACTCACACCTACATTGACCCAATCACGTGGTCTGGCCATGTGATGATTACTCTTTGATTGATTCCAGAAGCTCCACGACCATTTAACCATTTTTGAAAACGAAATTAATACATAATCACTTTTCTAGAGACCCAGGCACGCATCACTGACACACTCACTAATTACTTTACAGACAATGACACATTGCACATATCGCCACTCTCCCTGTGGAATGCTCACAAATGTATATCCGTGGGGAATTTATCAAACTTGGCTCTGAAGCTAAATAAAAGAAAAATGCTGAAATCCAAACATTGCTTCAAAAACTGCATCACCCAGATCCCCAACATAAGCCGTTTCTATCCAAAAAGACCCTGGACCAAATAACTGAAACTAGACGTAAACTAAATGATTTGCTAGATACCAAAAACAAACAATGCATTATTTTAACTTTTAACAGAGCTATTACCAGCACAGTCATAAATTTGGTAGACAATTGGCTAGGGCACTGAAGCAGATACATTAGTTAACCTTCATCTCCAAAATCAGGAACCCAGATGGACACTTAGCGCACAAATCAGGAGATAAAGCTAGGGAATTTCATAAATTGTATGCCAATCTATACAATATACCCTCAAATTATGGTCCAGAGTGGAACCCTGATAGCCCTCTGGCATGATATTTTAATGCTCACTTAAGGTTGACTGTAGGGACAATCCCATTACGACTGATACACTTTCTGAAGCTGTTAAGAAATTACACCTGAACAAAGTCCTGGTCCAGATGGACTCACCACTAGGTATTATAAACAATTTATTCAGCTCATAGCACCTGTGTTTATAACCCTACTTGCAAAACCAGATAAAGACCCTGAACTATGCAGGAACTACAGGCACATATCATTATTAAATAATGACTTAAAAATGTTCACTTCCTTCTGGTCCACAGGTTGGGCCCTCTCATGGGTGGGCTGGTCCATCCTGATGAGGTGGGAGTTATCTCATCCAGGGAAGCCAAGAAGAACTCTACAAGAGTAGTTTACCTGCTCTTCACTGCAAAACACTCTAGGCTCCTCTCTATCTTCCTATCAATAGATGCCAAAAAGGGTTTTGATCGGGTGGACTTGCCCTACCTGGGAGCGGTCTTACGGCAATTGAGGTTTGGACTGATGTGGAGAGCATGGATTAATGCCATAATTTCCAAATGGGATGCTCATATCCAAGTTAATGACCTACTGTCCAAACCAGTTTATATTAAAAATGGCACCTGTCAGGGCTGTCCTTTCTTTGCCCTCACTCTGAAAACCTTTCTAAATGCATTCAGGACCAATACCAACATTTCTGGATTTCATGGGTTGGACCTCTGTATAAAAAAAATAACTGCATATGCTAATGACCTACTTTTTTCTCTGACTGATCCTTTGAGATCCCTTACAGAGTTAGTACATGAAATAAAACGCTACAGTGTTTTGTCTTTTTTCTTGATAAACTATGATTGTGATAGATGCTCCTTACCAGGTACATTTGCCACAGATTTCTGGAGGAGAGTGGAAGCTGGCCTCCTGCCCAACGACTATGGTCCAGGTCTGAGACACCGTCATTAGAAGCTTTCCCTGGGTGCTCCTGGTTCGGCGCTTTCCCTTCATTCGCATGGAACCGAACGCTAGGTCCCTGGCTGCCGTTTGCATGAACAAAACCCATGAATAGTCCTCTGCAGTACTTAGATGCAACTGTTGTGGAAATAATTTTACTTGGAACACTTGGGAGGGGTTTGTGCTCAATACAATAGAGCCCCCTTGCTGGAATCTGTGCATAAAATATTATTATATGCTGTATCTGATTAAAGCTGCTATTTTCAACTTACCATCTGGAGTCCTGTATTTCAGTGGTGACCGTTTAAGGAAGTGGATAACAGCCACCGCCACCATCTGGAGAGGCACCTTATGAATGCCTGAATTTACTTGAATGCCTGAATTTACTCTTTTGAGTGCATCTAATCATAGCGCATATAATTCTGTTATACAGATTTACACTATGTTTTGTGTACTTTTTTAATTTTAGATTATCAGCTGTTTCCATCTTGCATCTTGTATACATATTGGTTGTTATAAAGTCGCTGACTGGGAAATTATGTAAGGGAGGCTGATTACTTTATTTATTGGATTAGTATAATTTTGTTATTACCATTATATTGTAATCTTTGGTGAAGGGTTATAGAGTCTGAGCATAAAAGACAGAGTTCGGCTCATTAAAGTCAGTTGACTCCCCGAACTATATGTCTTCTAGTTGTTGGGGGGAAAGGGCTTTAATCATTGCTCAGCACCTTGTTCAAGCTCATGGAGGGTTTGACAGGGAACGTCCCTGTAAGGACAAAAGCTTCCAGGACTGTGTGTCATCCAGTCCCTGGGAGGGAATAGAGCTAGTCCCCTATCCTGTTCCAGGATAGAGAGGTTCCAGGAGGACCCCAGTCAAGTCACGGCAACTGAGGCAGAAGCGCTGAGGTTTTCCCCTGCTCCAGCTCAGAAGCGGCGGAGGTACCCAGCCCGGGAACAGGGAGCTCTGCTACAACGATAAGTCTGAATTTCTTTCCATAGCAGTTCCAATGGAGATTAGTGACAACATTAAACAAACCTCCTTTAGAGAAGCTTTTAGAGAAGACCTCACTCACCTATTTAGGTATCAGAATGACCCATTCTACCTCTGACCTGTTTCAAACAACCTCCCCTCTCTACTACAGTCAATAAAAGCTGACCTTCTTAAGTGAAACAGGCCCACTATCTCATGGACTGGACTCCTCAATGTCCTGAAAATTAACGTCCTGCCCAGGGTCCTATACCCTATCACAGCACTTTCAATCCACCTACCCAAACCCTTCTTCCACAAACTCGATATGCCTGTGTTTTGTGTGGATGAATAAAAAAATCTGGTCTTAACCTCACCGATATGTCTAAACATTACAACCAGAGGACTTTGGCTTCCCAATGCTTATAAATAGTACACAAGAATGATTCACTGTATGCTCCCAAAACACAAATAGATAGCTTATAAATAGTACCTTGTGAATGTGCTATACAGGGTCCAGGAGTGGGCCTGTAGTGGGGGTGATAAATACTGGAAGCGCCTAGAACTAGCTGTCTGAAAGTAATCATAGACACATTGCCCAGACAGAAGGTGAATCTTGCTGCCATATGCCAAATCCATATGCCAAATCCATCATCCAATCATCATACCAACACTTTCTATTAGCTCAAAACAAATCATATGCCTTCCCCCTACACCCCGCCCCATTTACTCCTTCTCTCTTTGACACAAAACTCCTCCATACCAAAGCAATTAACAACTTGGTTGGCCACTTGCATACCAGGCAAACGAGAGGTACATCTTAAAGGCCTTATCAGTTCATACTCAAACTTATACCTACTACACCTAGACTCATACCTCACCTCAAGACCCAATACTTTTCGAGACAAGTTTAAACACCATCAACTAACTTATTATATCCAATCTTTACCTCACATGACTGATAATATACATCAACTCACTATTTTCAAAACATAATGCTGTACTCCAAGGAAACCTAAAATACTACTCTCCTTCTCATATAAACCTCTGGGGAGACTCACAAGTTGACTCCCTGCCATCATACACTACAATTTGGGAACAGGAGTTACAAATATCCTTGATGACTTGCCAACGGCAAAAAAGTTACCAAATTAGTTATAGAAATGCACACTACAGATGTCTGTATCATGGAACTAAGTGCCTTCATCATGGCTCCCTGTCAATCATTGTTCTAAGCTTTGTCCATTTCTCTGGTTAAACATAGTGAGTGTAGATGGAGAGATATAATGTAATAATAATGCTTCTGTGTCTCTGTTTCCAATGCACTGTGTGGTCCGGCTATATAAGAACTAATAATCAATTTAAAGGTGATATTCAAAGGTGTATTCAGAGGACATGAGCATTGAAACTCCCGGACGCATCAGTGTGAGGTCTAGGGTGATGACGTAGCGGGCGGAAGTAAGGATGTTGCGTGTGTGTGGCTGAGGCACAAGTGGAGTCTGAACAAGATTGGAGTCCTCTGTTCAACTAGCGACGGGTGAGAGCCAATCAGAACATGGAGGAGTCTTACCGCAAGTGGGGAGCCAGCTGAGCGGTCTTGGAGGTTACTTGGCGTCGGACTGGTGACAGAACACCAAAGCTAAGTGCAAATTAAAATCTGAAATAACTAAACACAGTGATAACAGAACTGGAGGTAGTTTAAAGTGCCCCCGGAAATAAAGTGTTTCCCTAGGAGGAGATAAAATAAGGGAGGAGGAAGGAGAGGTTTGTTGAAAGAACAGATAATAGACAGAAAACAATTCAAGAAAAATAAGAAACGAGTAATCGAGGAGGAGCTTAACTAAGATTCAAGGTTCAAATATTGAGGAGAATATGAAATAATATAATAAAAAGGAAAAAAGCGAAGGAGAAAGAAAAGAAGGAAGGAAAAAAATTAAAGGAAAGAGGAGGAGGAAAAAAAGAAGGGAAAAAAAGAAAGGAGATAAAAAAAGGAGAGGAAAAAGAGAAAATGGCTCCTAAGGACAAACACACTGAATCCGATAAACTAGAAAAAGGAAAAATGATAAGCACATTTTATTCACCAAAATCTTCTAATGTACTAGTAAAACACTCAAGAACATCTATCTCTCCAGAAGATTCTATACCTCTAGTCAACACAGAAACATAACAGCACAAAAAACATGCTCGCAAGAAAGCATAATGGTAGCGTTAGATAATTTATACGTGAAAATTAAACAAGATCTTAAAATGACATCAACTAAATTAAAAAATGAAGTGATAGAAATAAAAGAAAAATTAGAAACACAAAGTCAAAGCTTTGTAAAATTACGGGAGGAAATACAAAAAAAAGTAATGAAAAATAAAATAGAAACTCTTGAACAAAAACTGACAGATCTAGAGGATAGATCAAGAAGAAACAATTTGTGCATTAAAGGCATACCAGTGGATATCAGCCACTAAAACATGGAAAATTATCTCAAAGAATACATGGCTCAATTCTTTGAAAAACAACATATAGGGCCATACCCCTTTGAAAGATGGCATAGGTTACGAAAACCAATAGGTATCAACTACCATATTTTCATTTAGGGGCCCCACCCGCTGCTCAGGGGTGGGGGCTGGGTAGAGGACGATAGGTCTCCCCCATTTTAATTTAGGGCCCACTCCTGCTGCTCAGGGGTGAGGGCTGTGGGTGTCAATAGGTCCCCCATTCAGTTTAATGGCCCCCACTCATGCAGCATGGTGGGGGCTTGGGAGGGGGGATACTAGGTTTTTTGTTTTTTTTAAACAGGGAGCAGCAACAGGCTAGACATACCCCTACCCACATATAACATGTATAACCCACTATAATTGGTAATAAACTAAAAAAATATATAAACTTTATTAGTATTTAGAGGGCATATCTACAATAGTGAAAAAGAAAAAAAAAGGCCAAAGTTAGATGCTCACCCAGTGTTCACTCCTTCAAAAAATCATTAAAAACCCACTTCTTCATAAAAAGCGTATCAATTAAACTGTTAATAGCTCCTGACTGATTCCTCTTCTGCAACTGTCATTAGTCTAATACTATCCTTACCTTTTTGTGTCATTTTACCCCACTCCCTCTAGCATGTAAGCTCATTGAGCAGGGCCCTCAATCCCTCTGTTACTGTGTCACTATACCCCACTCCCTCTAACATGTAACCTCACTGAGCAGGCCTCCGATCCCTCTGTTACTGTGTCACTATACCCCACTCCCTCTAACATGTAAACTCACTGAGCAGGGCCTCAATCCCTCTGTTACTGTGTCACTATACCCCACTCCCTCTAGCATGTAACCTCACTGAGCAGGGCCCTCAATCCCTCTGTTACTGTGTCATTTTACCCCACTCCCTCTAGCATGTAACCTCACTGAGCAGGGCCCTCAATCCCTCTGTTACTGTCACTATACCCCACTCCCTCTAACATGTAAACTCACTGAGCAGGGCCCTCAATCCCTCTGTTACTGTGTCATTTTACCCCACTCCCTCTAGCATGTAAGCTCATTGAGCAGGGCCCTCAACCCTTCTATTCCTGTGTGTCCAACTTGTCTGGTTACAACTACATGTCTCTTCGTCCACCCATTGTAAAGCGCTGCGGAATTTGACGGAACTCTATAAATATCATAATAATAATAAAAAACACAAAAGTAACTTGTGAAAGTGTAATATTAAAAAGGAGAAATCTGCTGTTTCATTGTCTACACTTTAGCCTTCTACTTGAAATAACATTTTATTAAAACAGCTTTCTTGGGTTGATCAAGAATTTGTATATTTTCTCATGCTTGCTGTGATTGATATATACAAGCCAGATAGACAGACCCTCTAGGTTTCTCCTTTTTAATATTACACTTTCACAAGTCACTTTTGTGTTTTTCACTTTGTCCTTTTTTTTCTTTTTCACTATTATGTAGATTTGCCCTTTAAATACTAATAAAGGTTATATATTTTTTTTTCTTACCAATTAAAGTGGGTTATACATGTTATATGTGGATAATCTAACCTTTTTTTTTGAGAATCGTTACCCATAGTCTTTTGACTTGGGACCCCCTTTTTTTCAAAGAAAGATTTGTTATTCTTTTTTCAATTATGTCTTTTCTCAGTTAAGACAATATTACCCATTTAGTCATCTCTTGACTCTGGGGTCAGGATTTCCCTGCCCCTCTAGTCGTGTCACTTTTTCTAGACATGCCCCTACTCGCGGTATAGCAAGTTGGGGAAGAATTTACTAATACTAAATAATCTTTGCTTAGTATTAGTAAATTTGGCTGAAAGACCAATTTAGGTCTTTCAGCCTTTTGGTAGATAGCTCCCTGATACTCTGGGAATTCCGGTACAAACAAAGTCCCCAAATGCATCCTATCACGAATGGAGAAACTGTTCTCATTCTGTTAGGACGAAATTCGATAGTTTCACCGGCGTCTAAATGACAGAATGTTTGGGAATACTGACTGGAAGCATTGCGAGATCATAGTAGAAAGGTGAGAGATGGTCAGGCTTGGAAACCTCCATAAGACAAATAGTTTTTAAAGAAAACTAGAGCAAACAGGAAGAAATGAAGAACAGATCCTGACAGAGGGAGAGAAGAGGAATCTATTGGGGAAATGTACGTTCGGTATGACAGTGCCACTTTACGATAAAACAAAAGCTGGCCGAACAAGGCAGAACATCCTGGAGGATGAATGATACCAGTCTAGAATCAGAATATGGTTTAAAATACTTAAAAAAACAAGCAGAAGAATTTCTAAGAATTAATGATAACAACGCAATATCTAATAGTACTCCTTGGTGTACATACAAATGTTTTATGCTTGGTAATCTTATTAAAATTAAAAAAAAGAACAGGGGGGAAATCTAATGGATCTTTATATAGAACTAGCAAGACTAGAAGATCTTAACAAAAAAGATTTTAACATATTAAGACTGAATAGAATTAAAGAAATTCAAACAGAAATTAAAATCAAATTATCAAATAAAGTAAATAACACAATTATAAGATTAAAACAACAATGGTATTTTGGAGAAAATAGAACTAGTAAAATCTTTACTAATACACTTAAATTTAAAAACAGACAACTAAAGGTTAAAATCATTAAACACAATGATAAAGAATACCTATATCCAACAGAATTAGCAAAAGCATTTGGACATTATTATAAAACTTTGTATGACCTCCCAAAGACAGCAATCACTACAAAAGACATAGATACATTTTCCTGTAAACTACCAAAAATAAATGTAGAAAAGAATAGGGAACTGGAATCTCCAATATCCATAATAGAGATTACTCAAGCCATAAAAACACTTCGAAAAGGGAAAGCCCCATGACCAGATGGCCTTACTGATGCATTTTATAAAATATTCCTAGTACCCATAACTTCTCTGCTATTCAAACTCTTCAAGGAATTAAGAGATCAGATATTTTTCCCTAGGGAAATGTTACAGACATTGATCATACCAATTCTTAAACCAGAGAAAGACCCCTATTTTGTATCAAATTACAGACCCAAATAATTAGTAAACATCGATGTGAAGATATTCTCCAGGATATTGGCCGATATATTAAAAAAAATGATCCCGTGTCTAATCCATCCAGACCAAGCTGGGTTTATAATGGGTAAGGAAGGAGCCCACAATGTACGTAGACTTTTAAATCTGATTCAATTAATAAAGAATAATAATGTTCCTTCAGTATTTATGGTTCTGGATGCAGAGAAGGCCTTTGACAGAGTAAACTGTCTGTTTCTTGTCGAGGGCCATGAAGGCATTTGGAATTCAAGGATATATATGATCTAATTTGGTGTTTGTACACAACCCCATTGGCCAAGGTTATGGGCAGTGGTATTTCATCTGAATGGTTTGAAATAAATAACGAGACACGTCATGGGTGCCCATTAGCACCACTATTAAATGCATTAAGTAAAGAGCCGCTAGCCTCAACTAGCTTCCTGATAACAATGGAATGGGAACTGGAGCAGGACTACCAACACCTGCTCCGCTCAATTCAGCCCCAATCTACCCTGCAGGCAGAGCCAGAGAGCTGGGTGGCAGATCCAGACCTGCAGCCCTTCAGCTGGAGAGACATCATAGACTAGTACTGGGAAGACCCACAGATGGCAGATGGAGATGGGACTGAGGTCTCTCTACCGGCCCTACAGGGAGCCAGTTTTTTGGCGGCTACTCATTAGCCAGCTAGCTAGGGATTTAGTCTGCACTATGATTCAATATCGTTAGCATACTTCAGTAATTGAGTGCGTGCATTATTTTTTCTCTATACTGCACGTGCTGTTCGCCTAATTGACACAGTGTTTATGGTATTCTGAGCAGTAACATCATTACTATACAGCACTCATCTAGGTGCCATATTATGTTGATTCCTCCTGCTCAGCAACTCCAAGGGCCGATTAAAGATTACATATAGACTGAGTTACTAGAACTATAGCAAATATCTGTGCTGTTTCATCCCCTTTTTTGATTTATTATTTCTTATTATTTTATTGAGCTACAAACTTTTGTACAGGTGTTGCCCATGAGATACCTGGGAGATTACTCATCAGCCATTAGGGCACTTCCTACGTATAGGTCTGGCCCCATGCGCCTTTTCAGCCTGTCATAGTACTTCATCTATTAGCCTTTTGTTTTTTCTTTTTGGATATATTATGTTATTGATTAGTTTCACATTTATTTTTTTGGATTTTAATAAAGTAATAAAAGTTACATTTTAATATATTCACCAGTCAGTTTGAGGGACACCCTAATTGTTGACCTTAGGGGCCTAAGGTATGTGGGTGTGTCATTCATTGTCACATTATTTTTATTGGCTTGTACACTTTGTGTCCCTGTGCCCAACAAGGTCCACCTGGGCATCACCCTTTTTGGGAAAAGGCCAGTGTGCCTCCATTAAACTCTTAGATCTACTTCACCCTCAATCTAGAGTCTTGTCTCTTATTGGGGGGTTGCTATAATCACTATACTCCCTTGGATTCTAAGAGCTATTCCTGCTTGACTCTCTAGAGGAAGAAAGGTTCATCCTCTGGAACCTGGAGCTTTGTCGTCGGTCCAGGGTGGGTAGGAGACAGCGAGACCCCAACCAAGCTGTGGTGGTTTGTGGGGTCTGCAGTGCTGATGGTGTCTGGTGGACTGCTTGGAGACCTCGAGAAGCACTAGGAGTATCCGTCGGCGCAGGTACTCAACCGGGGTACAGGAAGCTCTGTTACAATATGCAAGAATATGGGAATCCTGGGCAATAGATGTAGCTGCTAACCAAGAAGGAAATATTTAGCAATACTGGTCCCTTATAGATGGAATAAAAAGAAAAAATAGAAATTAAGGAAAAAGATGAAGAAAGTGAAAAGAGAAAAGAGAAAAAGTATGGCGATCCATGACCCACTGACACCCTGCTGGGCCTCGATGTACTTATGTATGAGTAGTTCGTCATTGTTTTATAAGCACGTCTTCAGGGGTAGAACATATACTTAGACATTAATAATATAATTTTTTTTGCTAATGATATTGACAATATAGTATTGTGGAAATATTATATTGATTCTTCCTGGAGACGTTTCTTTTGTTTAAAATTAATTAAAACGAATATTTTTTAGAGAATATAATAGAGAATATAACAAATGATGAATTGTTATTTACTTCGATACCTGGAGTTAATAGAGAAAATTTATTGCATAAATAACTTTCTGGTAAAAAAGGTATATTCAAAGATTTAATTTTCAGAAAGTAATAACTCTTCCTTAAACTCATCCCATTTTGGCACATGTATAATGTAACATAGAAACATAGAAACAAAGAATGTTATGGCAGATAAGAACTATTCGGCCCATCTAGTCTGCTCAATATTCTAAATACTTTCATTAGTCCCTGGCCTTATCTTATAGTTAGGATAGCCTTATGCCTATCCCTATTATGCCTATGTATTGCACAAATCATACAGGGGACAATGCTAGGTTTCAGAAACACCTGGGGCTTGACCCAAAACTTAAGCCTACCCTAAAAGAAACTAGGGGATATGTCATGACATATCAATGCCTCTCTATTTTATGTTCCCTTCTCTATACCCATGAGCAACCTGTTACTGATGCTCTCCCACATATCAAAGAAAGCATGGGTGGGATAAAGCTAATGCTGCATAACCAGGTATTGTGTGTGATATTGATGTTACATAACTAATAAAGGGGTGTGCAGCAAAGTTCTTGTGTACTGCATAAACTCACGATGTAGGATTACCTGGGGACACCACCTCCTTCCTCTTGGCAGCATTGTGGATTATTATACAAGTGATCCTTCTATTTATATCATCTTGAGTGGCCCTTGAGTGCCTGGACCCCATTGTTCTTTCTATTTATGTATGGTGGGCCCTGAGAAGAACAAAGCTTTACCGCACATCCAGTATGTAGCGCCAGTGATTGTCCTTCAGATTAAAAAAAACAACAACACAGTCCCTTAACAGTAGTATGAGTAATTTAGTTTTAAAAAAGGGGATTTAAAAAAAATATATACAAATGAAAGGGTGGAATGAGTGAAGAGGTCAATTATTTTCAAATTACATTTCTCATGCTGCTGCTCCCCCTTTTTTATTGTAGTTGTTTCACCCTGCCTTGATTAGTCTTGCGACCCATGCTACCTTCACAGATGCAGTGGGTAGAAGCAGATGACAAGGCACTGTTTTTTTTTTCAGAGACAATTCAGACTGGATGTGTGGGAAAGCGTTTTTTCTACACAGGGTGAGTGAGATGTAATTCCTACTAACTTCTTCCTGAGAAAAATAAGTGATCATATTTCATTGTGGAAAAAACAGTTCCCTGTCAGCTTCTCCCAAATGCGTCTGTGGAAGTAGCAGGCCAGGTGCCATAAGAGAGCCAGGCAACCTGTTTTGAGTTTGCTTTCATCATAAGTATTTGTCATGTCTTGATTCTGTAAGATGCATTATATGGACATGTGTTCTACGAGTCCATTATTTACTCTTATTTAGGTGCACTATACAAGTTGATCAAACAATGTAATTAATATTCTGCAAAGCTGCAAAAGCTACAGAGATAAAAAAGGCTAGACACTTGCAATTTTGCATGGATATCATTAACCTAATTTGTTAAATAATTAGCTTAATAAAACTTGTAGACACAGGTAGTGAAACAAAATTGCACTTGGTCTTTGGATTTGCCAAAATTAAAATTGATTTGATATAGATTATTTTTTTATCAATGTCTTTTTTTCTCACCACTAATCCACTAAGTCCATATTGACCAATGTTCTCTTTACATAACCACTAGAATGTTTTGTAAGCAATTTTGCTATATTCTATGAATTTTGTTTATTTATTTTTTTAATATTGTAGATCCATGGGGAATTTTTTGACCAAACCCTAAATATTGGGTTTTTGGTGCTACATCTATCTTCTGTCTGTACTCCCACCTCTGATGCTTGCCTTCAAGATTTCTTGAGGGCTGCACTGTTCCTGTGGAACTCAATTCCCACCTCCGTTAGATGCTCACCCAGTCTCCACTCCTTCAAAAAAAATTGTTAAAAACCCACTTCTTCATAAAAGCGTATCAATAAAACTGTTAATAGCTCCCGACTGATTCCTCTCTTGCAACTGTCACTAATCAAATACTATCCTTACCTTTTGTGTCACTTTACCCCACTCCCTCTAGCATGTAAACTCACTGAGCAGGGCCCTCAACCCCTCTGTTCCTGTGTGTACAACTTGTCTGGTTATAACTACATGTTTGTTCGTCCACCCATTGTAAAGCGCTGTGGAATTTGTTGGCGCTATATAAATAATATCATAATAATAATAATAGTAAAATGTTTAAAAGCCTCTCTAAGAAACTAAAAGCCTCCCATAATTATGTTCATGTAACATCAAACTAATAAAATAAATTACTTATTTTATTACTTCTAAGGCAGCTTTTTACTACCAGAACCTCTCTTAATATGTCACAGCAATTATACATATTCATTGAATCATGATTTTATTTTTTTTAATAGAATTAGCAGATTTCTTGCACATGAACATTACAAGCTATTTTCTGGTGGTTAGTAGAGAAAAGAAGCTCAATTTAGGCCTCTAGTGAAAGTTTTTGGATACGCTTTTCAAATGAATTTATAATTTTGTATAAACTTTAAAAAAAAAAATTCAAAACATTAAAATATAAAAAATATGATTTATTTTAATATTGAATTAAAGTTAAAAAATGTGTAAATATATAAAAAAATCTACATATTCAAATATTTGTAAAGAAAAAGGTTGACACAATTTTAAAAATGTATTCAAAAATATTTACTTGAGGCCAAAATTCATCATAGATTACATTATGTAACATAAAAATGTAAAAATATCTAAGGGTTGAAACTTTGTACACAGCATTGTAAATGTAGAAACATTTGTTATAATTAGAAGATAAATATAGTACATATTTCTGCTTACTATGCAATTTTTCTTGGCATATTAGTTTCCTATTTATATGCATATGTTTAGGCATGGCTATACATATGTGAATCCTTTGTGAATATATTTTACAGAATTCTCTAGGGTGGCAACCCTATCACTAACATTTCTGTGCAGAACATTTATATTGGTCTTCCCCTTCATGAAGCATGAGAGTCACCTGTAAGCTGGGCATGACAGTGTTAGTGTTACCAGATAGCTCTAGCCCAAACATCGTCCGTTATCCAAGTTTATTAGTTATGAGATTAATGAATGTCCTCCCAATGCCTTAGGATACAAGTTTAGATATCTCTTTCTTGAACAGCAGATGTACATCCTAAATTTGAATAATACTTATTATAATAAATTAACATTCTGTCTAAGAAGCAAGAAAGAGAAATGGAAAATTCATCCACGGTTGTTACCAGCTTTGAGCTTCTTTGGATCAAGGAGATGGAAATATTTCAATATCTTTACTGTGCATTATTTCTTGTGGTGTATTTATCTATCCTACTGATGAGTTCACTGGTTGTTTTTGTGGTTTGTACTGAAGAAAGCCTCCAGGAGCCCATGTATATTCTTGTATGTACTCTCGCTCTCAATGGAATGTTTGGGAGCTGTTCTTTTTTCCCAAAACTCATTTTTGATTTATTGACTTCATCTAACACAATCTCATATCTGAGATGCCTCTCTCAGACTTACTGTATCTTGAGTTTTACTTATTTTGAAATTTGTACATTTACACTCATGGCTGTTGATAGATACTTGGCTGTGTGCTATCCCCTCCAATATGTCATAATTATGACTAATGAGAAAACGTTAAAAATAATCACTGGACTTCTGGTTGCCACTTTTATAGGAGTGTTGGTAGCTGTACTTTTGTCTGCAAGACTCCGTCTTTGTGGAAGACAAATCCAAAATGTATTTTGTGATAATCCATCAATTGTCCTCCTTTCCTGTACTGATTCAACAGCAAATAATCTCTATGGGACAACTGCTATTGTTGTTTTCTTAACAATCACTTCCATAATTATTGGTTATACATACCTGAGAATATTTATTGTCTGCATTAAGCTCTCCAAGATTGTTCGTAACAAAGCAATGCACACTTTGATGACTCATTTGCTAAATTTCAGTATTTTTCTGATAGGATTAATTTTTTCTTTTATTCGGTATAAACTAAATACTATTGACTTACCCCTTTCTGTACACTTTCTACTCACGATAAGTAGATTTGTCTTTCCTCCCTTTCTCAATCCACTAATCTACGGTTTAAGAACCAAAGCACTAAAAATAAAAATAGCTCATCACTTTTCAAAGACAAACTTAGGAAACTCATAAATAATTCTTACAGAATCCATAATGTTATGTAGCGAAATTATGCATCGATTTAATAAAAGCTGATATCAAATTTGACCTTATACATATGTTTTCTGTCCATTGTATTTTAGGTCTGTAGCATGACTTTGTGTACGCAGGTGTGGTGTATGTTTTAAAATGTCTGATTTTAAAATAGTCTAGATTATATGTTGTAGAACAGGCATAGGCAACCTTCGGCAGTACATATGTTTTGGACTACACCTCCCATGATGCTTTGTCAGCATTATGGGTGTAAGAGCATTATGGAGGATGTAGTTCACAACTTCTGGGTTGCCTATCCCTGTTGTAGAATAATATTTTTCTTTTTTAAGAAAATCTTTACAGGGACATTAAGTTTTATATCTAGAAAAAAAAAAATTTCCCCTTATAAATCAAAGCTGCAAGGGAAGCAATCTTTGGCACTCCGGATGTTGTGGACTACATGTCCCTTGATGCAAGCATTATGGGAGATGTAGTCACAACATCTGGAGTGCTGAAGGGTGCCTATCCATGATCTATTTACTTTACAGAAATCTCAAGCATTTGTGTTGTGTTTTCTCCATGAATAGATATGGTATTCAGTCCTCCTCTTTCCGAGTTCCTCACAGTAGGGGGTGGTGGAGGGTGGATGCTGAGCTTTTTAGAGATTAGAGAATGCAAATACAGGACTCTCTTCACTATAATCTTCTAGATTTGAAACTGTTTAGCAATGTATGGATTGTTATTAAAACCAATATAACCAAATTCTACAATTTAATGGCCATATTTCATGCATGCTTAAAATGTTCTGTTTTCTTAAACATATATACCGTATATTGTTATGGATGAATAAAATGTTCCCTTTTTTATTTTGTACGTTTTTCCCTGGTTGATTTTCCCAAGTATTGTCAAAATTTTATAAAAAAAATAAAATTAAAATAAATGTATATGCATATTAATTTAGTAAATTAAATCATTAAGCGAGATTTACCAAGCTCACAACAATACAGATTTGCGTTTAGAATTTTAAGAACTACAGATACTTATCTTTTTAAGTCTAATATATAGCCGGAATTAATTTTGAATGGTATTAATTTATTAATTAATTTTAATATTATTCACTAATGTGAGAAAATAAGGGATTTCAAAGTTTATCGTTTAGACAGACATAGGTGAACTGAAAACTGACTTGGATTTGGCAATTAGGCTATTGTAGCCAAAAATGTACTTTTAATTCCTTTTTTACTGAATAATCTTGTTTTTCCCTCTCTTGAGTGTTTCCTGTCTTTATTTGTGGGGTTTTCTCTCTTGACAGTAAGTTGTAGTAAATACAAATCTGATTTGCAGTTGCAGGAGAGGAATCATTTGGGAGCTATTAACAGGTTAATTAACACACTTTTAGAACAAAGTGGTGTTTTAATGATTTTTTTGAATAAGTGAAGACAGGGCCGGTGCAAGGATTTTTGCCGCCCTAGGCAAAAAAAAAAATTTGCCGCCCTACCCCATATGTCCTGCCCACCATGTGACATCACAATGCCCCTCCCATATGCTCTGCCATATGGGCCAACGCCAGTCTTCACAAAGTGTCTTTTATCTGAAAAGACAGTGTGTTTACATTAAAAAGCCTCCAGGCACATGCTATAGACGCCAGAACCACTACATTATGCTGTACTGCTTCTGGTGACTATAGTATCCATTTAATGTGAGGTAAATTAGAGATTAGTGCCACTAATTATATATTGGATTGCCTACTTACCACCAGATGAGGACAAGAGGCTGATTATGGGCTCTGTCTGGCTCCACAGGTCTGGTGTAGAAGAGGCTCTCAGGAGACTGTTTTTAACAGTGCTCACAACAATTAACAAACAGGAAGCAGCTCCATTTTTTAGGGCCCCTTACACAGCTCAAGGTCTGGGCCCCCAGGGCTTGACCGTGAGTATGCCTACAATGCCCACCCATAAATCCAGCTACATGGCCCACCCATGAGTTCTCTCACAGGAAGTGGAGTGTATGTGTGTAGGGGATGTTTTATGTGTTATTGTAGAGGATGCAATGTGTGTGTGTTCTTATAGAATGTAGTGTATAGGGATACCAATTTCTGTAAGGGATGTAGTGTGTTTATAGGGGATGCAGTGTGTGTTTGCGTGTAAGGAATGCATTGTATGTTTCTGGGTGTGTGTGTGTGTGTGTGTAAGGGGTGCAAGGTGTGTTTCTGTGTATTTAATTGAATGCAGTGTGTGTCTGTAAGGGGTGCATTGATTGTGTAAGAGATGCATTTTGTTTCTGTGTGTAAGAGAATGAGTGTTTGTGTGAACGTAAGGGATGCATTGTGTGTTTTGGGTGTGTCTGAGTAGGAATGCATTGTATGTTTCTGTGTGTGCGTGTGGGGGGGGGATGCATTGTGTATGTGTGTAGTGTAAAAGAGAGGGTTTGTGGGGCAGGATAGAGACTGAGAGGGGAGCTGCTCTTTATTTTTTTTATTTTTTTCATAGTGCTCTCCCCCATGTCAATTATTGATTTCCCCTTCCCTCCTGTCCCTCCGTGTTCTCCCCTTCTGTCCCTTAGTGCTCTCCCTTGGCCCCCTGTAGTTTCCCCTTGGTGGTCTTCTCACTCCCCCTTCCCCCTTAGTGACCCTCCCTCTCCCAAACCCCTTAGTAGACATTCCCCTCCCCCCACCCCCTTAGTGGTAATCTCCCCCCCAGTGGTCATTATCCTCTTTCTCCAACCCCCCTTAGTGGTCCTTTCCCCCCTTAGTGGTCCTCCCTCTCCCAAACCCCTTAGTGGACCTCCCCCCTCCTCCCTCAGTGGTCCTTACTCCCCACCCCCCCACCCCCTGTGATCCTTCACCCCCCTTCCCCAGTGGTTCTTACTCCCCCCCTCTTCCCCCAGTGGTTCTTACTCCCCCTATTCCTCCCGCAGTGGTCCTTACTCCCCCCCTGCTCCCCTAGTGGTCCTTACTACCCCCATCCCTCTCCTCCCCCAGTGGTCCTTACTCGCCCCATCTCTCTCCTCCACCTGTGGTCCTTATCCTCCTCTCCTCCCCCTGTGTTCCTTACTCCCCCTCTGGTCCTTACTAACCCTCCCCTAGTGGTCCTTACTCCCCCTTTGGTCCTTACTCCCCCTCCCCTCCACCTCTGGTCCTTACTCCCCCTCCCCCCCTGGTCCTTACTCACCCTCCTGCCCTCCCCCCGTGGTCCTTACTCACCCTCCCACCCTCCCCTGGTGGTCCTTACCCTCCCCCTCCCCCTGTGTTCCTTACTCCCCTTTGGTCCTTACTAACCCTCCCACATCTGGTCGCCTCACCCTCTCCCCTCCTGGTGTTCCTTACCCTCTCCCCTCCCCTGTGTTCCTTACTCCCCCTGTGTTCCTTACTCCCCTCCCCCCTCCCTGGTGTTCCTTACTCCCCCCATCCTTACTCCACCCCCTCCTGCCTATGTAGTGTGGCTGGGTGGCACGGAACGCGGGACAGGAACGTCTGTTTCCTGTTCCCGGCCGCCGGCGGACTGAAGGGAAGTGCTCATTCAGAGTACTTCCTGTCAGTCAGCCGGCGGCCAGGTACAGGAAACAGAGGTTCCTGTCCCGCGTTCCGCGCCGCCCGGCCACGCTACATTGAGAGACCGGCGGGAGGGAGCGCTCTGCACTTCCCTCCTGCCGCTCACTCAGATCTGCGGTGACTCCGGACGCAGGGATCCGGCACCCCCTGTTAGGGTGCGCCCTAGGCGGCTGCCTAGGTCGCCTTACAGGTAGCGCCGGCCCTGAGTGAAGACTGGGTGAGCATCTAACGGAGAGGGGAAGGGAGTTCCACAGGAATGGTGCTGAGAAGTCTTGAAGGTGAGCATCAGAGGTGGGAGTATGAACAGAGGACAGACGTAGGTCATTGGCAGATCGTAGGGGCCTAGATGGGACATACTTTTGTATTAGGAAGGATGGATAGATATTATGCAGAGATTTCAAAGCAAGAACCAGAATTTTAAATTGAGCCCTATATCTTATGGGAAGCCAATGTAGGGAATGACAGAGGGGGGAGGCGGGGAGGTGCGCGCGGACAGGAAGATGAAGCTTGCTGCATTTATTATAGTCTGTAACAGGGTAAGTTGGGAACACATGACCACTGAGAATGAATTGCAGTAGTCAAGGTGAGAGAGGACAGTGGCATGGACAAGCACCTTAGCCGCATCTGGCGTTAAGTAGGGGCGGATGCGCACAATGTTTTTCAGATGGAAGCGGCAGGATTTGGGTTTGAATGGACATGAGGAGTGAAGGAGAGGTCAGAGTCAAAGAGAACACTTAGGCAGCGAGCTTGTGTGGTGGAGCTGATGGTAGTGCCATTAACATGGAGAGAGACAGAAAAGGGAGTAATAGCAACTTAGAGAGGTAAGACCAGAAGTTCTGTTTTGGACAAGTTATGTTTAAGGAAGTGGGCAGTTAGAAATAGCAAAGAGGCAGTCAGACACACGAGTGAAGAGGGGTGGTAAGAAATCAGCGGTGGACAGATAAATTAGCATGTCATCCGCAAATGTCATCCAAAAAAGATACATACCAAGAACAACAGGAAATATGAGATGATGGTACAGATATCAAATACAAAAAATAGCATGCTACCTTGATAAAGGCAGATTCGCCAAAACGTTGGGGGGCTATTTTTTGCATTTGATGTCTGTACCCTCCTCTCATATTTCCTGTTGTTCTTGGTACGTATCTTTTTGTTTATCAGTATATACAGGTATCGAATATACTGTTGCTCTGAATTAGTGGTTATACCACTTTAATTGGATCCTTTTTTGATCAATACTGTTTTTTTTCCTATTTTGATTTATCTGCAATTATTGTTTGCATTTTAGATGGAGATGTTTTAACATTTCCAATTCTTTAATAGCTATGCTGATACCTGTTATACATGTGTTTTTTGTGTATTAAAGCCTTTTTGTATTTTACTAAGTTGCGCTCCTCCTTCTAGTATTATATGATTATATGTATAGCCTCTTGGAAATGGGGCTTTTGGAGTGAGCACCTTGACTTTCATTAATTTTCCTTATCTAATGGTGACGACTATTTAAACGGGTGTGCCCACCTGCGATTTGTTAATATTTAAGTGTAGAAGGTAGCCATGATGTCTAGTAGAGAGAAGAAGCTGGAGTTGTATAGCGAGGTTGCAGTGTTAGGGTAGGTGAAGTTTGAGATGGGTGAAAGAAGACTTTGGAGGTTGGTGGAGAATTGCTGTAGGTCAAGACAGTGGAGGTTTCTGCGAGACTGATGTGGTGATGGTGGTGTAATTGGGGTACGGGATATACCAATGTCAAAGGTCAGCAGGTGGTGATCAGGTAAAGGAAATGGAACACTGGAGAGATTAAAGGCGGAACAGAGATTGGTGAAGACTAGGTCAAGAGTGTTTCCTGCTGTATGAATTGCTGAATTAGACCACTGTGTAGGTCCAACGGAGGAGGTTACAGAGAGCAGACAAGAGGCATTAGGGCAGTTGGGGTTGTTGATTGAGATATTAAAGTACCTAAGAATGAGGGAAGGAGTGCTAGAAGAGAGGAAATGGGATATCCAGGAAGAAATGTGTTGAATGAATCCCTCTATGGGACAAAAGTAATAAAGTAATTAACTGTGAGCTTGAGGAACAGAAATATGATGTAGAATGTTGTTACATTGAAGAGGTACTATTACAATAACTGGTCCCAACTCTCCACTAGAGCAAACTGTGGGACACTGGGAGGACACTCGGAGGCCAATGCAGTGAACTGGGCTTCCCACCTAGAGTCCATAGACCACTATTCTCCTGCATCTCTCCTGTATCTCCACAGCTTTTGCTGAGCATGTGTCCCTTCATGTTTCTCCCAGTGCTGGCAGCACTTTTGGAAGAGGTGCATAACGCCCCAGTAACTAGTTTACCAGAGGTTCAACAGTTAAGTGATAATCTCAACTGGCTGTGGGGGGAGAGTGACTGGGCCCCCATGCCCCTGCATTACAGACCTTCCAATTTCGTGTTCATTAGCCCTAGCACACAGGGGCACAGTAGCTGTCAGTGTAGCAGTACTGTGAAACAGTAGACTGTTGGGGCCTTGTGCGCAAGTAGGCCCAAAGTGAGCTTCTCCAGTTTCTCTTTACGCCTGATTAAAATTGGGGTTGGTAGGGGGGTTCTCCAGCACAAGCTGACTGGTTTGCTTAGTAATACTTCCCTCTAAATGCCTGAAATGGTCTAATTGTTGGGGCATTACTCTGAAGCAGAATGAGATGGCTGCCTTTCCATTTAATACGTTTATATTTTTTGATATATTTTTTGATCAGATTTTTATTGAGTTTTCAAAAAAATTTAAGACAAAGAATCCCAGTGTACATCAAGCATATCAAACTTGCGGCCCACTGGTCACATGCGGCCCACAATGGATTTAATTGCGGCCCACCTTCCCTGGGTCCACTTTGTGTTGTGGCTGCGATATTTAACTTCCATCCCGCGGCCTCCGTCCTGCTCGCAGTGCCAGAGGAGCGTCTAGCCTGGTTGAACTGGATGACGGGCGGCTCATCTTAAGGTATGGGAAGAGGGGCTTGGGGGACCTTTAGGTGTAGTGTGTTACATTGGGGAGGGGGGACATATGAGGGAGGAAGGGGGCAGTATATACATTAGGGGTAGGAGTGGGCAGTGTATTAATTTTTGCGAGGGGGCCCATGTATTAAATTGGTGAGAGGGGCCAGTGTATTAAATTGGGGGAGTAATGGGGGCAGTGCATTAAATTGGGGAAGGAGGGCGGCAATATATTCAATTGGGGGAGAGAGAGCAGTGTATTAAATTAGAGTGTTGGGAGGAGGGGCAGTCTATTCAATTAGAGTGGAGAGAGGAGGGTCCGTGTATTAGATTAAGGGGCAGTGTATTAGAATGGTTGGAGGGCCAGTGTATTAGAGTGGAGGGGGGTAGTGTATTGGATTTGGGATCCATGTATTGGATTTGTGGGCATGGTATTAGGGGGAGGGGCAGTGTATCGAATTTGTAGGCAATGTATTGGATTTATCGGCAGTGTATTAGAAAGGGGGGAGGGAGCAGTGAATTAGATTGAGTCTGCATGGAGGCGGTGAATGGTCCCCATGGAGATGCTGATTTTCCGATGGGAAAGCATTGGATTGGCCGAGATCATCAAGTTTGATGATCTCAGAAATAGTAAAGAACACACTTATAGGACTTCAAAAATCAACAAGATAACGCCATTTGTTTTTTACAGCTGTGCAACAGCATACATTCACCACTTCAGTCCTATTACCAAACATTTCTTAATATGTCAAGGTAGTTGGACTAAAACATTGGTTATATGCAAATACACATCTCCTTAAAATAAATTTGCTCTTTTGTTTACTTTGAAGCCCTACAAGTGCGTGGACAACCAGTGTCAGTTGGCAACTTTTTTATACTGTATACTTTTTTTACTTTGCAAAATAAACCTATGTTTCTATTTTTTTGTGGCCTACATAAAGTTAAACATTTTTATTAGACCCTTGTTAGCCTTTGAGTTTGACATGCTTGGTGTATATAGAATCAGGAAGGAACACAGTGATATCTAAGCGAACACATGTGGCTCCTTTGTAAGTACATTTAAACATTATAGTAAAGCGTAAGTAGGAACTACTCATTAACAATGTCAAGTAAGAACATTTTTGGATATATTGACATCTTTATATATAATGTATTTTCAAACTCGCGGCCCGCGGTTCACGTGTCCCACAATGTATTTAATTGCGGCCCACCTGGCCTGGCGCCACTTTGTGTTGTGGCTGCGACCAGCTGATATTTATCTTCCATCCCGCGGCCTCCCTCCTGCTCGCAGTGCCAGAGGAGCGTCTAGCCTTGTTGAACTGGAGGCTAGAAAATTTGCATAAAAGTAATTGTATCTGTGTATCTGGTTCCTGTGGTATCTGTCACCAAGACATTAGCAACAAATTCCCCTTAGCTGCTCTGCTCCATAGGCTACATGACATATGCATTGTCGCCTTTTCCGGCATATGCCTAACAAATCCCCCAAAAAACAAAGATACCTTTATTTTGGGAAAATTATCACAGTTTTAATAATATAAATAGTACTTCAAAAGTTTTTAAGGTCATTGTGCACATATTATGCATAACATAACACCCCAACTCCTTTAACAATACTATCCCAGACAATGACCCACATCACAATAAATAAAACATTATAACATATAATTAACATATAAACAAAACCATTGTCACCGATGGCATGATTTCCCAGGTTTTTTCCATGTAGGGGTATAACGAGATACACCCTACACACACCAGGTTCGGAGCTACAGTGAGGGAAAAAAAAACTTTGATTCCTTGCTGGTTTTCAAAAAAGTTATTGATTGATTTGCATGTCAGTGAGTGAAATAAGTATTTGATCTCCTATCAATCAGCAA